GAACCCAAGCACTTGAACCATATTCCTCTACCCTCTCTGTCAAAAGTGGTGGCCTAAACCGTGGCACCACAAATAATGGACCCAACCTCCTTATTCTTAATGAAAGACAAATAAAGCCCATTTGAGGCTACCTCTGTGTCTCTGGGGGAAAGGCTGCCCCCCCCCCCCCAAGCCAAGACAACCCCTGGAAGCCTCCAGCAGAACTTTCCTCTCCAGCCGTCCTGGCCCATAGTTAGGCCTCAGGGAGGTGTCCAGGACACCCTTCTTTAGGGCCCTTTGCTTTCCATTTTGTGTGATTCTTCCATCATCCACGCCAGATACTGGGGATAAAAGGATGAGAAAAGCCCCAGAGCCTCTACCTTCCTGGGGGTTCTTCTTATGGAAGTCTGCAGAAGAAAACCAACCAGCTTAAACCCAGGGCAAAAAAAGGAAATAAGCACAACCTTGAAGAGTACAGCGCCATGCCCCTCAATAATGCACCTGATGCCCCTGCTGCCTGGAGGCCCATCCTGCCCTGGAGGCTGCAGACCAGAGTCTTCCAAGCCAGCTCCAACAGCATCACTGCAGTCGGCAGGACCTGGGATCCATGAGCTGGAGACTCCCTGGCTCCAGGCTCCAGGCTCCGTAGGAAATGGAGATGGAACGCAGTCTAGCTGAGATTCTGGAGTGGATGGTGTTTCCTCTGAGGGAAAGAGGTCTGCAAGCCCAGGAGGATTCCAGGAGGTGGGGCCTGCAGGGAGTGGGGCCTGGTGCTGAAAGGCAGGAAGGTGAAGAGGGCAGGCCGAAGTCGACCAGATGTTTGCTGGGGCTGGGCGTGCACGGTACTGGGAGTCTCCTGTTTCCTCCAGGGAGTCTTTTTCTCCGCACTGGCTCATGAAAGGATGCAGTTCCATAAAATCAGCAGTTAAAAATTCCAGGGTGTGCCCCAGCTTTCCCTCACTGAAGGCTTTCGTTTATTGGGAATGTGGGAAGCGAGCTCATTTCCGCGAGTGCTGACTCATGGAAGAGGTGACTGGAGTCTCCCGGACAACCAGTGGGCACTCCGGTGAATGTGCCTGCGGGAGCAGGTGGAGAACCTCAGAATGAGGAGGCTCCGTTTTCATCAGCTTTGTGGCCACGGGCGAGTTCCTCTCCTTCTCCAGGCTGTGGTTTTCTCATCATGGGGAGCCCTGTGGCCCTGGTGACTCTCCTGGGATTCCATTTGAGAGGGAGGTACTGAGATTGGCAGGGGGCAGAGCTGGAGCAGGATGTGGGAGCTCCCTCAGCCCTTCCTTATCCCGTCAGCCTCCAGAGGGTGGGAATGACCACTGAGGCACAGGAAAGAGCTAAAAAGCCACGTTTTCTTGCCCTAACCTAAGTACAGTTGGCAATGGCGGGAGCCATAAAGAACCCTGAGAGGGACTGGTGGTAGCTTTTGTCTAGTGTTCAAAAACTGGGCTGAAGCAAGGACAAACACCAGGGTGGTTACACACTCCACCCCCAGCAGCACCCACACAACACAACTCCATGGTGACTGCTGACACTGGGCAGGACAGGCTGTGTGATCTGGATGGCAGGAGGCAGGGCTGTATTGTGCAAAGGAAGTTAGTTCAATGGGATCAGGAACCCTGATTCCTACTGCCGTGTTCTTCCTGCACAAGCAGAGTAATTCCGAGCAGGTCACAGGGGTCCACTGGCAGCAGTAGGATTGCTTCTATTTCTCTCTGGGTTTTCTTAGAGATTTATTTATTTATTTGAAGACAGAGTTGCAAAGAGGCAGAAGCAGAGAGAGAGAGAGGTCTTCCATCTGCTGGTTCACTCCCCAGATGGCTGCAATGGCCAGAGCTGTGCCAATCTGAAGCCAGGAGGCAGGAGTTTCCTCCAGGCCTCCCATGCTGGTGCAGGGGCCCAAGGACTTGGGTCATTTTCCACTGCTTTCCCAGGCCATTAGTAGGGAGCTAGATTGGAAGTGGAGCATCTAGGACTCGAACCAGTACCCACATGGGATGTCAGCACTGCAGGTTGGGGCTTTACTCACAATGCCACAGCACCGGCCCCACTTCTATTTTTCTGTATCAGACAATCCCAGGAATGACCTAAGACCTTTGAACTCAAAGAAAGGATTCCTAAGAATAAAGCCAAACAGAGCTAAACCTGGTACACGCTGACTATATGGAAGTTTTTTGAAAAAATCATTTAAGTGGGGCCGGTGACGAGGCTCAATAGGCTAATCCTCTGCCTGCGGCGCCGGCACACTGGGTTCTAGTCCCAGTCGGGGCGCCGGATTCTGTCCCGGTTGCCCCTCTTCCAGGCCAGCTCTCTGCTGTGGCCCGGGAGTACAGTAGAGGATGGCCAAGTCCTTGGGCCCTGCACCCCATGGGAGACCAGGAGAAGCACCTGGCTCCTGCCATTGGATCAGCGCGGTGTGCCGGCCGCAGCGTGCTGGCCGCAGTGGCCATTGGAGGGTGAACCAATGGCAAAAGGAAGACCTTTCTCTCTGTCTCTCTCTCTCACTGTCCACTCTGCCTGTCAAAAAAAATCATTTAAGTGATATTTACCATCTGAATTCAGGAACTGAGAAGGGTGTCCTTTGGTCAGCTAGAAACAGGCACCCATTCGTAGACGTCTCAAGTTCACACTCAACTTTAGAACCAATGGAATTATAAACAGAATCTTTAGAGCAAGCTGTATTTTTCCAGCCTTGAAATGAGTTTTCCAGGATACATGTGAAATAGTTACCTTGCAAATATTGACAATGTTGGTATTTTCATTATTTTCAGATGTGCATGAGGCTACCATGAGCACAGGTATTTGCATGAACCTTCTACATTTTGGGTATGTATGGTATTTTTTCCCATTTGTTATATCTTTGAGGCTTTTTTTTCCTCTGGATTTATTAATGTAAAGATTATTGACCAATAGTCCAGAGAGCCCATGCATTTGCATGGGAAAAAATTATACCTTTATTTCTTTTTTAAAAAAAATATTTACTTAATTATTTGAAAATTAGAGTTACACAGAGAGAGGAGAGGCAGGGAGAGGGGAGAGAGAGGGAGAGAGAGAGAGAGATCTTCCACCCACTGGTTCACTCCCCAATTGGCTGCAATGGCCAGAGCTGCGCTGATCCAAAGCCAGGAGCCAGGAGCTTCTTCCGGGTCTCCCACGTGGGTGCAGGGGCCCAAGCACCTAGGCCATCTTCTACAGCTTTCCCGGAGCAGAGAGCTGGGTTGGAAGTGAAGCAGCCAGGACCCAAACTGGTGCCCATATGGGCAGGTGGCGGCTTTACCTGCTATGCCACAGTGCTGGCCCCCACCTTTATTTCATTGTGGATATGGCCATAAATCCACAGCTGTATTAAATATACTTCTGATTTTATCCCCACTAACAGAAATTTTGAATATTTTATATTACAATACAGTTGTCGCAAATATAATTTGCATGCAAAATAACTTTGAGATAAAACAATTACTAGATCTTACCGTTAGTGTGTTAATAAAGAAACACATGTATACTTTAAAATTTTAAAAATATTTTGATAGGCCGGCGCCACGGCTCACTAGGCTAATCCTCCACCTTGCGGCGCCAGCACACCGGGTTCTAGTCCTGGTCGGGGCGCCGGATTCTGTCCCGGTTGCCCCTCTTCCAGTCCAGCTCTCTGCTGTGGACAGGGAGTGCAGGGGAGGATGGCCCAAGTGCTTGGGCCCTGCACCCCATGGGAGACCAGGATAAGTACCTGGCTCCTGCCATCGGATCAGCGCGGTGCGCCAGCCACAGTGCGCTGACCACGGCGGCCATTGGAGGGTGAACCAATGGCAAAGGAAGACCTTTCTCTCTGTCTCTCTCTCTCACTGTCCACTCTGCCTGTCAAAAAAAAGAAAAAAAATATAAAAAATATTTTGATAATTGTATTTCAGTATCATGTGTTTCCTTTGTCATCCTATACATTTTAAACGTTAAAGTCTCCCTGGGGCCATCACTGTGGCATAATGGGTTAAGCAGCTGCCTGCAATGCAAGCATGCCATATGAGCCCCAGTTCAAGCCCTGGCTGTTCCACTTCTGAACCAGCTCCCTGCTCATGTGCCCCAGGAAAGCAGCAGAAGATGGCTCAAGTCCTTGGAACTCTGCATCCATGTGGGAGACCTGGGATGAAGTTCCAAGGCTCCTGGCTTCCACCTGGCCCAGTGCTGACTCTTGTGGTCATTTGGGGAGTAAATCAGCAGCTAGACCTCTCCCACTATCTCTCTCTCTCTCTCTCTCCAACTCAGCCTTTCAAATAAATAAATCTTTTTAAAAGCATCTTTCTGAGAAGAGTTCCACAGGTTTCACTGCTGAGGTTCATGGTGTGTGTGCACATCTGGATGCACACACATGCACATGTAAGAACTGATCTAGAAGTGGACATTAATATTGGGGTCCGAGACTCAAGACTGGGATTAGGAAATTCTCTCAAAGATCCACCCACACTTGTGGCTCTGGGAGCCAGGGCAGACTCCTGCTTTCGGCCGCCGCTACAACACTGCCGCTCCCTGAAGCCTGCTGGCTCAGTGCTCGGACCCTGCCTACTGTGTTCGTCTGTGTTCTTGCTCCAGGGACAGGGCTGCATCTTACCCCCAGTGCCTAGCACAATGCTGGGTTCAGAGCAGCTTCTCAATGATGCTAACAGAGTGGACACCACAAATAGAACCTTGTTTAACTCAGCACATGAGTATTTCTGGATGTGTGTGTGTGTGTGCGCACAAAACAGGGTTGGGATATAGGGATCATTACTGGGGTCTTGGGTGCATACAGTAAGACTTTTTTTAAAGGAAATTCAAAACAGAGCTCTGGAAGTTTCTGCAAGAAGCCTGCTGGCAGTGTGAAGACAGCCCCCCTGTGCACCGCCCCACCCGGCCCCACGTGACCACCTCTTTCTCCCCCCACGGAGGGCTGGCTCCCCAGTCTATATAAGCCTCTCTGGGGCTCGGGCACGAGCCAGCAGGCCCACCCATCCAGACACCTTGCGGCACAGAGCTTTCCAGAGGAAGTCTCACCCAGCCTCTGCACCAAGGTTTTTCCCTGCACATTGCTGCAGCTGCAGACCCACAATGCCAGCTGTCCAGCTGCTGCTTCTGGCCGGCCTGGTGTGGGGCGCTGGGGCCAGGACAGCCCAACTCCGAAAGGCAAATGACCGGAGTGGCCGGTGCCAGTACACCTTCAGCGTAGCCAGCCCCAGTGAATCCAGCTGCCCCGAGCAGGGCCAGACCATGTCAGCCATCCAGGACCTCCAGAGAGACAGCAGTACCCAGCGTGCAGACCTGGAGTCCACCAAAGCCCGGCTCAGTTCCCTGGAGAGCCTCCTCCACCGGTTGACCTTGGCACAGACCAGCGGACCCCAGGAGATCCAGGAGGAATTGCAGAAGGAGCTGGGCACCCTGAGGAGAGAGCGGGACCAGCTGGAAAGCCAAACCAGGGAGCTGGAGGCAGCCTATTCCAACCTCCTCCGAGACAAGTCAGCTCTGGAGGAAGAGAAGAGGCGCTTGATGCAGGAGAATGAGGACCTGGCCAGGAGGTTGGAGAGCAGCAGCCAGGAGGTGGCGAGGCTGGCAAGGGGCCAGTGTCCCCAGGCCCGGGACACCTCTCAGGATGTGCCTGCAGGCTCCAGGGAAGGTAAGAATACGGGCTGGAGGGATCCCCAGGCCAGCAGGTGGCATGGTTCATGGTGACCTGTTACAGATGCCCTGGGGCTGCCTTCTTGCCGTCTCCTTTCTCCCAGCAGCTGCACATCAAGCACAAAGCAGACGAATTAAGGGGAAAGTCATCACTTCTCATATTCATAGTCACTCAGCTCTGGGCAGCTTTGCTTAGTTAGTGGTTCCCAGTTCTTTTGTCTGTCATGACAAAGTTTTTATAGTCCAGAGTGAGATGAAAACTCTAGGGGCCAGGTGAGATGTGTACGCACATGATTGACTGAAGGTTGCAAACTGTCCTTTTTGGAAAGCAGTCATGCTTTGAATCTTTGCTCAGAGATGGTAATCCCTACCCTCTGGTGTTAAAATGACCTCTACTTATGAAACTGCAGATTTATGAAATGAGAAGCTGTAAGCTTGGGTTTTTTGGTTTTGTACATTCTTCTTTGGTATAGTAAAGAGGTGGTGGCCCTTTGTCAGCTCCCTCCATGTGCAGTTTTGGAAGCTTTCTCACTCCTTGCCCACTGCAAGAGCTTCTGCTCCTCTGTCCCCCCTGGTCCTGCTCGTATGATGCTCAGGGTGTCCCTGGGTATGTGACACTTTTTCATGAAAGTTGTGTTTCCCGCCATTCACCATTTAATCATAAGGAAATGATCAAACAGATCCACTGGGCCTTTCTGAGATGTCAATGTCAAGAAAGAAGAGAAGCAGTAGGGGAGGGCTTGGCGGGGGTTAAGGGAGATGAGAGAGTCCTGGTCACCAAGGGGAGTGAACGGTCTGTGAGTGGAAAAGCCACAAGGGACAGGTTTGCTGTAACGGAGGGAATTTGAAGATAGACTGCTTATGAGGTTATGTTACTCTGTTAATGTTCAATTTCTTGGGTGAGATAATGTGTTTATCAAGGGGAATATCCTTGTTCTACACACTCATGCACTTAGGTTAAGTATCAGATTGCCTGCAATTTGCTCTCAAATGGTTCAGCAAATACTAAATCTTTAAAGGGTAAGAAAGAAAGGTAAAACAAATGTGACAACATTAGCAATTGGTGCATGAATCTAAGTAAATAGTGCATGGGGAGTCTTAGTTGCTCAAATTTTCTGTAAGTGTGAAAATCTTCAAAATAAAATGATGAGAAACGTTTTCTTAAAAAGCTTTATATGTGAAAAAAAAAAAAAAAAACAAAAACAAGATCTGCTTAGGTGTGAGACAAGAAAACCCGACTCAGTGCCTATGTGTGACCTTGGGCATCTGCTGGAGTTCGCCACCTTCACTGCTCACCAATGACATGACAAAGGAAATTCCTGTTGGGAATAGTAATTTCTGTGGGATCCGAATGAAGCAACTATAAAGTATAAAGGATTTTTTAAAAATCCTACATTGTTAGAACTGCAAGAGTTTCTATCTGAATTTGACAACCAAGGAGAGTGAGCTCCTAAAAACACTAAGGGGCCCAAGGTCACAGGGCTGGTGAGTGGTGGAGCTGGGACAAACTTGAGCCCGCAACAACAAATGAGAAATCATTACTAGAAGTGATGTGAGGGATTCCTCAGTTCAGAGTGTTAACTGAATGAGGTTACCTTCTCCCAAAAACTCCCGTGTGTGTGTGTGTGTGTGTGTGTGTGTTGTAGGGGAGGCTGTATAAAAACAGAGACCTTTTTTATTGTCCTGTGGTCATGTAACAAGTCTTTGGGAATGTATTAGATGTGTTCTCTAATTTTATATTTCTCTTTGCCTTTTCCAGCTGCTCTACTTTTTTTCTGAAATCAGGGCAACATTCAATTACAATGAACTTCAAACTCAGAAATTCTTTTCTAGTAGTGGATCCCTTTGGTGAGCAGGAAATTACATTAGAACAGGAATGTGGAACTGGACAGGGACTTACCAGGCTGTTGGCCCCCCTGGCCCATTTTTGCAGATGTGGAGACTCAGGTCCAGAGAGGTTACTCAACGATTGTACAGCCACCTAGCCAGCTAGAGGCACAGCCAGGACTAGAATTCCAGCTTTTTCCCATGAGGAGCAGTGAGTTTCAAGACCCCCAGCTGACCTGGTTTATAGATGCCACAGACTAAGGACAGAAAGGTACAGAAATGTCTGGGACAAAAGGTCAGCTTCAAGGTCATGGTTTGGGGGAAGTAGGGGTATTTGGAGGGGCTGGCTGGAACTTCAATGTGGATGAGCGTTTACATAGGAGTGGCAAGAGTGGGAGTGTGGCCAGTCGGGGGAAGGAGACAGTGAGGTTGAGTGGACAAAGGTAAGGCCCAAAAGGTTACCACCACTTTGTCATGCAGTTGTTATGTAGAGAGAAATCTTAGAATCACAGAAATCACTTGTTTTTACGTTCTGCACATAATGTGACAGAGAACATCTCATTACGTATCTATTTCTACAGTTGTGTATATATGTATATGTGCGTGTGTTTGGGGGTACTTCAAAAAGTTCATGGAAAATGAATATTACAAAAAACAATGCCTCTTAGAAAAAGCTATGCATAGATTTCAATATTTTTTCACCGAAATGAGCTTATCTTTTTTTTAATATTTATTTCATTTATTTGAAAGACAGAGTTACAGAGAGAGGTAGAGACAGAGAAAGAGGTCTTCCATCTGCTGGTTCACTCCCCAAATGGCCACAATGGCTGGAGCTGCACTGATCCAAAGCCAGGAGCCAGGAGTTTCTTCCAGGTCTCCCGCATGGGTGCAGGGGCTCAGTAACTCCTTCAGGTAGCTCCCAGGAACTCCCAGGTAGCTCCTTCATTCTATTGCTTTCCCAGACCACAGCAGAGAGCTGGATCTGAAGAGGAGCAGCAGGGACTAGAACTGGTGCCCATATGGGATGCCGGCGCTTCAGGCCAGGGCATTAGCCTGCTGTACCACAGCATCTTTTAATTCCGTTTTCCCACCATCGTCTGGAAGTCCCCCATATAAATGGCATGTCCACGGTACGTGGGTGTGAGAGCCAGGATGGTCCTTGCAGAGACCCTCCTCTTCCTACACAGAGTCAGAGAAACTGTGCCAGAGTGACTGAAGCGAGGTCCCAGCAGGTGACACCTGTGAACCCAGGTTGCATTGGCAATGGCTGGGAAAAAGGTGGGCAGGACGTGGCGAGAGGGGTTGCCAGAGGTGGCTAATGCTAGGGCTGCAGCTTTCCTTTTCTTGCCTGTAGCGTAGGAAGTGCATTCCAGCGAGGCTGTTGTGCCGATTGGAGGCAGCCGGGAGCAGCTCCTAGCACAGTGCCTGGCACAGTGGCTGCCCCAGAACGGAGGGTACTGCCAAGGATTTCTTTCACTTGGGTTCTGCCATTGTTTTAGTCCCTCCATGATCAAAACACCACCAGGGACAGCGTTTCTCTAACACATGTGTGTTCTAGAGACAGGGCAGGTTGAAACAGCACCTGGCACAGCAAGCTATTTCTTCATCTCTGCTTTCCCAAAAGATTTGTCCACAACCTAGGAATCTGTTGGCGGCGTTCTTTTTCTTTGTTATGTAATTCTGTCACATTGACCAAACTTTCTGAGCAATGACAGAAAACGTCTACAAAAATCATCACACCACTTAATAAATTCAGTTTCTAGGCTGACCTCTCTAGAGGTGAGTCTATAAAGCTGAGATAAGGGCAGAGCACACAGAAAACTTCCAAAATTTTATTTAGACATAAATCTTTATCATAGATAGGTGTAATTTTAATATTAAAAGCATACAAAAGCCCCTGCAACATTAACTGACGTAATACAGTCCTTAATATTCTCATAAGCTCTGTGTTGAGCACCATTTCATTTATCTTTTTTTTTTTAAGATTCATTTGTTTTATTTGAAAATGGGAGTTACACAGAGAGAGAAGGAGAGGCAGAGAGAGAGAGAGAGAGAGAGAGAGAGAGAGAGAGAGAGAGAGGTCTTCCACCCGCTGGTTCACTCCACAATTGGCTGCAACATGCGGAGCTGAGCCGATCTGAAGTCAGAAGCCAGGAACTTCCTCTGGGTCTCCCATGTGAATGCAGGGGCCCAAGGACTTGGGCCATCTTCCACTGCTTTCTCAGGCCATAGCAGAGAGCTGGATCGGAAGTGGAGCAGCCAGGACTCGAACTGGCACCCATGTGGGATGCCACAGCTGCAGGCGGCGGCTTTACTCGCTGTGCCAGAACGCTGGACCCACATTTGCCGTTTCTTAGCACAACCTGATACTTTTGGGAGGTCAGCAGCCTAGGGCTCAGAGAGGTTGGATCATTAGTCCAAAGTCACACAGCTGAGATTCGCAGGCCCGAGCTAGGAAGCTATGGCTTCTGGCTCCATCCAGGCCCCCTCACACAACTGCATCCTTATCCGTGGCTCTCTTGCCAGACAGCGCCGCTCTGGGAGCGCGGCTGCTGCCAGATGCTGCTGGCTGACACGATGGAGAAGCAGCCAGCAGGCTCACAACCCAGCTGGGAACCGGCCTGTGGTCATTCTGGAAGCCACTCCCCGACATTGTGTTTTACTGTGGCTCTTGTTTACCCGGAGGAAAGCGCATGGGGTTGGCTTCCTGCAAGAGTGTAGAGAGAAAGCACCAGCTGCAGGGACCCCTGCTCAGGGTCCTGGGGAGGGGGTGGCACCAGGACAGGGACTCAGCACCCAGCCGGCACCTGTGCCACCTCTTCTCTGGCAGTGGGGGAGAACAGCTGATGGGGCACACGGCCTCGGAGCTCTGTGTTCACCGAGCGAGCTGCAGGGCCTGGGTCACACCCCAAAGAGCTGAGCCGCTTTGGGAAGGCTGCCAGTAGCAATCTCGGTCCAATCAGGAGAGAAAGCGCACAGCAGATTCAGCAGGGAAATTTATTACATACAGTCATTAACTAGGCTAGAAGAAGGCACCTTAGGGCTGCGGGAGGGCCCTGGAGGGAGGACGACTTGGGGAGGCTTCAGACCTCCTTGGGAAAAGTGGGGTTCAGGAATCAGATAGCAGAGAAGGTGGCTGGCTTGCCCAGGCCTGAGCGGGTCTGCGGGTGGAGAGGGAAACCAGCAGCCTGCGTGGATACCGTGGGAGACGCGAAGGGGGGTGGGGGCAGCTGGCCATCAGAGCACTCGGATCCTCGCGCAGGGTTCCTGGTGTCCCTGGTGTCCCTGGTGAAGGGCAGTGCCAGGCCCAAACTGCAAGGTCACAGAGGCTGCGACGAGGGAAGGGTTTAAGCAGAGTCTGCACGCTCAGGCCCCCGACCCGACCTTCCTCCTCCTGCGATGTCCTTCTGGCGCCCCCTACTGGGGTAGGTCGGCATCGCGCTCACTGTAAGGAGAAACGCTTTGCTTTTCCAGAGCCAGAATGGAGCTTTCTGCTCTCAGAGGCAGAACACTTGCCACCGCTGAAACTCACACATCTGAGATGCCAGGGACCTTCTCAGTGTTCCTGAAGTCGTATCCCACCTCCTCATAAATCAGTTATTCTGGATTACTTTAATTGTGTAAACCCTTATTATATTTTGAGCATCCTACTCTGTGCTGGGCATATTGCTATACGATTATTTGTGAGATTTTTAATTCTGGGATTTAAAAAAGTCCCCAAAGTACAGAGAACAGAATGAACCCCAACATAGCCATCACCCAGCTCCAAGAGTCACCAGCCTTCTCTGAAGCTGTTTTATCTTGTGCTTGCCGGTCATCGCCTACCTCACCCGTAGCCACCGTCCTACAGCAAAGCTCAAACACCGAATCTCTGAGATCCCATATTTAAATGCCGTCGGCATCCACACAGTCAGTCCTTGGCCCGTTTCTTCTCACAGCGCAATTCTGTCTCTCTCTTTTTTTAAAAAATAGCTTCTCAATGGAATTTGGACACTTTGGCCTTCCAGGAGCTGAAGTCGGAGTTAACTGAAGTTCCTGCTTCCCGAATCTTGAAGGAGAACCCACCTGTTCTCCCCAGGGGTGAAGAGGGAGACAACGGTGAGAATTCAGATCCCATCGGGGCATCATGGTCATTGTCCACGGTCTAGTCCTGTGTTCAGGGTCAGTACAGAGTAACTGAGTAAACACCCACCGCGCAGGGGAGCAAGTGACTTCCTTGTAGGCAAGGGGTTGGACCCCGTGAGGAGCAGAGCTCTCTGGCCAGGGCAAGTCAAGTCTGCAGAAAGTCAGCTTTTCCCAGTCGGGAGCTCCACCTTCTCACTCATACTAGGGATGCCAGGCTGGGCTGGGTTCCCCGGGAGAAGAGGAGAGATGTGTTTATTTCACCCTCTTGATTATCACATAGAATTAATTACACCTGAAAAATAACATTTTCCGGTAGCTCCTTCATAGTTATCTAGGGCCACTTATGAGACATGAAACTGTCAACAGACAATCTGCTACTATTTTTTCTGAACTTTGATCATTTAGGAAAAGTGTGGTTTGCCCATCTCCAAAGTGTTTCCCAACTGTGGTTTTCAGAACCTTTGGCTATCAATGTTAGTGATTATTATTGCTCATACTGAAGGGACTAAAAGGGACTTGAGGGTCATGAAATATTTAAAATGCGATTCTCTGAGATGTGAGCAGCAAACAATCTCCATCTTCTATGAGGAAACCAAAGACACCCATTAAAACACAGAAGTGTGTGCTGATTCCACTAAATGTAAATTTTCAACCATCACTTCACTGTATTTTAAAAATTACATTCAAGTTTAATTTTTTTTCTTTCATTTTATTTGAAGTCAGAGAGACAGATAGAAGAGACAGGCAGGGAGAGATTCCTCCATTTGCTGTTTCACTCCCCAAATACATGCAAGAATGGGCCAACCTGAGGTCAGGAGCCGGAAATCCAATCTGGGTCTCCCATGTGGGTGGCAGGGACCCAAGTACTTGAGCCATCACTTGCTGCCTCCCAGGATGTGCATCAGCAGGAAGCTGATCAGAAGCAGAGGGGGGACGCAAACCCAGGCACTCAGATATGGGACATGGATTTCCCAAAGGATGTCTTAGACACTGCACCAAACTTTGGTTCCACGCGTGTAGAAGATGCATGAAATTTGAAGGATCTGCAAAACGTTCTGGGAATTCATATTATGAAAAAAAAGGCTACATGAATTTTAAAACTTAAATCTAAACATTTCCTTTTTCATTTTAAAAGATTTATTTCTATTTATTAGGGAAAGGCAGAATGGCAGAGAGAGAATGAGAGAGATATCCCATCTGCTGGCTCACTCCCCAAATGGACCTAACAGCTGGAATTGGGTCAGGCCAAAACCAGGAGCCCAGAACTCCATCCAGGTCTCACACATTGGGTAGCAGTGGCACAGTACTTGGGCCATCTTCCACTGCTTTCCCAGGCCATTAGCAGAGAGCTGGATCGAAGCAGAGCAGCCAAGACTTGAACTGGCACTCAAATGGGATGCTGGCATTGCAAGTGGTGGCTTAACCAACTGCATCACCACTCTAGCCCCTCAGAATATTTTTGTGCCAGAATAAATTTATCTTTTAATTCCTTTTTCATGAACTTTTTCAAGTATGCTCATATGTGGCCTATCAGGGATGAAAAACTGTTGTAGAGAGATTATCCTTAGAATGAGTTAATTTTCCTCTCTCATGTTTCAACAGCAAAATAAATTGGACATGGAAATCCTGAAGAGTAATATAATGAATACCCATTAGTCCCCGCCCAGCTTTAGAAAACCATGACAAATACAGTTGAAGCTTTCTTCAGTCTTCATCTGTGCCACCAGTACTGAGTTGGCATCGTGTCCCATTCACTGTGTGGTTCCTCTGTACCACATGTCTAATTATGATTAGTTTAAATCCTACAACAGCCCCACTACCCTACACACTATTATGATCCCCTTTTACAAATAAGAAGTCTATAGCTTAGAGAGCTAAGTAACTTACTGGAAGTGGCACAGTCAGTGAGCAGGTGGCAAAACCCAGATCTAAACCCAGTGGTCTGCACTAGGGCCCTGCTGAGCTTCCACAGTGCCCCTGAATGTGCATCAACAAGTGTGTGTGGCTAAGTGGTGTCTTCTCTTGCTCTGTTCATTCCTCAGGATGTGGGGAACTAGTTTGGGTAGGACAGCCTGTCACTCTGAGGACAGCCGAAACTATCACTGGCAAGTATGGCGTGTGGATGAGAGACCCCAAGCCCACATCCCCCCACACCCAGGAGACCACGTGGAGAATCGACACGGTCGGCACCGACATCCGCCAGGTCTTTGAGTATGACCGCATCAGCCAGTTTGTGCAGGGGTACCCTTCGAAGGTGTACGTGCTGCCCAGGTCGCTGGAGAGCACAGGTGCCGTGGTCTACGCAGGCAGCCTCTACTTCCAGGGTGCTGGGTCCAGAACTGTGATCAGGTTTGAGCTGAACACTGAGACAGTGAAGGCCGAGAAGGAAATCCCTGGAGCCGGCTACCGTGGGCAGTTTCCATATTCTTGGGGTGGCTACACGGACATTGACCTGGCTGTGGACGAGACCGGTCTCTGGGTCATCTACAGCACCGAGGAGGCCAGAGGTGCCATTGTCCTCTCCAAATTGAACCCAGAGAATCTGGAACTTGAAAAAACCTGGGAGACCAATATCCGTAAGCAGTCGGTTGCCAACGCCTTCATCATCTGTGGCACCTTGTACACTGTTAGCAGCTACTCCTCGGCAGATGCCACCGTCAACTTCGCTTATGACACGGGCACTGGGATCAGCAAGCCCTTGGCCATCCCATTCAAGAACCGCTACAAATACAGCAGCATGATCGACTACAACCCTCTGGAGAGGAAGCTCTTTGCCTGGGACAGCTTCAACATGGTCACCTATGACATCAAGCTGTCCAAGATTTAACAGCCTCCAGGTGCTACCAGCAATGGCAGAAAGACGATGCTCAGGGCTCCTGGGGAGAAGATGAGGAGGGCCAGCCAGCTGGGGACTGCATGGCTTCTCTCTGCTTTCCAAGCTTGCATTAATCCAGATGGATGTATGCGGTCACCATCAGACTGTGCAGCGATTAGCAATTAGTACCATGCAGTACTTAGAGAATTTCTTATTGTAGTAGATATTCTTTTCTTCTTCTGTCTGGTTCATGAAATAGTTCATATTTTCCAGTGATTTGAGGCAAAAGCTATAAAGTAACATGGTAGTTACTTCATGTTATATGGTTCCCATAAGCCACCATCAAGAGCAGGATTTCTAAAGAAACAACAGTAGCTCTTGTGGCCAGCACTGAACCTCTGTAGGATGCATTTGCTACAGTTGACTTCTAATACTTTAGGTAGAACTCAGTTTGATATTACATAACTTTCTGCTCTATGAAATAAAATTATCTTGCACAACATTTTCTTGTTTGAGCCTTATGAGAATCTTTGCTTAAGGGAAGAGCACAGAGGCCACTCATCAGAAAATTCTTTTGCCAACAGTGAAATTCACACCTTTTCCTCTCTGGCTCCTGGGGCTCTTGGCTCTTCCTAAATAATCTTTCCAGTCTCTCCTAATTCACCCTTTCCATTCTTGTTTCACTTCGATTCTTATTTTTGTTGTGGGAGTGTATTTCATAAACCACCATCTCTCTCAGCAGAGCAAACCTGATTGCATTAAATTTTGCTAATATGTAAAATCATAAAATGTAAAGCACAAAATTGACCATATTGGGGCCGGCGCCATGGCTCACTTGGTTAATCCTCTGCCTATGGCGCCGGCATCCCACATGGGCACCAGGTTCTAGTCCCGGTTGCTCCTCTTCCAGTCCAGTTCTCTGCTGTGGCCTGGGAAGGCAGTGGAGGATGGCCCAAGTCCTTGGGCCCCTGCACCCGCATGGGAGACCAGGAGGAAACACCTGGCTCCTGGCTTCGGATGGGCATAGCTCCAGCCATGGCGGCCATTTTGGGGGTGAACCAACAGAAGGAAGACCTTTCTATGTCTTTCTCTCTCACTGTCTAACTCTATGTGTCAAATAAATTTTAAAAAGCCTATTTTTTTTAAAAAATTGACCATATTGACCATTTATAAGTGCAAGTTCCATGATACTAAATAGTTCATATCACTCTTGCCACCTTTTGCAAAACTTTTTTCATCTTGTAAAAACAGAAACTCTGTATCTGTTAACTAATAGCTCCACATGTAATAACCTACCTAATTTCTCTTCAATTGCCATCATGGTAAATGGTGAAATATGCATAATGGTAAAATGCAGTTTTACTAATTCAGCTTGGAGCCCACCCTATCAGCACGTAGCTGATCAATTTGGCCTTTTCCTCTCCACCTCCCACCGAGGTGACATGCATACTTGACCTAAGTGGGGACCAGGGTACTCTGCTTACTTTTAATCTAGAACTTGCTGCTAACATGCACATCTCCGTATATAGCTCTAGTTCTGGCATCCTCCATGCTCTGTTGGCCAGATTCACCAGGACTGTTGCTTTTTCCCAGCCTATTATGTGTCCCCAGGGATGTGGGGCAGTTTCTGGAGCCGGCCAGCATCACAGGAGCATAGGTGCCCCTTTGCTGTTTTGCTGCCTCCTGCTGGCACCAGGCCACTTCCCCTAGAGGTTTGCCACCCACAATGAGCTTTACCTGGAAGCAAGCACAAGTCTCCTTCGCTTTCCCAAGCCTCAAACTATCTGCTACATGAGGTTCATCAGGAGCTCTCTAGAACCTAAGCTCACTCTCTCTCTCCCTCTCGCTCTCTTTCAAGACCTCTTGCATCCCCAAACTTTATTCAGACTGCTGGAAGGGGACAGTTTAGCGCTTTATCTCTTATCTTTTCAGGTTTTTGCTCACAAGGCCACAGCTCAACCTTTTGATTTTTTTTTTTTTAGATTTATTTTTTGAAAGAGTTACAGATAGAGGTAGAGAGAGAGCAAGGTCTTCCATCTGATAGTTCACTCCCCAGATGCCTGCAACGACCGGAGCTGCGCCGATCCGAAGCCAGGAGCCAGGAGCTTCTTTTGGGTCTCCCACATGGGTGCAGGGGCCCAAGGATCTGGGCCATCTTCTACTGCTTTCCCAGGCTGTAGCAGAGAGCTGGATCAGAAGAGGAGGAGCCGGGACTAGAACTGGCTCCCTCATGGGATGCTGGCGCTTCAGGCCAGGGCTTTAACCCGCTGCGCCACAGCACCAGCCTCTCAGCCTTTTGATTTCTAAGATAAACGCTCTTGAAGTCAAAGCCTTGGAGGTAGAGGCACTTGGCATAGTGGTTAGGTCGCCACTTGGGACACCCACACCCTGGAGCACCTGGGTTCAAGTCCTGCCTCTGCTCCTGATTCCAGCTTCCTCCAAATGTGCACTCTGGGAAGCTGTGGGTGATGGCTCAAGTAGTTGGATCCCTGCCACCCCCAACGGAGATCTGGATTGAGTTCCAGGATCCCAGCCTTGGCCTGACCAGGACCCACTTGTTGCAGGCATTTGAAGAGGAAACGAACAGCTGGGACATCTCTCTCTCTCTCTTCCTCTCTTTCAAATACATGTTGTTTTAAAAAGTAAAGCCCTGGTTTTGGAGAGAATTCTCCCTAGCATGGGTTCTAAAGACAATACTATGAAAAGCTTTTCTTTGCCCCAGCAGTCAGTCCTGAGGTTACACATGCGATGAGGAGAAAGAAACCAATGAGATCTCAGAAAGTCTTTCCACTGGTGAGTTGTGTACTTTGGCTGCCATAATACTGAGAGGCTTAAACGATAGAAAGTTACTTTCCCACAATTCTGTAGGCTTGGAAGTCCAAAATCAAGGTGTTGATTGGGTTGGTTTCTTCTGAGCCTCTCTCCTTGGCTTACACATGGTTGTCTTCCCCCTGTGTCTTAATATCCTCTTTTTCAAAGTTATTTTATTTATTTGAAAGACAGAGTTACAGAGAGAGGTAGAGGCAGAAAAAGAGACATTTTCCCTGCGCTGGTTCACTCCCCAAATGGCTGCAACAGCTGGAGCTGGGCCAGGCCGAAGCCAGGAGCCAGGAGCCAGGAGCTTCTTCCAGATCTCTCATGTGGGTGCAGGGGCCCATGGACTTGGGCCATCCTCCGTTGCTTTCCCAGGTGCTTTAGCAGGTAGCTGGATTGGAAGTGGAGCAGTTGGGACTTGAACCGGCACCCATATGGGATGCCAGCACTGCAGGCCAGGGCTTTAATCCACTGTGCCACAGCACTGGCCTCCCAATATCCTCCTTATAAGGACAACAGTCAGTTAGACTAGGGCCCACTCTAATGACCCCATTTTAATCTAATTCTGTGCAGTCATCCTGGTCATAATTACCAACTTGTCTAACGGGCGACCCTGACATTCATCCCAACATCTGCGTGATAAGCAAAGTCATTAAGATATGCTACTGAGTATTTCATGCCAGGCACTGATGCCCAAAATGTCTCTTCACTGATGCCTGACATGTTAATGTTTCTTGAGAAAGTCTGGGTACATTCTGTTTGGCCATGGGCCACCTTTGTCTAGCTGAGCATAGAACCCCTTTCCTACCGCTTTGTGGTGCGAGTATCCTCACATCTTGCTGCTGCCCAAGACACACTTCTCTCTGTAAGTCCCTAACAAATTACGCTCAGTGAAGTCCTGGATTTATCTACTTCTTATTTTTTTTTTTCTACCTTTGGCAGCTGGTTCTCATGCACCAGGATTTAAAAAAAGGCCCTATATCCAAAGACAGTCATACCAAGTACTGGGGCTAGGACTTCAACACAGGAATTTGGGACAAAGGAACACAATTCAGCCCCACAACTGAGCATTGTCACTCTTCCCTACTAACAGCAGGCTAAAAGACTAGACAATTCCGAACTCAGAATGGAGGAACTCGTTTGTCCTACTCAGTGTCTTTATCTGCCAGGTATTTGAACAAGAAGTGGAATATGAGGAGGTGAGCTGTCACGGCACACGCACAGAGCGGATGAGCATTCCTTCTGCACCAGCCTGCTGTGACTCCTGTCTCTCCATCAACCACTGCTCCAGCTTTGGGATGGAAGAAGGAAGGAGGAACAGAGAAAAGGGTCTCTTAGCTTCTGGGACATTGGACCCCTCCCACATCATTGGCTGAGCCTTCTCTCTGTCCTTTGCTGGCTCCTCTTTTAGCCACAACCTCTTAAAGTTGAAGTATACCCCAGAGCTCATTTAGGGTTTTTCCTTTATCTACTCATCCCTTTGGTGATATCATTTGGTATGCCGTCTTCATGCTGGTGATCCCTCAAGTTTATATTGCCAGTCAAGTCATCACTCATTTTTTCTGCATTCCTGTTTAGATATCTATTAGGCATATTAAAGTAGCAAAAACTGAACTCCTGGGTTTCTGCACCTCACTCCCTCACCACCACCAAAGCTCATCAAAACTGCTCTCCTTGTAGTTGATAGAACTCAAGTTCTCCAGTTGCTCAGGCCCCAAATCTGGGAGTCATTTTTACCTCTCTCTCTCTTTCATACCCTGTATCCAATCGACTACCAGCTTTTGTTGATTCTATCTTCAAACTCATAGATCCATAAATATATCCACATTTCTCACCACCACAACTGCTACTGGTCCAAGTGACCACCTGGATGACTAGAGTAGGATCTGAGCTGTTTCCACCATTCCACCTACAGAGACGATTCTCAACGTGGCAGCCCAACACCCCTATTAAGATACAAATGGTTTCCTATCTCATTCAAACTCAGTCCTTACACAGCCCCACAGCATCTACCTCCTTCCTCCACCACTGTGGATTCATGTTCTGCTAATGTCCCCAGATTCAATGGACTCCATCTAAGCCTGCTTCCTTGCTCTCCCTCAAATGCACCAGGCACATGTCTGCCTTCAAACTTTGCACTGGCTTTTGCTCTGCCCCAGACGTCCATACCTCTAAATCCACCGCTGGCTTCAAGCCTTTGCTCTAATGGAACCTTCTTAAAAAGCCCTGCCTGGCCCACCTTATCTAAAATAACCAATTTGCTGTTTACCCAGGCACCTCCCCCCCCCCCATTTTATTATTTTTAAAAGTTCTCTTCCATTATACTCTTCACCTCCTGATGTTGATACAATGTGCTGTCTTTAAATTGTGTAGATTTTTGTGTTACTCTTTCCCCACTGGAATGTAAACTCCACAGAGACAGGGATTGTTTTGTATAATGAATATTCCCAGAACAATGCTGGTTCACACGATGGGTGCCCAATAACATTTGCTAAACAAATGAACAGAAACAACATCCTGGACTTTGCTCAGAAACAAAGCTGGATATAAAATTAACACAGGAGTTAGTCATTCCTACTCTTTTCCAGCCCCTGATTTTTATTTATTTTATTTTTTTTACAGGCAGAGTGAATAGTGAGAGAGAGAGATACAGAAAGGTCTTCCTTTTTGCTGTTGGTTCACCCTCCAATGGCCGCCATGGCCATTGGACTTGGGCCATCCTCCACTACACTCCCGGGCCATAGCAGAGAGCTGGCCTGGAAGAGGGGCAACCGGGATAGAATCTGGCGCCCGACCGGGACTAGAACCCAGTGTGCCGGCGCCTCAGGCGGAGGATTAGCCTATTGAGCCACGGCGCCAGTGGACCCCTGATTTTTTTTTTTTTAAGATTTATTTATTCGAAAGAGTTAGGGAGAGGGAGATGGAGAGGGAGAGGGAGGTAGGTATTCTCACCGCTGGTTCATTTTCTAAATGGCTGCAACAACCAAAGCTGTGCAGATCCAAAGCCGGGAGCCAGGAGCTTCTTCCAGGTCTCCCACGTGGGTGCAGGGCCCAAGCACTTGGGCCATCTTCTACTGCTTTCCCAGGCCATTAGCAGGGAGCTGGATTGGAAGTGGAGCAGCCAGCACTTGAACTGGCACCCATATGGGCTGCCCACACTGCTTCCCAATCCTTGACTGGCTCTGTGTGACCTTGGACCTGCCATTTAATTTGTCCCAGCACTGTGGAACAGAGCTTTTTTAAATGACAGTCATATTATAAACCTGCATCATCCAATAAGCTGGCCACTAGCCACCTATAGCTATTGAGTGAATTGTGGCTAATGTGACTGAGGGACTGAATATTTTCAAATGTTTATTTTCATCTACTTGAAAAGCAGGGAGGGAGAGAGAGAGAGAGAAAGGGTGGGGGGAGAATATAATATTCCAACTGTTAGTTCACTCCCCAAATGCTTGCGCCAGTCAGGGCAGGGTCAGGCCAAAACCAGAAGCCAGAACTTCATCCAGGGTTTCCACATAGGTGGCAGGGCCAAGCACTTGAGCTATCACCTGCTGCCTTCTAGGACACATTAGCAGGAAACTGGATTGGAAATGGAGTAGCCAGGACTCAAACCAGTACTCTAAGAGTTGTGGGCATTCCAATCAGCAGCTAACTCACTGTGCTATACGCCTACTCTGGATATTTAACTATTCTCATTGTAATGAATTTAAGTAGCCACACATGGCTAGTGGCTCTCCCCTTGGACAACTGGACAGCGCAGGTATGTTTGCTCATCTGCCTGAGGACGAGGTGATGTGTGTCAGGCACCCAGCTGGCAGTGGCAGGTGTTCCGTGCATGCTCCCCCCACTGCCCCTCATTGTGCTGAAGCCCACCCCAGCAGCACAGCCCACTGACTACATGGCTACAGAGACTCTTTTAGAATTTTCTGTTTACTTGTCAGAGAGTAGGAGAGACTGAGACAGATAAAAAATAAGAGCTCTCATCCACTGATTCGCTCTCCAAATGCCCACAATGGCTAGGGCTCAGCCAGGCCAAAGCCAGGTGCCAGGAAGTCAATAAAGGTCTCCCATGTGGGTGACAAAGACCCAACTACTTGAGCCTCTCAGAGACCGCATTAGCCGGAAGCTGGAATCAAGAGTAGGGCCAAGGGCACAGCTCTGTGGCATAGCAGGTAAAGCAGCTGCCTGTGATGCTGCCATCTAACCTGGCTGCTCCACTTCCAATCCAGCTCCCTGCTAATGGCCTGGGGAAACAACAGAAGATGGCCCAAATGCTTGGACTCTGGCACCTACATGGGAGACCCAGATGAAGCTCCTGGCTTCAGCCTAGCTAAGCCCTAGCTGTTGTGGCCACCTTTGGAGGGAATCAGTGGGTTGAAGAGGTGTGTGTGTCCCTATCTAACTCTGACTTTCAAATAAATGCATCTTAAAAAAATAAAAGTGAGGCCGGCCAGGACTTAAACCCAGGTACTCCAATGTGAAATGCTGATGTTTTAACTGATAAATAAATCTTAAAAAAAAAAAATGGTCTATTTATTTGAAAGTCAGAGTTACACAGAGAGGAGAGGCAGAGAGAGAGAGAGAGAGAGAGAGAGAGAGAGATCTTCCATCTGCTGGTTCACTCCCCAATTGGCCGAAATGGCTGGAGCTGTGCTAATCCAAAGCCAGGAGCCAGGAGCTTCTTCTGGTCTCCCATGCAGATGCAAGGGGCCATCTTCTACTGCTTTCCCAGGCCATAGCAGAGAGCTGGATCAGCAGTGAGGCAGCCAGGACTAGAACCGGTGCCTATATGGGATGTCAGCACTTCAGGCCAGAGCGTTAACCCGCTGCACCACAGTGCTGGCCCCAGATAGACTACTTTAAAAACCAGGTCTGGAGCAAAAATTCCCATGAGGACTCTGTGAAGAAGCAGATGAAATGAAATATGGCATGGAAGGACAGGTTCCATGTGCACATCTGAAGTATCACATTTTCAGTGATTTCAAACCATTTTAAAGCCCCAGAAGTCCTAAGAGGTACTTTGGAGTCTGCTAAGATGCTTGAACAGGGGACCCAAGGAATATAATCCTCTCCACTTAAATCATTCTGCACTTGGCTGCTTTGCGGGATGGAGTCTTTTTTTTTTTTTTTTAACACTAAAACATAAGAAAAATCACATCACTATCCTGGAAGAACACTGTGCAAAGAATGTTAATGAATGTGAAACTCAACCCTAGCACCAGCACAGGAATGGGAATTCAGTCAGTTAAAACAGGATAAAAGGCCCATAAAAAGGGAGGGTGCATGGAACTCTAGTTAAGATACCGCTTGGGGGTGGACAGCGTGTGGCACAGTGGGGTAAGCTGCTGCCTGTAGTGCTGTCATTCCATATGGGTGCTGGTTAGTGTCCCACCTGCTTTGCTTCCGATCCAGCTCCCTGCTAATGGCCTGGGAAAGAAGATGGCCCAGGTTATTGGGCCCCTGCACCTGCATGGGAGACCCGGATGAAGCTCCTGGCTCCTGGCTTTGGATCAGCCCTGCTCTGGCCGTCACTGCCATTTGGGGAGTGGACCAGCGGATGGAAGACCTCTCTCTTTCCCTCTTTCTCTCTCTCCCTCCCTCTCCCCCTCTCTCTTCCTCTCTCTTCCTCTCTCCCTCTCCCTCCCTCTCTCACTCTGCTTTAATTCTGCCTTTCAAATAAGTAAATAAGTCTTTAAAGAAAAATAAGCCACTTGGATGCCTGCATCACCCCCCCCCCTTTTTTTTGACAGGCAGAGTGGACAGTGAGAGAGAGAAAGGTCTTCCTTTTTTTCCATTGGTTCACCCCCCAATGGCCACTGCACTGCAGGTGGCGTACCACGCTGATCCGAAGCCAGGGGCCAGGTGCTTCTCCTGGTCTCCCATGGGGTGCAGGGGCCCAAGCACTTGGGCCATCCTCCACTGCACTCCTGGGCCACAGCCGAGAGCTGGACAGGAAGAGGAGCAACCGGGACAGAACCTGGCACCCCAATCGGGACTAGAACCTGGTGTGCCGGCGCGCAGGTGGAGGATTAGCCTAGTGAGCCACAGCGCTGGCCAACCTGCATCCCTTTTCAAAGTACCTGATTGAATCAGCCCTTAAGGCATTCGGATATGGCTGAAGAGCCCATGAGAGTATTTTAGGCATGGAAAGCCAAGACACTCTGGGGGGGGGGGGGGGACACAAAAACAAAAACCAAAAAAAAAAACCCTAAATGAAAGATCTCTGCGAGTGAGATCCCAGTGGAGAGAATGGGGCCATCAAAGAAGGAGGTACCTTTCTCTGAAGGGAGGAGAGAACTTCCACTTTGACTATGACCCTGTCGGAATAAGATCGAAGTCAGCGAACTCAAAAGGCTTCCATAGCCTTGGCAACTCATGACTAGAGCCTAGGGAGATTACTGACACCATAAACAAGAGTGTCAATTTGTTAAGTCAACAACGGGAGTCACTGTGTACTTCTCATGTGGGATCTGTCCTTAATGTGTTGTCCAAATGTGAAGTAATGCTATAACTAGTACTGAAACAGTATTTCACACTTTGTGTTTCTGTGTGGATGCAAACTGATGAAATCTTTACTTAATATATACTAAATCAATCTTCTATATAAAGGTAATTGAAAATGAATCTTGATGTGAATGGAATGGGAGAGGGAGCAGGAGATGGGAGGGGTGCAAGTGGGAGGGAAATTATGGGGGGGAAGCCATTGTAATCCATAAGCTGTACTTTGGAAATTTATATTTACAAAAAAAAAAAAAAAAAAAAAAAAAAAAAAAAAAAAAAAAAACCACACACATACACACACACAAAGTACCTGATTCCAGCTTCCTGCTAATGCATACCCTGAGAGGCAGATGATGGCTTATGTAATTGGGTTCTTGGTATCTACCTAGGAGACTTGAATAACATTCCTGGCTTCAACCTAGACCAGCCCTAGCTGTTGCAGGCATTTGGGAACTGAACAGATAGATGGGAGATCTCTTTCTATTCCTCCATCTCTCTGCCACTCAAATTTAAAAAAAAGAAAAGTGCTGGTAGGGGGCATAAAACTGGTGTCTCAGGGCCAGCGCTGTGGCTCACTTGGCTCACTTGGCTCACTCCACCTGCAGTGCCGGCATCCCATGTGGGCGCCGGATTCTGTCCCAGTTGCTCCTCTTCCAGTCCAGCTCTCTGCTGTGGCCCAGGAGGGCAGTGGAGGATGGCCCAAGTGTGTGGGCCCCTACACTCACATGGAAGACCAGGAGGAAGCACCTGGCTTCGGATCAGCGTGGCTCCGGCTGTAGCGGCCATTTTGGGGGTGAACCAACAGAAGGAAGACCTTTGTGTCTCTAACTCTGTCGAATCAAAAAACAAACAAAAAAAAAAACAAAAACAAACTGGTGTCTCAGGCTGTTTTTTTTCTTTTTTTCTTTTTTTTTTTTTTTTTTTTTTTTTTTTTTTTAAGATTTTGAGAGTCAGAGTTACAGAGAGAGATCTTCCATCTGCTGGTTCACTCCCAAATGGCCCATATGTGATACCAGCACTTTTACCCGCTATGCCACAGTGCTGGCCCCTCAGGCTGAATTCCGAGGATCCAAATACCCAAGGTTCTCTGGACCTCAATACTCTTGCTTTAAAATCAGAGGCCTGGGATTCTGGCTGATTGGGATTTAGTAACACCAAGGCCTGATAGTTATTTTATTTCAAATATAACAGACTACAGCAAGTGCTCTACAGCATAGCATATATTACAGATCAAATACACACATTTCATATGAAGGACCCGACTTGAAAAACCAGAACTTACTCTAAGTGCACTTGCAGGGGCAAACAAGGCTCAGGAGAAGATGTTAGAACAAAGATCTTCCCAGACAGCCTTCAAAGACAACACATCTGTGGCATTGCTGGGTTGTGGAGTTTTATGTAAATGCCCATTTCAAAATCCCTGGAGTTGTGCGTGCCTAAGAGTCCGTGGGATTCTTGGCCGGAGAAGGAGGTGGGGCGGGAGGCACTCCGAGGGTAGCAGCAGTGCAGGCGGGAACGGCTTCTTCAGAGTCTGACTGGGAGTACAGGAGCATCTCCAGGGTGGCGTCCCTGTCCGTGCTGAAGACCTCTTCTCTAAAAGGAAGAGCACATGAAATGTCATTCAAATCAAAATAGATGTCATTCAAATGTCAATCAAAAATGTCATTCAAGTCAAGTCATACAGAGATGGAAGAAGTGGAAATCAGGGAAGCAGCCCCCAGGCTGAAGTCCTCGACACGTAGGAGGACATGCTTCCAGACTCCCCGACCCACACTTCCAGAGCTGTCACCTTGCAAAAACAGTTCATTCTACCTCTACTGCTGACTAGGGGCAGGGGGCAGCTTCCTCAGGTGAGCTCGATGGTCTCCAAGGATCCCATACAACCAATGGGGCTGGGGTTCCCCATCTCCAGGAGGGTCTCTTGGATTTAGAACAGGAAGTCATCCCATCAACTGGTTGTTTCTATCCTGCCCAGTCCATCTCTGTGCATTTCCACCTGAAAGGCTCTGTCTGTGTCTCAGTTGCCTTGCAGCTCTTCTCAGGGTCTACCCAGCCTTGGGTTCACTTCACATCTCCTGTGGACTTACCTTGCCCTTGTACCCAGCCTGCGGAGGTCTCCTCCCTTCTACGAAAGTAGGAGGGTGCCAGAAATGGAGTTAAAATAAATTTATTTTGGAGCAAAAGGTTCTGAAATCTATGCATAGTCTTCTCAGATTTTCCATGAATTTTTGAAGAATTTTATGCATGGATTTAAAATTTGGTGGGCGTCATGATAAATTCACCTTTTAATTCCATTTCCCACAAACCGTTTGAAAGGCAGAGAGACAGATATACTGAAAGAGAGGAGAGAGAGCAGAGGGCAAGAGCAAAAGAGCAAGAACTCCACCATCTGCCCGTCTACTTCCCAAATTCCCACAAATGCCAGGGCTGCACCTGGTTGAAGCCAGGAGCTGAGTCTCCTATGTGGGTGCCAGAGACTCCACCAGCTGAGCCATCCTTTGTTGCCTCCAGGGTGCACATTTGCAGGAAGCTGGAATCAGAGGTAGAACTGGGACTTGAACCCAGGCACTATGGCACTGGGATAGGAGACAAAGGCATCCAAGTGATGTCTTCATCACTTGAGAAAACGCTCATTCCCCACAGACTTTTCCAAGTATCTCCCTAGGTCCGGGCAAGCCCTGCCTTCAAGTGAGTAACAGCAGCCTGTCAAGCTAGCACAGGTTGAGATTTAACTGTTCCGAGTACTTACTATATTCCCGGGGACTGGAACTTAGCTGGAAACCAGAGAGGAGCTGCACAGAGATTCTGGGAGAAGGCCGAGACAGGGGATTGTCCTGGTTGTGGAGCCAGCAAGAGGCAGAACTGGGATTTAAACTTGGATTTGGATCTGGCCACAAGTTCACTGCTGTTGGAGCCCTTCCTTGATGCTGGGAGTCGGGGGTTGTCTGGTGGCCAGCAGAAGCCCCAGACTTGTGTCATGGAGTCCTTCTTGGGTGATCATGAGAGGACCGTGACCACAGCCTTCTGGAGTCAAATTGACCATGCACCCCAATCAGTAAAGATCTCAGCACCCACATATACAAGGGGACTTCAAAAAATCATGGAAAAATCAAACTGAAGATAATGTATGGGGTGGGCTTTTAGCCTACTGGCTAAGATGCCAGTTGGGGTGCCATATTCCATAACAGAGTACCTGAGTTCAAGTCCCAGCTATGTTTGATTTCAGCTTCCTGTTAATGTGTACCCTGGGCGGCAGCAGATGATATTTCAAGTAGCTGGGTCCCTGCCACCCATGTGGGAGATTTCGATTGAGTTCTTGGCTCCCAGCCTCAGCCTGACCCAGCCCCATTTGAGGAGTGAACCAGAGGATGCGAGCTCTAATTAAAAAATAAAGAGGGGCTGCCACTGTGGCATAGCGGGTAAAGTCGCCGCATGCAGTGCTAGCATCCCATATGGGTGCCAGTTTGAGTCGACTGCTCTTCTTCTGATCCAGCTCTCTGCTATGGCCTGGGAAAGCAGTAGAAAATGACCCAAGTCCTTGGGTCCCTGCACCTTCGTGGGAGACCTGGAAGAATCTCCTGGCTTCTGATCGGCGCAGCGCTGGCTGTTGTGGTCAACTGGGGAGTGAACCAGCAGATGGAAGACCTCTCTCTCTCTCTCTGCCTCTGCCTCTGTGTGTGTGTGTGTGTAACTCTTTCAAACAAATCTAAAAAAATAACACAAGTATCAATGAATGTTTGTGAAGCCCCTTCATATGTTAACGAAGAAACTGTATACAATTCTATCAATTTGTTTATAACATATCCCAAGAACCTCTAAGGTCAAGGAGCATGGGAATGAGTATCAGATGGCATCTATATTATGGATGGATTCAATGTTTACCAATAATTCTGATATTTGTAACCGCATGCTTCTCAGGTTTAGTAAGATCATTTTTAAGCCAATAATGTACCTGACAAAGAGCTCAAGCCAGATGTGTCATTTTTGCCGGTTTTTGTGGTCTATTCATAGTTGTACTATTACAGTTATTTCGATCCAGAATTTCTTGGCAGAAATGTTTTAGACCACTTGTCTCTTTGGGGGGTTATATTTGCCAAGACTAATACAACTTGTAAATCCATTAACTAACCCAAGCAAACTACAACATATTGGCATTTGCTGAAAGTGAATCAAGAAGCTCCCACTGACCTTGGCCTTGAACCCTGACTCTTGAGCCAGGAAGGACCCATTGCTTATGTGTGATCTCCCAACACACAGTGAGGGCACAAGGCCCAAACAGCAATGTCAGTAGCGTTCACTTTTCTTATAAATTGGAGTCCTGTTTTCTTCATATACCTTTATGGGGTGCTGTGGGTATCTCCCTGGATTTGGGGATTGTAGACCAGAGAGAGGAGAGGGCATCCCCCATAGCAGCCATCAAACCCTTGCCAGATACAGCAAACAAAAATTCAGGTCACCCCATTATATCTGACTTTCAGATAAACGGCTAATTTTTTTTTTTGACAGGCAGAGTGGACAGTGACAGAGACAGAGAGAAAGGTCTTCCTTTTTTTCCGTTGGTTCACCACCCACCCCAATAGCCACTGCGGCCAGTGCATTGTGGCCGGCGCACCGCGCTGATCCGAAGCCAGGAGCCAGGTGCTTCTCCTGGTCTCCCATGCAGGTGCAGGGCCCAAGGACTTGGGCCATCCTCCATTGCCCTCCCGGGCCACAGGAGAGAGCTGGACTGGAAGAGGAGCAACCGGGACTAGTACCCGGCGCCCCAATTGGGACTAGAACCCAGTGTGCCGGCGCTGCAGGCGGAGAATTAGCCTGGTGAGCCATGGCGCCAGCACAACAGCTAATTTTTAATGTACCACAAATATCCATAGAAATTTTATCTCTGCAAGCCACCGCCACCCTCCCCCCCACCCATGCCTGGTTAATTTCTTTTCATCTAAAATCCAAATTTAACTGAGCTTTCCATGTTTTATTTGCCAACCCTCGTGGAACAGTCTCAGGCAGTTGAGATCTCCCAGAACTGTGGCTCTATACCCACAGGCAGACCCCTCGGCCAACCCAGCTGGTGAGGGCCTCTTTGTACAGGCTCTCTGGCTCCCTCATGTCTGTGTGTAGGCCGCAGAGGCGAAGGAGACACGCACAGTCCTGGCCAGCAAGAGGCTTACACCACGGGAGGAACGAGGATGAGCTCGAAGAGTGCACCCTGGCCCCAGACTTTGTCTGGAAAGGGACACATTTTCATACAGGTTTGCCACATCATAACTTGTCTCCCATTACTGAAGCACCAAAGGGATTCCCTCCGCGGCCAGGGGTCACTGATGCTCACCCCCCACCCACCCACACAGCAGACACACATCACCCCTTGAAGGGCTGTGGGAGAAGGCTCTGGTCTCCACAGCAGCTGCAAAGCAGCGTCCCCCTCTGAATACGTGGAGGTGAGCCAGGACCTCCTGCAGTTTCAGACCCCACGCCGTCCGCACCGCACCAGAGAGGCAGAGGAGAGCTTTTGGGTACCTCGTGGTCATGGTGACTCTGCGCCTGGTCACCTCGGAAGCCAGGTCTTCGTAGGGGAAGGTAACGCTCTTGTTCTTGAGGCTCTTCTGAGCCATGGCCTTGTTACCCAGACCACGTGAGGAATTTAGATCCACTGCACCTGTGAATCCAGAACATCACGTATGCTTCCGGGGTCAGGAGGCTGCCCCAATTCAGCCCAGCACAGTGGACTTTCACTGTTATATTCTAAGTGGGTCCTCCCTGTAGTCTGGTCCTCTTCGCAGATGCTCTCTCAAATACCTGCTACGGGGACTTGATGGGAGAAAAATCAAGGTCCTAGCTGACCATTTAGCTAGGGCAGACATGATTATCTCAATCAGGCAGTGAGGAAGCTGAGCGAAGCTATTGTTATCCCCAGGTGATGGCTGAGAAACGGAGGCCCAGAGAGGTGGACTCTCTCCAGGTTGCACAGCAGGCCCTGTCCCAGGCTGCTTCCCCTCTAAGGGTGGCACCCCAGGGGACTCTCGGTGTCAATGATATACACAGGGCTTTCTGCCTGCAGCACTCACCGTCTAAAGAACAGGAAGGGGGCAGAGGCAAAGCTGGGGCTTGGAGCCAGGTAGCACAGAAACTGGAAGGTTGATGTTAAAGACAGAAGCAATAGCAGTCCCCATGCACTGCAGGCCACCTACATTATTTTATTTGATGATCACAGTAAGTCAACAAATATTATGATCCCCATTTGACAGATGCGGACAGGGAGCAGAAGAGCAGCAGAGAAATTAGCCCACTTCCTCAGGAGGAGGCACAGAGCTAGAATTTGAATCTAAGTCTATCTAGCCTCAAAGGTTATGCTCCAGGGGCCGGCACTGTGGTGTAGTGGGTAAAGCTGCCGCCTGCAGTGCCAGCATCCCATCTGGGCATGGGTTCCAGTCCTGGCTGCTTCTCTTCCAATCCGGCTCTCTGCTGTGGCCTGGGAAAGCAGTAGAAGATGGCCCAAGTCCTTGGGCCCCTGCACCCATGTGGGAGACCCAGAAGAAGCTCCCGGTTCCTGGATTTGGTCTGGCTCAGCCCTGGCTGTTGCGGCCATCTGGGGAGTGAACCAGCAGATGGAGGATCTCTATTTCTAACTCTTTTAAATAAATAAAATGAATCTTAAAAAATAAAAAATAAAAAGATTATATTCTAGACTACAGAGCCCAACAACTCTCAAGTTCCGCCCTGCAGCTGAGGCATTGCCAAAGAATAAGAATTGAGTTCCCATTCCTGGACACCAGGTCGCACTCACATGGCAACACTGCAGTGTCAGAACACGAACTACATCATCCTCAGCTTCTCTCTGTGACTTTCTGGCTGGAACCTTTTATTCTTACAAGGGTGCCCAATGCCCAGTCGACTTACCTTTTAATCCCAGATCAGCTTAGTCTACAACCACTTGCACACTTCAGCTCATGGCTCATGGCCTGCTGAAAAATGCCTGCATGACTCTGTTTCCACACATCAGCTACTCCCCCTCGTCCCAGAAGGAAAAAGACCACCAACCTCAGCTTCCTCCCCTCCAGTCCTTTATCCTCCTGTTGTCGGTCTCTCTCAGGAATGAGTTAATTGGATTGGTAGCTGCTGGCACAAATTATGCCCGCAGGTGTAGCCTTGAGAAACCTCCACAGATGCGGCAGGGAAAGATGGGTCTTGGGTGCAGAGCAGGTCAAGGCAGAGTTTTGTTTGTGACTTGGGCCACAGGGAAGCATTCGCTTACATGCTGGTCAGCATAATATCTTTTATTTAAAAAATATTTATTTATTTGAAAGGTAGAGTTACAGAGAGGAAGAGGCAGAGACAGGAGGGGTGGGGCCTTCCATCTGCTGGTTCACTCCCCAGATGGCCGCAACAGCCAGAGTTGGGCCAATCTGAAGCCAGGAACCAGGAGCTTCTTCTGGGTCTCCCACACGGGTGCAGGGGCCCAAGGACTTGGGCCATCTTCTACTGCTTTCCCAGGCCATAGCAGAGAGCCGGATTGGAAGAGAAGCAGCCAGGACTGGAACCCATGCCCAGATGGGATGCTGGCACTGCAGGCAGTGGCTTTACCCACTATGCCACAGTGCCGGCCCCTGGAGCATAACCTTTGAGGCTAGATAGACTTAGATTCAAATTCTAGCTCTGTGCCTCCTCCTGAGGAAGTGGGCTAATTTCTCTGCTGCTCTTCTGCTCCCTGTCCGCATCTGTCAAATGGGGATCATAATACATTGCAGGCAGCAGATTTACCCAATATGCCACAGCGCCAGCCCCCAGCATGACATCTTGTCCCAGTATCTGTTGACTACAGGTTTAAAAGTGGATTCAGGTATGCCCCTGCTCCCAGCACCATCGTAACCACCTACCCCTTCTTTTCCTGACAATTGAGAACACTGCTGCTTAGGTGGCAGGTGCTCCCATTTTTGAAATTAAAGGAGTTGAGGGCAGGTGTTTGGCGAAGCTGTTAGGGAGTCAGTTAGGACACCTGCCTCCCCTAATCAAGTACCTGAGTTTGATACCCAGCTACATTCCTGACTCCAGAGTCCTTATGCAGACCCTGGGAGATAGAGCTGATAGCTCAAGTGATTGGGTTCTTGCCACCCTCCAGGGACATGAGCTGAGTTCCTGGTTCCTGGTTTGAATTCCTGGCTTCCAGTTTCAGGACCAGCCATTGTGGGCATTTGGGAAGTGAAGTAGCAAGTGGAACATTTCTCTGCCTTTAAAAGAAATTTTTAAGAATGAATTAAAGGAGTTTACTGCAGAACTCCTATTTTTTTTTTAAAAAGCTTTATTTATTTATTTGAAAGGCAGTTATAGAGGCAGAGGCAGAGAAAGAGAGAGAGAGGTCTTCCATTCACTGGTTTACTCCCTATATGGCTGTTACAGCTAGAGCTGGGCTGATCCAAAGCCAGGAGCTTCTTCTGAGTCTCCCACATAGGTGCAGGGTCCCAAGGACTTGGATTATCTTCCACTGCTTTCCCAGGTGCATTGGGAGGAAGCTGGATCAGAAGTGGAGAAGCCAGGACTCAAACCAGCACCCATATGGGATGCCAGCACTGCAGGTGGTAACTTGCTGCACCACAACACCGGCCCCCAAAGCTCCTACTTTTTCTTTCTTTCTTTCTTTCTTTCTTTCTTTCTTTCTTTCTTTCTTTCTTTCTTTCTTTCTTTCTTTCTTTCTTTCTTTCTTTCTTTCTTTCTTTCTTTTTTGACAGGCAGAGTTAGTGAGAGAGAGAGACAGAGAGAAAGGTCTTCCTTTTCTGTTGGTTCACCCCCAAAATGGCCGCTAAGACCAGCGGGCTGCGCTGATCCAAAGCCAGGAGCCAGGTGCTTCCTCCTGGTCTCCCATGCAGGTGCAGGGCCCAAGCACTTGGGCCATCCTCCACTGCATTCCTGGGCCACAGCAGAGAGCCGGACTGGAAGAGGAGCAACTGGTCAGAATCTGGCACCCCGCTCGGGACTAGAACCCCGGGTGCTGGCACCGCAGGCAGAGGATTAGCCAAGTAAGCCGTGGCGCCGGCCTAGAACTCCTACTTTTGAACTGAGTTATTTTGGGCAAGTAATTTAACCTCTTATTCATAATAGAGGAGTGTCATTACCTTCTAGGGCAGTTGTGATGATTTAAAAAAATTTGCAAAAATCTCAATTTTTTCTTATGGCTTTTTAAAAAGATTTATTTATTAGAAAGGAAGAGTTACAGAGAGACAGAAGGAGAGATGGAGAGAGATATCTTCCATCCACTGGTTCATTCCCCAAATGGCTGCATTGACCGGGGCTGGGCCAGGCTGAACCCAGGAGCCAGGGGCTTCTTCCAGGTCTCCATGTTGGGTGCAGGGGTTCAAGCACTTGGGTCACCTTCCACTGCCTTCCCATGCAGAGAGCTGGATCAGAAGTGGAGCAGCTGGACTTGATCCGGCGCCCATATGAGAGGTAGTATGACTTAGCCTACTATGCCACAGCACTGGCCCCTGTGCTCCTTTCTTAAAATAACCTGTGTTGTATGTGTTGATTACGATTTCGTCTCACTGCCTTCGGCGACCACATCTGAACTTTAATAAGAATCCTCTGAGTTCACTGCAGTTCAGATGTATCTGAGGTGACAGCCCTTGAGGATGTGCCACACTCATGTAAGTGTGTTCCTGAATCCTGGCATCCAAACATGAAGTTTACATTTCATGTAAGGCTACGCCCTATATTAAGGTAGATGAACAATAACAATGTGTTTTTCTTTGGATTGATGATAATGAAACCACAACATAAAACATCTGCTATCTGTGAATGATAATGTGCAATAAAGTCTGAAATCAAACCAAGGTCAAGTTGACACCAAGGCTTGTCAATTGAACAACTACATTTTTCCAGGGATAAAATAAAAGAAAAACATGTATCCTTTAGAAACAATAGAAAAAAATTAAAAGAGAAGGAAGGGAGGAAGGAAGGAGGGAAGGAAGGAGGGAAGGAGGAAGGAAGGGAGAAAGGGAGGAAAGAAGGAAGGGAGGGAGGAAGGAAGGGAGGGAGGAAGGAGAGTATTATGACCTTAGAATTCTATCTATGAACTACATGGAATCTGTTCTCTTTATATTATTATCACATTAATGTGAGAGTTGTGTTATAGTAACTACCATGTATTTGCTGTGGCCCTGACAATGTGACATATTAATAAACTCCTTTAAAAAGAAAAATAAAATTATGGTGCAAGGGTAAATACATCAGTAGGTTCTAAAGAGAGGGAGGGAGGGAGGGAGAGAGAGAGAGAATGAGTAGATGAAGACAGAAACCTTTGCCTGCTATGAGGCAGCAAGAAAGTGCTCACCAGATGCCTACACCCTGCTCTTAGCCTTTCCAGCATCTAGAACTGAGAGCCAAAAAAACTTCTTTATAAAAATAATTACTGGAGCTGGCGCTGTGGCGCAGCGGGTTAATGCCCTGGCCTGAAACACTGGCATCCCATATGGGTGTCAATTTGAGACATGGCCACTCAACTTCCATTCCAGCTCTCTGCTATGGCCTGGGAAAGCAGTAGAAGATGGACCAAGTCCTTGGGTCTCTGCACCCACGTGGGAGACCCGGAAGAAGCTCCTGGCTCCTGGCTCCTGGCTTCAGATCAGCCCAGCTCCAGCCATTGCGGCCAGTTGGGGAGTGAACCATCGGATGGTTCTCTCTCTCTGCCTCTTCTCTCTCTGTGTAACTCTTTCAAATAAATAAATAAATATTTTTTAAAAATAAAAATAATTACTTACTTAAACAGACATATAAAAAAAAAAAGAAAAGCATACAACCAAACCACAACCCATTGTCAGTAATTTAAAAAGACAGACAGTGAAACTTGTTAGATTCTCTTGGTTGCCTGGAAAATAGACTGAGGATACTTCACAAGACACAGGTTGTTGTGAGGAGACTCAAGGCTAGAGGAGACAGGGTCCTCTTGGAAGAACAGGAAAGGTGAACCTACAGGGCCTCATGGGAAGCGTTGAACTGGAATGCTAAAGACACATCTGGGGTGCTCTCATCTCGTCATCCTTACTACAGTGGAAACTGACCGCTCTAGCACTCTACCATGAATGTGACTTAGCCCTTCTCAGTTTCTGCCAAGTTTAGAAGGCATACATAACTTTTGGTAGACATAAGCAGAGTGCAGATAACAGGACAGTCAGCACTACCATGTGAATCCCTCAGCTCCTCTGATTCGCTCTGGAATCTCCAAACTTCCTTGGCTAGGTACCAACCCAAGTTATCTTCATTTCTTTACCTACACGACGTGACCCATGCAGTTGTGTCTGGAGAACAATTTGTAACCTTGATAACTGGTCTCATTTTAAATTCATGACCGCAGGGGCTGGTGTTGTGGCACAGAGGGTTAAGCTGCTGCCACCTGTGCTGCTGGCATCCCTTATGAGTGCCAGTTCGAGTCCTGGCTGCTCCACTTCTGATCCAGCTCCCTACTAATGTGCCTGGGAAAGCAGCAGAGGATGGCCCAAGTGCTTGGGCCCATGCCATACTACATGAGACCTGGGTGGAGTTTCAGGCTCCTGGTCAATGTTGAGGCCATCTGCGGAGAGAACCAGTGGATGGAGTCATCTCTCTCTGCCTTTTAAATAAATTAATCTTTTAAAAAATAAATTCATGACTGTATTTCTAAGTGGGTGCATAGCCTAGGTTTAGGTACCTCCTCATGTCTCCTAAAGTCTCCAAACACTTCTCACTGCTAGCTGAGGAAAATTGGGACAGCTGTAGAACTCCCACCTCTGCCACATTCACTCACCTGCAGCTCTGCTACTTCTCCTCTATCGATTCTCTTCTCAGAGCCCAGCTCTTCCCCTCACACACTAGATCTCACTCTCTCTCCTCTACTCAGAATTTTCAGTCTTCATTCTAGCAATTCTCTCTTGTCTGATTATCACACTTTCCCTATCAGGTTGTTCCCATTAGTGTAGAAAGAGGCTATTTCTGCCATCTAAAACCTGCTCTGTAGTCTGTTTCCTCCCACCACAAAGCAAACAAAAATTGCTTGAAAGAGGTTAGGCAAGGTTCCTTTCCATTCTCTATCAAATCCACTCACTCCAGATATGATTTGTCTAAACCTTGCTCATCTTACTCAGCCATTAACAGCCTTTGTAGATAGTACCCTCCTCCTGGGAACATTTGTTCCACTGACTTCTGGAACACCACTCTCTCCCCTGCTCTGACCTCACTCACTACTTTGTCTCAGTCCCCTTTGCTAGTTTCTTATCTTGCTACTTGTTAACAGTTGTGCATACAAGGCTCACTAATAGGGTCTCTCCTCTTCCCTATAATTCATTTCTCTGCTGATCACATTTGGTCTCATTAAATCTATAGGATGACACCCATTCATTCATCTATGATACTGTCTCTCAAGACTAATACACCACCTACTTGATATCTTTGAATGAACAAACATGTAAACTCAGAATGTCCAAGACTGAACTCCTGGTTGATGCCTTCAACCCATTTTAGCCTTCTGAATGATGCCTTCTCCATTTTAGCCACTCAAGCCCCTTAACATGAAGCCATCCTTGCCTCCCAACCCCCCAGCATCTCCAATCCACATTCAATACATTGGCAGATGGATCATCAGGTCTCCTCTTCAAAATTATACCCAGAATTCCACCTCTCCTTTATTACCTCTGCTGTGACCACCCTGCCCCAGCTTGCCATCATCTTTGGTGTGGGTTATTGCAAAATCTCCTGCATCAGACCCCTGCTTTCATGCTTGCTTCCTCTTTCAGTCTATTTGCAACACATAGCTAGAACTATCTCTTAAAAATGTCACATCACGTTACTCCTGCACTCCAAACTATTCTCTGATTTTCCACTCCACTCAGAGTAAAAACAAAAACCTTACAATCCTTTTTTTAAAATTATTATTTATTTGAAAGTCAGAGTTACACAGAGAGAAGGAAAGCCAGAGAGAGAGGTCTTCCATCTGCTGGTTCACTCCCCAATTGGCTGCAACAGCTGGAGCTGTGTCGATCCAAAGCCAGGAGCCAGGGGCTTTTTCTGGGTCTCCCACGTGGGTGCAGCAGCCCAAGGACTTGGGTCATCTTCCACTGCTTTCCCAGGCCATAGCAGAGAGCTGGATCAGAAGTGGAGCAGCTGGAACTCAAACTGGTGCCCACATGGGATGCTGGCGCTACAGGTGGCGGCCTAACTATGCCACAGTGCTGGCCCCTACAATGCCTTTCAAGGTCTCATACCATCTACCTTCCTCCCTTAACCCCCACCCCCACCCCCGTTTGTTTTCCTGATCACACCACTGCCTTCCTCTCCCTTTTCCTCATTCTGCTCTAACCACGTGGCTTCATCACGTGGCTTGAACACCCAGGGGCATTCCCTCCCACCTCAAGCCAAGTCTTTGTCTTAGCTGTTGCCTCCCGTGGAATATTCTTGCCCCAGATATGCCCAGTTTATTCTCTCTTCCTCCGTTTTGGGTCAATGTCTCCTGCACAGCAATGCCTTTTCTGATTATTCCCTCTAAATGACAGGAAGAGCATTTTCCATGCCACATTCACTGCCGTATCTCAACACCCAAAACTATGCCTGTTTAATGTTGTGGTTGTGTGCACCATCCTGATTCCTTTCAGGGGAGGCACTTGTTTCCCCAGCTGCCCAGCATGTTGGTGGCTGGTTGCTTTCCAGGCAGTGCTTCAGCTGAAGCCGCTGCCTCCACCAAGTTCATACCCCTCCTGAGAGATGTTGTTAGCCTCTAACCGATGACCTGCTTGTGTGGGAGCATAAAGGCTATCTGCTTCAATCTAGGATGACTCTGAAGGCCACTCTGAGCTCTTGGGCTGCCTATACAATCAGCTGGGCAGAGGGCCCACCACTGGTGCTGAGTGGAGCATTCATACTCCTTGACAGGGGCTAGTGCTTGGCCTAGCAGTTAAAATGTCCATTGGGATGTTCATGTCCCATGTTGAAGTGCCTGGATCCAATACCAGGCACTTTCATTTCTTACTAATGTGGAGCCTGGGAGGCAGCAGTGATACCATGAAGACTTGCACTCAGTTATTGGCTCCTAGTTTTCGTTACGGTGTGTATTTGAATGTGAACTATCAGGTCGGAGTTTTCTCCCTCTCTCTTCTCCAATCAATCACTAATTAAGAAAATACTCCTTGGCAAACTTAATGGTACTGGTAGCTTTGGGATCCGCAAGGAGGGAAGGCCTACACTTCCGGGAATGGAGAGGCCTACTTCCGGGGAAGAAAGTCCTTGTCAAGGTCCCTGCGGGTACCTAAAGGTCAACGAATGAAGATCAGACCCGCCTCAACCTTTAACCCCCATGCCCTGAATCTACAAAAGGAGCTCTCCCAATCTCTAACGCACGACTTCCCTGGCCCCCGCTCTGTTGGGACCGTGGAACCTCGCCCGGGAGCAGAACCCCAATAAAAGCCTGTGAATTAATGGATTTGTCTGCCTGGGAAGATTTGTTACAGGTACAACTGTTAAAAATTTCACTAGTTGGGGCCGGCGCCGTGGCTCACTTGGCTAATCTTCTGCCTGCAGTGCCAGCATCCCATTTGGGCACTGGTTCTAGTCCCGGTTGCTCCTCTTCCAGTCCAGCTCTCTGCTGTGGCCCAGGAGTGCAGTGGAGGATGGCCCAAGTGTTTGGGCTCCTGCACCTGCATGGGAGACCAGGAGGAAACACCTGGCTCCTGGCTCTGGATTGGCGTAGCTCGCTCTCTCTAACTGTCAAATAAAAAACAAAAAAACTTCACTGGTGGTAAATTGGAAGCGGTACTGTTGGAAGAGAATGAACCGGCAGGTGCAATATGTCAAGCTTCTCAAGAGGTTTAGGGAACTACAAATTGTAAAGACAATACCTCTTGCTGAGTGCTATGGATGGAGTTGAGAAAGACTGGGAAGATCAATCAGCACTTGAAGGGAAGGAATGAGGGCAGGGGCCTCCTTAGAGCACACAGCCAAGGGAAGCGAAGCAGGGACTGAGTTAGAAAAGCAGTCTCCCAGTGAAGGGTAAGTAGCATCGGGACTCTGAGATTTGTATGAAAAGTTGTGGGTGACAACAGTTGGAAACCCTGAACCCTCTGGGCCCACAGAAATGGTTTAGTCCTCCTGGTTGGAGTCCAGCACTCCTCCTGACTGAAGATGCTGCCTGTATCTTGAAAGGCAATCCATGTTACTCTTGGGATTTTCTTTTTTTTTTTTTTTTCAAAGATTTATTTGAGAGTAGGGGTAGGGGCGAGAGAATTTTCCTTCTGCTTTCTAAAAAAAAAAGATATAAAAGGTAGAATGAGAATGTATCTTAGGTTGAGAAGACTGTTAGGCCTAAACGTGTTTATGTACATCTTTTCTAACAGGCAACAAGTCACCGGTCATTTTTAATACTGGCATCACCACATATTTCATAGCTTCTTAATAGAGTCTTTACATTGTCTTGCCATCTTTTGTCTAACCCTTGGATAGACATTTCTTAACATTTACTTATTTGAAATGTGGAGAGAAATTTCCCTTCTGCTCATTCACGCCCCAAATGGTCACCAACAACCAGGGATGGGTCAAGCTGAAGCCAGGAGGAGCACCAGGTCTCCCCATGTGAGTGGCAGGCATTCAAGTACTTAGGCCATCATCTGCTTTCCAGGTACATTGGCAGAAAGCTTAGTAAGTGGAGGAGCCAGGACTCAAAAGGGACAGGATGGGACGTGGGGCCCGGTAATCCCAAGTGAGTCCCAAACAAGCATTTACACAGGACGAGACTATGGTATGACTAGACTGTGTCAGGTGCTGGGAATACAGAAAAGTTTCAGCACAATCTAATGGGTGGGGTCTTTGGAACCTGGCCTCTATTTCATAAAAACCCCAAGCCTTCTTCCAGTGTAGCTCTTTTCCTTTTCATCTGTGATGCCCAACTTTCTTAATATGAATGAAATCTTCAAAGGTTTTTAGGTAGTTCTGATCTGGCCTGTTTTTCGCCATTTCTGACACTAGTAAGTAGACTACATGTAAAATTCGAGTCTTACTGGTTTATGTGCAAAAGAAGTTCCATCATCTGAGCTGGATAAAGTTCCCAAATAACAATGTTTAGTGGGGAACAGAGGGATTACTAAGCACAGCCTATAATCGCAGGTAGGTTTGAGGTTCAAGAAGAGTGTAGAGCAGGGGTGGGTACTTTTCTTCTGTCAAGGGCCATATGGATATTTATATCATTTGCAGACCACACAAAATTATCGACTTGAAAAGTGCTGCTGGGGCCGGTGTTATGGTGTAGTGGGTAAAGCTAGGCCAAGTCAAAGCCAGGAGCTTCTCTGGATCTTTCACTTAGGTGCAGGGGCCATCTTTGCATTGCTTTCCAAGGTGCATTAGCAGGGAGCTGGATCACAAGTGGGCCATTTAGGACTAGAACCCGCACCTATGTGGAATGCCAGTGTCAGGCGGTGGTTTTACCTGCTACATAACACTGGCCCCTTTGGGGCTGACTTGACCAGATACTAATATGGCAGCATTTAAACTCTGCTATGGCGTAGTGGTTAAAGCCACCACCTGTGGTGCCAGCATCTCCTATGTGGGTTGGTTCAAGGCCTGACAGCTTCACTTCCAATGCAGCTCTGCTAATGGCCTGGGAAAGCAGTAGAAGAGTCCAAGTGCTTGGGCCCCTGCATCCACGTGGGAGACCCGGAAGAAGCTCCTGGCTTCAGATCAGCCCAGCTCCAACTGTTGTAGCCATTTCGGGAGTGAACCGGAAGATCAACTCTATACTAAGTAAAGATTTCAACAGTTTGCACCCACACAGACACACAAAGTATGAAGTACTGTTTGAAGTTTTACCATTATTTCTCACAGTATAATTCATCAAGGACAGAGGTCCTACATGGGAAGCAAGTGCCCAGTGACTCCTGTTGTTAACAATTGACCTCTTATTTATGTCAGTGATCACCAGAGGTTCTTGTCATGAGCTGCCAAGGCTATGGAAGCCTCTTGAGTCCACAAACTCCAACATTATTTACTTATTTATATTATATTTTTGACAGGCAGAGTAGACAGTGAGAGACAGAAAGGTCTTCCTTTTCCGTTGGTTCACCCCCCAAATGGCTGCTATGGCCGGTGCGCTGTGGCCGGCACACCACACTGATCCGAAGCCAGGAGCCAGGAGCTTCTCCTCATCTCCCTTGCAGGTTTCCCGGGCCACAGCAGAGAGCTGGACTGGAAGAGGAGCAACTGGGACAGAATCCGGCACCCCAACCAGGACTAGAACCCTGGGTGCTGGTGCCGCAGGCAGAGGATTAGCCAAGTGAGCCATGGTGCTGGCCTCCAACATTATTTAGACAAGGCCATAATCCAAGTAGAAGAGAAAGGTACCTCCTTTGATGATCCCTTCTTTCCACTGGGATCTCACTCAGAGATCTTTCATGCAGGCCAGTTTTTGCCACAATGTTTTGGCTTTCCATGCCTGAAATGCTCTCATAGGCTTTTTAGCTAGATCAGAGTGCCTTAAGGACTGATTCTGAGGCCAGAGTGCTGTTTGGGGCATTTGTCATTCTATGAGTCTGCTGGGTGGCCTGCTTCCCACGTTGGGATTATTCTTTTTTAATACTATCTATTGTTATTAGCAAACACTTGGTCTAATTTATGTGATCCCTTTGACATTTATTCCTATCTTTATCATCAGTTAAGCACTTAAAATGATACCTTTAACAAGTACGATGGCATTAGTACCTGCCAACTTAATGGGATTTAGAGTTCCATGGCAAGTTTTTAGCTTTACTCTTGTCTGCAGCCAAGTGTTTGTATATAAATAAGCACACTTCGGTATTGTGAAAATAATTCAAAGACTCTTCAAACTCTTCTCACATCCACCAACCCCACTCCCCTTCTAACATAAGCACACTTATTATTCACTAAGGTCACCTGCCCTCTACTTATCACATCAGTTCAAGGGGCAGAGAATGCTCTAAAGTTCATGTGACCTAATTTTTTGTCAATTGACCATCTTTTGGATTATCACATCATGTGTCAGAAGCCAGGAACAAGATTTGCATGATCAAACTGTGGAGAAACACAGATCATATTCCACCTCCCAACTCTTAATTTAGATCATATCCAGAAAATGTTAAACAGAAACAAGACAAGGCTTATTGGTACTACAGAATTTTAAGTGTTTAAGAATCAAAGTATCCCTGAGTCAAAATGACACATATCTCATTTGTGACCAAGTGACCAGTATGGATAAAACTGGGTCTGGAGGCCATGTGTCCTGGGATAGGGTTTAAGGATAAGCAGCTACAGTACCTTGGTACTTCACTTTACAAACTGAACACATGACAAATAAGGAGGCGACCATGTCAAAGAATGCATTATATTTAAAAGTAAATACTGAGATCTACTTTTTTTTGACAGGCAGAGTGGACAGTGAGAGAGACAGATAGAAAGGTCTTCCTTTTTCCATTGGTTCACCCTCCAATGGCCATTGTGGTTGGCACGCTGCGCTAATCTGAAGCCAGGAGCCAGGAGCTTCTTCCGGGTCTCCCAAGTGGGTGCAGGGGCCCAAGGACTTAGGCCATCTTCTGCTTTTCCAGGCCACAGCAGAGAGCTGGACTGGAAGAGGAGCAACTGGGACAGAATCCGGCGCCCCGACTGGGACTAGAACCAAGGGTGCTGGCGCTGCAGGCGGAGGATTAGCCTAGTGAGCTGCTTTGCTGGCCGAGATCTACTTTTGATACTTCAAATTTCTACCCAGAGGCATGGTGAAACTTGTTTTTACATGTGCATTCTGTAACAAAAAATTTTTCACTTACAGTTTGGCTACCCAGAGAACCATAGCTATGACTATTATCTTCCAGAACAATAGTTATTTTGATTGAATAAACTTTAGAATTCTTGGAAGTTCAGAAATCATGTCCTTGGATGATCATTTTTTCCTATAGCATAATGCAGTACCAATATTTCTGGTACACCTGACAGACCTAGCTTCAGATTTTAAGAATGGACGAGAAGCTCCCAAGATCTCATTATTTAGAGAATACTTTATTAGTTCTGTAATCAAACCCACGTAGATAAGACCTTACATATTTAATACAGTGCGTTACCCCTGTACAAATGGAAAAAAAAATTAAGTTTAACGTTTCTAGACCAATATGGCTGTTAATTTCTGTACAATGCCAACTCAACACGGTAAACTGGGATACTTTTCTCAAAGTTGACAGCACAGCTAAAGTTTCCAAAAATTCAATTATATATATGTATATATATATATATTTATATAAAAAGACCAGTAATAGCAGTATGTTATGTATCAATAGCAGCAACAGCTTTTCCAGGTTCTGCAGTCATTTGAACAAAATTATAGAGACATCTAGCACACTCCATTAAAAAAAAAGAAAAAAGGTAAAAAAACAAAACCCCGAAAACAGCAAAGTTTTGTTACTGTCGTGGTACCTGGCACCATTTTTTTTTAATTAGCTTCTCAATCATCTGGAAAGAAAACATTCTAGAATAACATCATTAAAAACAGCTCTGATAAAGCACAGTCACTACTACGTATCATGAAGCAGGTACAAGATATTTTACATTCACAGAGGTATGATACAGTACTGTCCTACATCTATAATACTAGAGGATACAATTAAAAGGCATTATTTGAGACTTGATTCTACTTTCCCAGCAGAGGGCCCAAAGGATGGTATGACACAGCTCTGTAAAGAAATGTACCTTCTTTGATGAGATTTCATTAGTGGCACAGTTCTAGGTACTCACTGTTCTTCACGAACATCAGCTAAAAAACCGTTAAAAAGGGGGGGGGGAGATTCGATTCATACAAAGATGATGGAGTGGAGGCAAGCAAGATTCAACCTAACTAGTATTTTACCAGATCTGTGACATTTGAATGGTGAGAGCTCCATAGAAGAAAGGAGATGCCAAACAGTGCTTTGAAGCTTTGGACCACAACCAAAACACAGCATCATTTCAAACAGAGGCAGTAACCAAACACTGCTCGCTTGGCAGGTCAAGGATGCTGACATCAATATTAAATCATCTGCTCACTCATTCAGGAAGAAGGGGAGATCAGTTACCACTGTACTTTGATTGTGTTCAACTCAATCACCATGTTACAAAAATAGCAAAGCTGCCATAATAAAAAAATAAGGCTCCTCTATCCAGCACCAGTCATCTTCAGTTCTTCACCTGCAAGCCTATCAATGGCATAACCACATCCAAAAAATATAAGGGGACAAAGAAACCACATCTGACGTTTTAGCTGAGACCACCACATTGCTCAGGCAGAGCCATTCCTCTGCAGTATGACTTTCCTCTTGGTTCTGCTGTTTCACATGACCACTAAGGATTTTTAGGTCTAGACTGTATGCACTTGAGAACCTTGTGCAAATAGTTGTATAGAAATTCGACTGAAGACACATGGCCATCAACTGAGCACACGTTATAGAGAAGGTACAAGCTTGCAAAGCCTCATTTCTACAGGTGCAGCAGCTGTGTGTCAGTGTAAATTGCTCCTGTGTTCTTTGTGTATCTCTAAACTCTGGACAGGATAATGTCACAGACCGTTTTACCCCGTTGGCTGCTGGCATTATCTCACTTCATTCTCCCTGTTGCCCCCCTCAACCCTTCCCAACCCCTGCAATATAGCACAGCCTTTAAGATTTTGTTTCTTCTGTTTTGATGGCCTGAGGTTTGATTGGTCCAGTTCTAACAGGTTTGGTGGCTATGGTAGGTGCAGGGGGTGGTTTCTCTTCTACTTTTTCCTGACAGACACCAGGAGGGTCAGCCAGTGTTTCAGGAGGTTTACTTGAATCACTGTCCACTTTCTGGGCTTTGCCTCCTATCTGTTTGTTCTGTTGCTGTTCAGAGAAGAACCGTTGCGTGGATTGAAGAACCTCTGCTCTTTGCTTTGCCTTAAAAAATGAGAAAGAGTAATTGAAAATACTGCAGCATTACCAAAGCCTGTCAAATCAATCTCAGTTTACCAATCACAAATCAGTCTTCCCCATGTTGTTTTGGCCCAAGCCAAAAGTACCTCATTGATCTTTGAGCTTATAATGCATAATTTCTTCCTATCTTTGAAAACATCCCAAGTGATTGTTTTTAATATTTGAAACAACAGGACCACCTCCCACCACCTATTCAAAGTCTGCCCTCTTAAAAAATAATAAAATATAAATTGCTGCTGGTTTGTAACTTCTGGAACAAGCTTATTGCTCTCAAATTTTATTTAGGGAGGCTGCTTGCAATCTGAAAACATACAGGTAACACTTAAAAAAAAACTTCTAGTTATCAATATGTGGTCTACAATAAAATGAAAAGGAAGCACTTATATTGTGGCATTACCAACACCTAGGACCAAATGTCTTGTGGCTGAGTCCTCTTCCCACAGCTCTCTTCTGCAGGGGAAGAGCATCAGAAATTAGTAACTACAACTTCACTTGATCACTAAGTTCTGATAGCTCCTACCACATTCTGAGCTGGTAAAATAATTTCTTAAGTTTTATTGACTATGTGCCCCAAAGAATATACTTACGTCAATCTGTAAATTTTACCACCATAATATATACAATTAAAACTTAAGTATCTACACTTTTGCATGTAACAAAAAACAAAAACAAAAATCCTTCATGTTCTACTGGTAACCTGTACTATCCAAAGATATGATGCAGTTTCTAAGAAATCTGCAACCTAACCCACCCCATTTATTACGCTCTAATGTCATTTCCAACATGAGAATGTTTGGAAATCAAGTTCCAAAGAGTCAGGAGCAGAACTGGAAATGAAGGCCAGTGCTGACTTTCACACATACTAAAATTTTTACTAATAGTGAACAGATGGAAATCCTAGGCACATAGCCTTAATCAAAGTAGCTAATACTATGCAGGGTAGTATTTAAATTTGATTACTCAGCATCAGAAATACAAGGGATGCCAACCCAAAAAGAAACTTTAGTCAGTCAACTGCTGATTTCTCTGTAGGAATATCACAAACATGATTCTAATTCAGGGTAAAGCATTACTGTGTATCTTCCTGTTTGAAAGCAGTAAGCTTTTCTTTATCGGATCTGATCTAGTAGTGACAAAAGAGGCAAGTCTATAGTTAATACAGAAATAAGCGTATTCAACTGGCTGTACAGGCAGACAGGTAAGGTTTATGCTATGAAAACTGTCCCCACACAGACTCCTAAAGGCACTCTTCTCCACTAGCAAATCTCATGTTTATCAGTGCCTATCAACCTGAAGGATCCCAAAGTGCTTTTCTGAGTTCTTCATCTACAACTACACAATCCACTGGGAAATAGGGCCACTTCAAGTGGTAGACAAAAAAAATGGGTACAGAATCAGTTTGACAAAAAACTGTATTTATACAAGTCACGAGGGAAGAAAAATCAAGACAGATAACATGTCTAACCCATTCCAGAAAACCCATGGTTTTCACGTAACCATGATTTATATATTATGACAGGTGAGGGTGGGAGGTGGGAGAGAAGGGGAGGGAAGAAAAACAAAGAAAAAACTGAACGAAAACTGGGAAGCCTATAACAACTCAAATGACTTTTTTTACTATTCCAAAAAATATACCTCTAAACTCAGATCTTCCTAAAGTACATATTTTATAAGCAATTAACTTGGCCACAAAGTTTAAAATGTTTATTTATTTTCTCACTATACTTGCAAAAAAAAAAAAAAAAAAGAAAGAAAAAAGGAAGGGGGAAAAAGGTTGGGGGAAGAAAGGGATTAAAAAAACAAAACAAAACAAAACTGAAATAAAAAAGGGAATGAATAAAAGTAGTTAACTTGGTTAAGTCTTCCAAGAAAATGAATGCCTGGATATATGGTTATGGGTCCAGAGGCATTTTAAGACATGGTTCAGAGACAGACTCTTGCTCTGTTGGCTGTTTAACACTGTACTAACCTTCATGTCTTGTTCAGCCTTCAGCGCAGCCTGGGCCTGATTACCTCTGACTCCAGATAGTGATCCACAAGGGCCCCTGGCTACATGTGGCAAACGAGCATGGCTCATGAGGCCTGTGGTCAGCGGAGGAGGCATCTGACTGGCCAGTGCCATTGGTGGCCTCTGAACAGGCGCTGGGAAGGTGTTAGTATGTGGGGCTCTTACCAATGGAGGGACCAGGTTAGGCTGAGAGAGTATCTGAGTGAAAAAAACAAAACATACAACATTGAACTGTTAAAAAAAAAAAATATTGCCAACTAGATCAGGTTGGCTTATCCCAGAGTAAATCTGTGCCCATCCTGCCAGTGAAAGGAAGTTTCCGGACTGTGCCATGGCTTTAACAGGGACCCATAACAAACAGGCATGCTTGGAGAGTTTATCAGCAAAAGAAGGCAAAGCATGCTATGGCACTTCAGTTGGTTTTAGCATCTCAGCTGCAAATTCTGAAGGGGGACTGGAAAGGCTACTAAATGGGCTATCTTTAAAAAAGACACGAGTACAGAAAAGGCACGTAGGCCAAACACAATCTGCAAATTAAAATGAATACTCAACAGATGTGTCTTTTCAGAAAGCAATTCTACTTTGTGAGATTTCTTTTCAATTTTAATTCTTCAATAAGATCAATAAAAGGGAGAAAAACCAACACATTTTTTACACATATATCAAAACACCTTTATGGAAACTTGACTTCAATTGTACATAGGTATCTTTAAAAACAAAAAGCCCCCCCAACTGTAAACCTAGAAAACTTCAAGCACTGGGACCCTTCGCTGAAAAGTCAACTTCTTCGAGGATAAAAGGAACAGGACTCAAATTATCAGAGCTGTGTGGGGAATCTTGATTATATCTATTGTCTGCTTTAGAATTGAATTATTACTACCTTTTCTAGCTATAAATTGCAAAGAACGTATTTCAATATCATAAATTTACTGTCAAAATCAGAAATCTTTTCATTAAACTATACTTCCTAGTGGGTTAACAAATGGCAAAACCATAAAATCAGAGATTTAGCCAGATTAGTAACATTTACAAGTAAGTGGTATTCATTCTCACTTATATCTGCCCACCTGGGGTGCAAACTGTGTAGGAAATGGTTGTGTCATTCTCACAGTGGTAGGGGCTGACTGGAACTGCTTCTGATAGACAATGCTGTTCATTTTGCTGGACTGGCTGTTCGGACTTGTGGAAGTAGCCCTTGGAAAGAAGCCATACAGTCAGTACTGTATCACTAAGAAAATAATACTGTTAGAGATTTTTATAGACATTGGTCTTGGTATTTTCACCATGTTTATTGGCTAATAAAATTTTAACAAGGTTACTAAACACTGTGGTAGGAGACACACTGGAGGGGCAGAAAAGAAAAAGAATACTAGCTAGACTTGTAGACTTGCTCTTGTATTAAAAGAAGTTTCTTTATCTGGTGTTAACAGACGAAGTCTTAGGAATTTAAAAACAATTCAAATAAAACTATCACAATGAATGTCTTATTAACTCTTTGCTGCTTAGCACAGAGATGACAACAAATTATTTGGCACACAAATGGTCAATTATTTTGAAATTTCATAAGCATATTTAAATGTCCATTTTACCGGAAAGGACTAGATGTTGGCGTTGTGCTTCTACCACCGATTGGAGGTGTGCCTGGTTTAATATCAATGCCACTTCCAAAGGCCTTCAATTCCATTTCAGACATCTGAAAAAAAGCATAAAATAAACTTAACATCTCTTCAATTCCATAAGCTCAGTGTTGTGTTTATTGTCCTAATGTCCTATATATGAAGACTTAATCTAGGAAAGGGCAAACAAAAACCAAGTATCCTATAGGTAAGCCTGGATAATCACGTTTGTGACTTTGTAAATCCAATTTGTCTACAAAATTTGTGAATTCTTTGACTTAAAAACAAAAAATAAGTGTATTGATTAAAGTTTGGAGTGGTACAAAACAGTTTCAGAAATTACACAATGCAAAAATCTGAACACACAGTCTTGTAGTCTGAAAGAAGCGATCCAAGTTTCTCTTCACTCACTTTTCCTGTGGTTGCGATCATGCTATGCTGTGTTCCGGCAGGGATTAACCCTCTGAAAGGTTGGCTTACTTGCGCAGGACGGCTCAGGCTCTGAGCCTGGGCCTGTGGGGTGGTGTGCTGTAATGGGGGCTGCAGAGTCTGAGGCAAAGCAATTAGAGGCTGTCCTGTAGATCCAAAATTAGGCAAGGAAAGCTGGGATGCTGGTAAAGGTACTGTAACCTAGAAAACAAGCAAACAGAAACTAGCATTTGCTTATATCTGTTGTGTAACTATACCTGTTAACAATATACAACTCTTCAAGTATTTTTTTAGGCAAACTTAAACAGAATATACAAATCTACTAATATACTTCATATACAAATCTTTGGCTTAGTGACTATCTCGATTCTCTTATTAAAAGTACAACAAAAGGGACACATGTCATTAGGTTGTGAAAACATTTTTGAGTCCTTACTGTTGTATCATCACAGAACTTAGACAAACTAAGACAGTGAAAATGTTATTATACCATATAATTTCACGGCACCACTGGAGTATAAACAGTCTGTTACTGAGGGAAACATTATGTGGTGCATGCCTGAAGTTTAGCTAACACAATGAAGAAACTATACAACAGAGATAATTATGATTATCTTTGAGTTTATCAAGAGTATTCTCAAATAAACACAAGATACTTGGGGACATGATTTAAGTAGGTACAAGTTTCTAAATAGGTACAAAATAGGTATGTCGATCAGGTCTTGTCAAAATGAGTTTTGACAAGAAAAGCTTTCAGTTTATATAAAGGCGGCGTAGTCAACCTGAATGTCAACAAGTAGTAAAATTGCAAGAAAAATTACTCTCGAGAAAATGGGTAACGGTTTGCTTTTCTCTAACTCTCCACCAACTTTTAAAAAGTTGATTAATGATATTGCTGGAGAATATGCTTTTTAAACTGCATTTTTCATTGGAAAGTATTATACCAGCACACTTAAAGGTGTTCATCATTTATGCTGTCATACTCTGCACATAATCCTATGTGTAAAACTTGTCTGATGGTTTTGAGAATCTTCATTCACCACTAACACTAATAGAAAAACTGCCTATCACAGTGATATAACTACAATGTATGCATTTAGGACAATGGTTTTCAAACTTTTAGGTTCAAGAAATCCATTGTTAAACTATTACACAGAAATCTAGTTTTTAAAAAAGGAGAGGATGTAAAAACAAAACAAAATGAAATTAAGTGTGGGTGTGGTTGGGCAGTAAAAGGATTTGTGCTATAGGACTAAAGCAACTTCTTCTATCCCCAGTGGACCCAATGGAATTCCCAGGATCCTCAGCAAACAGTTTGAAAACCACGCCTCCATCTTCCTATCTTGGTTCTATTTAAATTCTCAAATAATAACAACAAAAGCAATAAAAATAATAATAAAGAAAATTGAGGAAATTTACCATGCCATAGTTTACCTGCTGGAGAGCATTCGGTGACTGGGCAGTGTTATAAAAATTTGTTTGACCAGGCTGTTGTACTTGTCCAGAATAAAGATTTGAGGCCTGGGTAAGATTTGCTCTAGCCTAGAACAAAATTTGAAACAAAAACAAAACAAAACAAAAAAAACAAAAATAGTAAAAGACTGAAAAAATTTCCAACTCAGGGAAGCTATTATTTTAAAGTTAACCTTTAGCCAATTTTAGTACAGATAAAAACAAAGATCTCTGCTTTTCACTGTGTCTTTTATCATCTTTTCTTTAAAAAATGCCAAAATTATCTGCTGCATAGGCATACAATGATCATGCCCTTGGCTTACCTGGAGAAGATGTGTATCAATCAGTTGGGAACCGCCCAGTCCTGAAGCCTGCCCCAGCTGATGTTCATACAATATAGGAATAGGCTGAGTATTTGAAGTCTGTTGAAAAGCAAGACTTGATTGTGCTTTGGCAAGCTCCTGGTGTTGGACAGCTGGGAAGTTGTGGATAGCAGTACCGGAAAGGACCACGGATGGCTGGGACAGACTGCTCTGCATGAAGGCAGGCTGAGATCTACAGAAATATTAAAGGGAGGCAGATCGCATGAGAAGTTCATTTTATCTGGAACTGAGAATCCTCAGAAAAAGCATCCTAAATGACAAAGGAGTCTGGTCAGCACAGAAATAAAGACAGAAAATATAGTCTGTACACTGCAACTGCTTCAAGATTTAGAGCCCTGTGTAAGACAAAGTTCCACATGTAAAAATTCTGGGAAAAGCCTTGCTCCCTGACAAACTGGTTATGTTTTTTTCCCTCTGCAAATATGTGTTTCATTTAAATGGCCTCAAGACCTCTGGAATAAAGCAGAGTATTATTTCACATCCGATTAGCCATAAAAGGGCCTGCGCCGTAGCTCACTTGGCTAATCCTCTGTCTGCAGCGCCGGCACCCCGGGTTCTAGTCCTGGTTGGGGTGCTGGATTCTGTCCCAGTTGCTCCTCTTCCAGTCCAGCTCTCTGCTGTCGCCTGGAAAGGCAGTGGAGGATGGCCCAGGTCCTTGGTCCCTGCACCGGCATGGGAGACCAGGAGGAAGCACCTGGCTCCTGGCTTCGGATTAGCGCAGTGCGCCGGCCACGGCAGCCATTTGGGGGTGAGGGTGAACCAATGGAAAAGGAAGACCTTTCTCTCTGTCTCCCTAACTCTGCCTGTCAAAAAAACCAAAAAACAAACAAACAAAAAAAACATTAGCCATAAAGGTTGTTTGTTTGTTTTGAAAATACAATGCTGGAATCTAGTACCATGCTGTCTCATCAGTCTTGGGATGGAAGCCTCTGGTCTGTACGTTCCAAGTTGCTAAGATAAGGGATAAGTGACTAGGGATAGGTGATTGGCACAGTGCTTAAGATGATGCTGGGGGTGGGGGAAGGGGTAGGTGGCATTGTGGTGTAGTGGGTAAAGCTGCCACCTGCAGTGCCAGCATCCCATAGGGCACTGGTTTGACAGGATGCTCCACTTCCGATCCAGCTCTCTGCTGTGGCCTGGGAAAGCAGCAGAAGACGGCCCAAGTCCTTGGGCCCCTGCACCAAGGTGGTAGATCTGGAAGAAGCTCCTGGCTTCAAACTGGCTCAGCTCTGACTGTTTTGGCCATTTGGGGGAATGAACCAGTGGATGGAAGACCTCTCTCTCTGCCTCTCTATAATTCTTTCAAATAAATAAATCTTAAAAAAAAAAAAAAAGAGAGAGAGAGAGAGAGAGAGATGATGCTTGGGAAGCTTATATCCCATACCAGAGTGCCTGGGTTCAAGTCCCAACTCTGTTCATGATTCCAGCTTCCTGCTAACATGCACCTTGGGAGGCAGCAGGTTATGGCTGGAGTACCTAGATCTCTGCATATGGGAGACTCGGATCGAATTTCCAGCTCCTGGTTTTAGCTTGGCCCAGTTTGGAACATTGTGACCATTTGGAAGTGAACCAGTGAATGAGACATTTCAGCTTTTCTGTTTTATAAGTAAAGAAAAATAAAGAATCACAATAGTGGATTAAAGATAATTTTATGAATAAAAATATGATGCCTTGTTAAAACTGGCCTGGTGGCGGGAACAAGTCATTAAACCTGAGAAGTGGTCTAGGATCCCCAGGACTCTTCATGGTATCTACTCATAATTTGTTTCAAATGTAGAATGGGAAACACTGATGCATACTGCTATAAACTACAAGGCCTTTATAGAAATCAATATAGAAGATTCTCCATTAACAGACACTGTGCTAAGTTACAAAGATAGAAGTGCTTTCAAAATTTTTTATTAATTCATTATTTGAAAATAGAGTTTACATAGAGATCAATCTGTGATCCTCTGTTTCACTCCCTAAATGGCCCCAATGGCTGGATTTAGGCCATTCTGAAGCCAGAAGCCAGGAGCTTCTTCAGGCTCTCCCACGTGGGGAGAGCAGGGGCCCCTTAAAAATTTTTATCCATTCCTTCCCATATGAAGTTACTTCTTAAGTTTGTGGAAAGGGGTTGGTATTGTGGCATAATGAGTAGAGCCTCAGCCTTTGCGATGCTAACATCCTACATGGGCACCAATTTTAGTCCCAGCTGCTCCACTTCTAATCCAGGTCTCTGCTAATGTGCCTGAGAAAGCAGAGGAAGATGGCCCAAGTGCTTGGGTCTTTGCACCCATATGGGAGACGTGGAAGAAGCTCCTGTTTCAGTCTGGCCCAGCCCTGGTTGCTGTGACCATTTGGGGAATGAACCAGCAGATAGATCTCTGTCACTGGTTAAAAAAAGAGAAAAGGAAGAAGAAATCCGTGCATATTTTTTTCATAATACATTTTCCATGAACTTTTTGAAGACATGACTGCAAAATTTTTTTTGCACTGTTAACAATTTTTGTTTCATTTTTCGTGAAGTACCTCTGTACTGTAGCCACTAGGCACAAAACATATGTCTTACATATACTTCTATTGAACAGGTCTGATCTTAAAAAGTGTATCTTTCATAAAAGGGGATGACAAATGTAGAATATCAGTGCACTGCTGCTATTCCATCTCCCATGCCCATGAAAGAAAATACTAATTCAGCACTGCACTCTTTTCACAGAGCTGGAAAGTGGATGCAAACTTTTCAACAGTGTTTCTTTCAAGCAGACATAGTAATTAAAAGGATACTGGCTTCTGAGAATAAATCTTTGTTTTTCCAAGATTAGAAATTAATATTTTATTTTTAACACAATGTTGAAGATTATCCTGAAGTGGGAGACCCAGATGGAATTCCTGTCTTCTGTCTTTGGCCTGGTCATTGCTATATTTGGGAAATGACCCAGAAGATGGAAGCTCTCTCTCACTGTCTTCCAAATAAATACAATAACCTTAAATTTTTATCTGAACCACTTCTGAAAATGAAAAATAACATATTCCCAAAAGCAAATGCATACCTTTGCAACCTTCCTACACTAAATGTACTGAACACAATTTATTTTTCTTCGTGAAGATTTAGGGCTATTATCATGAGGAAGAATAATACCTATGTCATGATGTACTGCCTTCAACACGTGGCTCTTCCTCTACTTGTTCACCCTTATTAAGCTGGAGATCAGATACACTTGAGCTCTGCCATTTATTTATACTGTAACCTTAGGTAAAATATTCAACTTCTCTGAGTTTTGATGTCATATATACTTATGTGGTTGTGTGAAGACTAAATTAAATGAGTTAATGTATATGAAGGGTGGAACAGCTTCCTTAAGGAAAGTTCAATAAAGATCACTTTTCATTATTTCCCTGATTACAAAAATAACTCAGACCATGTCTTAATGAATCTACAGAGAAGATACTTTTTTTCTGCGCTGTACAGAATACTTGTTACTATGATTATCACACTAGGAAGTCTTTGGGTCACTGGAAGTGTGTCCTTGGAGAGCAGTTCTCACAAGAGGTTTGTCACAAGAGGTTTGTTTGGCTGGCCTATCATGTCATCCTGCCTCTACACTAGCTATGACCAGGCTCCATCAAATGCTGGGCCACCTAATCCTGTCATCTCCAAACTGTGAGCCTAAAAAAAAAAAATCTTTGCTTTCCCAAAGAAACTTCTATCAGGTATTTTAGTTTAAGTAACAAAAAGTAGGTTAATATTATATTTAAAAAAAAAAAAATCTGGTTGAAATTACTAGAGGCTGAGGTTCATGACATATAATCAACATGGTTATTTATTTAATGTATTTCACAACAGTCATTCTAGGTTTTGGGGACAAGGAAGGAGCAATAGGGATTATGGGAAGGAAGATCAACAATTACATTGTTTTCAGTATTACAAACATAATTTTTAAAGCAGTTACCTATATGGTTGAAGTGAAGAAGTAAATAACTCCTGAGCCTGGGTAACAGCAGGTCCAGCCCCCAAACTCAGCTGGGCCTGATGCTGCCCTTGCAGTGGTGCATAAATAGGAATTGGAATCTGCTGAACTGAAGTTGGCTGCAATGAAATGCAAAACAACTTATTCATGTAAATGAATATATAAACATATAAACATCAGACAAGGAAATCACAACACTCAAAATAAAAATCTGAGGGGCCGGTGCTGTGGTGCAGTGGGTTAAGGCCCCGACCTGAGCACCAGCATCCCATAAAGGTTCTGGTTTGAGACCTGGCTGCTCCACTTCCAACCCAACTCCCTGCTAATGTGAAAAAACAGTAGGGGGATGGCCCAAGCTCTTTGGCCCCTGCACCCAAGGGGGAGACATGGAAGAAGCTCCTGGCTTTTCTGGCTTCAGATTGGCTCGGCTCCGGCTGTTGCAGCCATTTGGGGAGTGAACCAACAGATGGAAGACCTCTTTCTCTCTATGTCTCTACCTTTCTCTGTAACTTTCAAATAAATGAAATAAATCTAAAAAAAATGTTTGAGACGAAGAATAATTATGATCAATACCATGAATACTTTTAAAACAAAAATAAATAAAAACATGTAAATTTTCTTTTTTACCCATGACTTACGTCTATATTGTTAACCTTTAAGCTATGGAAAGTTTTAAAATTTCACTAATAGTATTCAAGGCAATCATGGATAGATTATAACTTCAGAGTCTATTACTTGTAGTACAAGATAAGTATTACAACCATAAAAATGCCAAGAAACAAATACAGATGGAAGGAATCTGGTAATTACCTGAGAAAGACCTGGTTGGAAGCCTTGCTGCTGAGCCAAGGATGGTGGAGCCAATCGGGCATGCTGGGTACTAAATAAATGACTCGTGTCCATATAGAAAGCTGGTATTTGAGCTATATGCCATTAGAAAAAACAAGCAGAAAAATTCAGAATTCAAGATAATAAATAAATACCAAGTTTTGTAGTATATTTCAAATTAACTGGGCCCTCTGAAATTTAATATAAGCCATGAGAAAACTAGACATAATATGTGAGTTAATACAATGTAACACTAGTACTTTTGAGGGTAGGAAAAAATACACTCTCACTGTCAACGGGTATAACATATCACATACTGCTATAATTAAAAATGAACCTACCCACTGAAAGAGCAAATTTCCTCCAAATGCCTACCAGAATATGGGAAAACATTTCAAAAGAATTGCGAGTAATTGGTGTAGTGATTAATGCCCTGAATATATTATATATACTATTGTGACCTGTTTTTTCCATATGGTGGTATATTCTGCAGAAATTCTCACATCATTTTTGTTACTGCTATGAACATACTTAACCATACAACTCTTAATAGGGTTCAATATATCTGTATAGTAAGTTTCCTAGTTATGAAACTGTTACATCCAATTTACTCATATACAACAATGTACTTTAAGAGCTGATATTAACATGCCAGGTATGATCAATCTTTCTATGAAAGGTAAAAAATAGCCTCATTATTATCTAATATTGAATTTAAGTGATTTTGAGTATGTTCCAAATGTTTCACTGTGACATGTGATAATCCACCCAACACCTGGCATTATTAACCGTCAAACTTCAGATAATAAAAATTTTGTATTTTGACTGGAATAATGTCAAATGTATAAATTATCCTGCAAATTATTAGAAACTATATCATCTTATATGTAAGAAACAACTGCTGGAATAATTCTTGTTAAGGAGAGATAGCATTCTATTCTATATGGAGATATACATATTTGCAAAGAACATCACAATATTTAAAACTAGAAAGGGTTGAGAAAATAAACAAGCATTTTAAAATGTCTTCATTTACAAAACTAAATTCAACACAGCAATATTACCTGCTGCAGACTGAGACACATAAACCTGTGGACTCTGTTGCTGCTGGGCAATAAGGGAAGGCATACAGCTAAGTTGTGAAAAATGACTTGCAGAAGGCAGGCTACTTGTTTGTAATTGTTGGGGCTTCACTTTACAAATATTAGGAGGATCCGAAGTGGTTGTAGATTTTGTACTCAAAGAAGAGGTAGTATATGTACCAGCTCCTATATTTGGGGGGAAGAATAAAATAAGGAGAAAATATATTTATAAGTGCCAAGGCTGTTCACAGTACCAAAGAAGTCAGAAAATTAATGTTTATATTCCTCATGTATAGCTAGCTGTTCCTCCAAATGTATCACCTATATCTGGGGATTCAACCAACCATGATAACACTGGGGGGGGGGGGGGAATTATATAACTATACGGAGTATGTACACTCTTTCTTGCCTTTGTTCCCTAAATTATAGTGTAACAACTATTTCCATGGCTTTTTTTGTTGTATTAGATATTATAAATAATCCAGTGGTACTTATTAAAGTATACAGGATTTGCATAGGTTATATGCAAATATACCATTTTACATAAGGGACTTGAGCATATGAGCACTTTGGTACCTGTGCCAGAGAATGCGTGTGCACTTGTCTACCTCTTTCTGGAATGAATCTGCCAGAATACTGATGGAAGTCTCTAACTCTTACACTACCTAAAGCCAAAAGGAGACATGAAGTGGCTTTTACAGAAGGAAGGAACACTTACCAAAAGCAAACATGATATAAAAAAAGTATGGAAAGTATAAATAATATCAAAATGAAGAAGAAACACAGAAACACATTAAAATAAGGAATATGAGAGCCTACATGGCTGTCACCATTTATCCTCAAACTATTATTTAATCATCACAAAGAGGAAAAATCAAGAGCTTCATTCATTTATAACCAGACACAGACCTAAGGACATAGAAGGACAAAGAGCTGCACCTAAGGAATAATTACAAATTTAAGTGGGTTTCAAGGACCATTGTTCCTAAAAAGTCATACTTCTAAGGTTTGATTTTACCCTGCATTTAAAAACTGGCATATAGTAGTATCTCAAAAACGAACGAAACAAATTACTTAATAAATTAGTGAAATTACCAAAGCTTAGATCTTCAAAGGTCAGTTAGTTCTGTTGAAAAGTGAGCTGTAATGACTATAAGATTGGAGCAAAGTAACAATACTGGTATACAGCTTTTATTTTCTTCAGACCTCACATAATGTTCTACCTAAGCATGGACCAAGATTCAGATGCATCTGTTCTACCAGGTAGGTCTCTATTAGCAGGATAAATGGGCAAGCAGGCCCTTGTCAAAAACCAACAAACTAGAGGAAAGGATTTTGAATGTTTTCACCATAAAGAAATGTTAATAGTTGAAGACCCATACATGCATAGCCTGACTGGACAGTCTGCAGTGTACAAATGTATAGTAATTTCACATGCTATACCATGAAAATGTACAATGTTTTATGTGTTAGCTTAAAAAAAAAATCCTAGTCAAGGGAAAGGGGAGAAATCTAGACTTGGAAAAAGTAGTGGTTGGTTTTCAAAGAGCGAGCTAGGAATTTTTCTAGTCCCTGCATTTCTGAATATTTATCCTCCAATTCCTTATGTTCCTTTATACCCATTAAATTTAATTCCCACTAAAGTAGACTGGGACCTAAGCTAGTCTAGTGAGCATAAGTGGAGAGTCTTTGGCAAATGGAACAGGAAAATGCTTGGAAGAGTTTTAAAGAAGGAACAGATATAGCTGGAAAAATAAAAAAAAGAAACAGACTACTGGGCAACCTTGCAATGAAATTTGTGTTTTCAATTGGAGAAACTTAAGCACAAATGTGATAAAGGGACACTCTGACAATCAAGCATTTTAGAAACTCCTGTGACTCTTTTAGAACTGTGAAGGTTCAAATGAAGTTATTCAATGAAAGATTACACTTCAGTGAAACTTTAAGAAAAAGTATCTGTGTAATTTCTGAGCTGATAAGAAAAACAGCAATCAAGATGTAAACGTCACAGAAAAACTTTGAGGAAAATAACTTTAACCAATTACTCTATAGTATCTATAATTTGTGGTAGGGGTTAGGAGAGAGATCCAGCAAAATCTGTTTTAGTAGCCATTAGTAGGTAAGTGTTTGGCAAGCCACAACTGGGAAACTGCAGAGGAGAGAAGGAGTAACATTTGCAAGAATCTTTAAAAAATAGCTTGTAAGTACCTCATGCAAAATCTTAAATCTTCATAAATAACAACTCTGCTTTTAAAAATTTTATTTGAAAGTGCGAGAGAGAGAGAGAAACAAATGTTATCTTCCATCTGCTGGTTCACCCCCTAAATGGCCCTGATAGCTGGGGCTAGGCCAGGCCCAAAGCTAGGAGTCAGGAGTTTTATCTAGGTCCTTCCACATGGTTGGCAAGGGCCCAGGCACTTGGGTCAGCTTCCCCTACCTTCCAAGGTTCAAATTAGGGAGTGGATTGGAAGTGGAGCAGCCAGAACTTGAACTGGTACTTATATGCATCTGTAATACTGGCAGCAGAGTTGGCAGCTTATCCCACTATGCAACAACACAGACCCCTACTTAATACTCTGAGGTAGGGGTAGTGAACAGAAGATCACAACAAATTTTAAATAATTTAAGATATTTAAAGGAAAGGTACAAAAAAGTTCTACCTGATAATGATGTTGTAGGAGTGACTGAAGCGACAGGAATCTGAGCCATTGATGCACTTGAGAACGAATTGTAATTGGCAGTGCTTGGTCCACTGGCACTGCTGCTCACTCCACTTGCAATTGGAGGTGCTGTGGAAGTTACTGGAGATCCTTTTTCCCTTACGTTTGGAGAATTCTCCCATGCCTTGCGCGCAGATTCCATCTACAATAAAATGGACATTTGATGAAACAAAAAGAAAAATGCAGTCAATACAGACTATACACAAACACACACAGACACAAACAAATGTGTGTGACTATATAAATTCCAAATATAATCTTTCAAAACCATAAAGAACAAGACAGGGAGGGCGATGTGGTATAGTGGGTAATGCCTGCAGTGTAGGCATCCCATATGGGTGCTGGTTCGAGTTCTGGCCGCTCCACTTCTGATTCAGCTCTCTGCTATGTACTGGGAAAGCAGCAGAAGATGCCTCAAGTGCCTGGATTCCTGAAACCTGCATGGGAGAGACCCAGAGGAAGCTCCTGGCTTTGGATGTACCCAGCTCTGGCCATTGTGGCCATTTGTGGAGTGAACCAGCAGGCTGAAGATTCTCTCTGCTTCTCTGTAACTCTACCATTCAAATAAATAAACCTTTACATATATATAAAAAGAACCTAGGACTTTCAAATCTTTTACGTGCTCCTTTATACAAACTGAAAGGCAGTGGGGATTTAATTTTGTTTCTGCAGAGAATTTGTTGAACTGCTGATGGCACTGAAAATCTGGTTAGTGAACTAAACATCACAGCTCCTGTACTGTTGAATCATAATCCCCTTCCCCAAGCAGAAAATAAGAGAAGGAAATACCATGCCCCATAAGGAATAATGGAAAGCTCTGCCTCTAGTAGGAAAGATCTTCAGGAATTCTCACTCCCTCCATTCTTTCTCTTTAAGAAAATACTTCTTGGGGCCGCGCTGTGGTGTATAGTGAGCAAAGCTGCCGCCTGCAGTGCCCATATGGGCACTAGTTCAAGTCCCAGCCGCTCCACTTCCAATCCAGTTCTCTGCTCAGGCCTGGGAAAGCAGCAGAAGATGGCCCAAGTTCTTGAGCCCTTAAACCTGCGTGGGAAGACCTAGAAGAAGCTTCTGGCTTCAGACTGGTGCAGCTCCGGCCATTGCAGCCAACTGTGGAGTGAACTAGTGGGTGGAAGACCTCTCTCTCTTTCTGCCTCTCCTTCTCTCTGTGTAACTCTGACTTTCAAATAAATAAATCTTAAAACAAAAAAACACTTTTGAAATGGCAGGTGGCAGGCCAGGTTTTGGTGGCTGTTTTCATGCCCTGTGTTCTAAGAGGCAACGTAACCAGATATTTTAGGTCTGGGTGCAACAGAAACACTTCTTATTTCACATCCAGAATTTTAGGTACTGGCTACAGCTGTGGTTTCTGGTTTTAGCTATAGTCTGGCAGATTCTTAAAAGAAGCATGTCTTATTTCAATCTATGTAGAGCAGTACTACTGAGCAATGTTCAGCATGTGTACAAATATAAGCTGCATATGTAACTTTAAATTTTCTAGTAGTCATACTTTAAAAAATAAAAAGAGGCAATGTTAATTTTGGTAACAGGGGCCAGCGTTGTGGCGCAGAGGGTTAGGCTGCCAGCTGCAATGCCGGCATCCCAAATCAGAGTGCTGGTTCGAGTTCCCACTGTTGTGCTTTCAATCTTGTTCCCTGCTAATGCACCCGGGAAAGCAGAGGAAGACGGCTCAATTATTTGGGCCCCCTGCCACCTATGTGGGAGAGCAGGATGGAACTCCAGCTGTTGGCTTTGGCCTGGACCCAGCTCTGGCTGTTGAGGCCATCTGGGTAGTGAGCCAGCAGATTAAAGTTCTCTCCCTCTCAATGTCACATTCTCAAATAAATTAAATGAATCTTAAAATAACACCTTATTCAGTCCAACAAATCTATATTATAATTAAAACAAATCAATGTAAAATTGAGACCTTTTATATATTTTAATTAAATTAAAATTTAAAATGATTTAAGTTGGTCAAAAGTTTGGATACAGCCTTTATTTTATTTTACACTTAACAACACACCTCTATTTGGACTAGCCACATTTCAGGGGCTCAATACATATAATGAATGGACACTGCAGTAAACAGCACAGATTAGATACTTAAATATTCTGAAGCTACTTTAAAAAGAAAGGAACAGATAAATTCATTGATGTTTTTGGCATTACTAGTCAGAATAATGGGCTAAGAGGCAAATTCAAGATATCTAACAAGATCAAGTTATGGGGGCTGGCATTTTGGTGAAGTGCATGAAGCTGCTTTTTGTGATGTTATCATTTCATACTGGCTGCTGATTCCAACTCAGTTTTCTGCTAATATGCCTGGGAAGGCAGCAGAAGATGGACCAAGTGCTTGGGCCTCTGTCACCCATGTGGGACAAGTTGTAGTTTCTGGCTCTTGGCTTTAGCCTGGCCCAGACCTGGCAGTTGCGGCCATCTGGGGAGTGAGCCAGCAGAGGTTATGTCTTACGTGAGGTTACTTTTAAGAGGTTTTGTGTATGTATGTGTGTGTGTGTGTGTGTGTGTGTATTTATTTATTTTAGATCTGATTACCTGAAAGGCAGTTAAAGAGAGAAGAAGAGACACAGAGAGAGATCTTCCAACTGCTGGTGTGCACTCCCCAAATGGCCACAAAAGACAGGCGCCAGGAGCCTCATCCTGGTCTCTCACATGGGTACAGGTACCCAAACACTTGGGCAATCATCTGTTGCTTTCCCAGGTGTGTTAGCTGAATTAGAAGTGGAGCAGCTGCAATATAAACTGGAGCCTATATGGGATGCTGGTGCTGCAGGTGGCAGCTTAACTTACTGAGCCACAGCAATGGCCCTGAGAGGTAGTATTTTTAACATCATTGTTAGGAAATTTATGGGTTCTTTAAGTTTTAAAGTTTTAACTTTTAAATAGTACATATTTTACTCTGAATTCCTTTAAAAATAGACATTATAACACAATAAAAACATAATAACATTGACATCACATGTATTTTATTTTATTTTAAAATAAAACCTTGGAGGAAACTTTGGGGCCTATGCTGTGTATAGTAAGTTAAGCCTCTGCCTGTACCACCAGCATCCCATATGGGTACCAGTTTAAGTCCTGGCTGCTCCACTTCCAATCCAGCTCCCTGGTAATGGCCTGGAAATGCAGAAGATGACCCAAGTACTTGGGCTCCTGACAACCATGTAGGAGACATGTAAGAAGTTCCTGGCTCCCAGCTTTGGACTGGCTCAGCTCAGGCCAATCTCCCTCTCTCTGCAACTCTTTCACTCAAATAAATAAGTGAATCTTAAAAACAGAAAGAAAAAGAAAAAGTTGGCAATAATAAAATTTACTTGTACACCTGAAATTTTGTGGCTTACAGCAGTTTTAGAGTGCAATATCTACTGTATTAGTTTACATGTGTTGCAAGCATATAAACTGTTGTACTTAATTTTGTACAATATATAGGGCATAAATAATTGACTTAATTTGATTTGTTAAGCAGCAAGAAAAATATTTATGGGAATTCAAGGAAGCTAAAAATTCCAATTCTATAACTATGCTCATTTTTTCAATTGGCAAATATAATGTCAAAGACAGGAGAAACTGTCCATTCTTCATCTATCACTAAAGGAAGACAGGTGTCAGAATACTCTAGAAAGATTTAAGCAAAGGCAATTTAAATTTATATGAATTCTAAATGTACATCTTATCTTTTTTTAAAAAAAGATTTATTTATATTTATTTTATATATATATTATAAAAAAAGACAGAGTTACAGAGAGGTAGAGACAGAGAGAGAGATAGGTCTTCCATCTACTGGTTCACTCCCCAAATAGCCACAATGGCCGCAGCTGAGCCTATCTGAAGCCAGGAACCAGGAGCTTGTTCTGGGTCTCCCATGTGGGTGCAGGGGCCCAAGGACTTGGGCCATCTTCTACCGCTTTCCCAGGCGCATTAGCAGGGAGCTGGTTTAGAAGTGGAGCAACCAGGACTTGAACTGGCACCCATATGGGATGTCGGCACTTCAAGTCAGGGTTTTAAACTGCTGCTCCACATCTTTGGCCCCCATTATACTTTCTAAGTGTTAAAAATAAGTTAAAGGCAACAATGAGCCAGTATTCCATTGAATTAACAAGTGGCTTGAAAATAATTAAAGATGACATTCAAATGCTTATATGAAATCTGATTATTGTTTTAACAGTATAATGATGAAAACCATATAAATCATAAGACAAAGTAAAGAACACAGATTGAGAGTCATTCAATTGGAAAAATAACAGCAAAGGCCAAACAGGAATTGGCAATGCACAGTAACGACTGGGTAAAGACAGAATTGACACAGAGAAGAGGATTTTGTCTTATAAAATTATATAATCTTGGGGCCAGTGCTGTGGTGTAGTGGGTAAAGCTGCTGCTTGCAGTGCCGGCATCCCATATGGGTGCTGGTTTGTGTTCCGGCAGCTCCACTTCTGATCCAGCTCTCTGCTGTGGCCTGGGAGAGCAGATGAGAGTGACCGAAGTCCTTGGGCCCCTGCATCTGCGTGGGAGACCCGGAAGAAGCTCCTGGTTCCTGGCTTCGGATCAGGGCATCTCCGTCCATTGCAGCCAATTGGGGAATGAGCCAACAGATGAAAGACCTCTATTTCTCTCTCCTATCTCTGTGTTAACTCTGACTTTCAAATAAATAAATAAATATTTTTAAAAAATTATATAATCTTGGAGCTGGCATTGTGGCATAGCTGGTTAAATAGCTGCTTACAACGTCAGCATCCTATATGGGTGTGGTTTTAGTACTGGTTGCTTGATTTCCAATTCAGTCCCATACTAATGACCTGGGAAAAGCAGTTGAAGATGGTCCAAGTGCTTGGGCCTCTGTTACCCATATAGGAGACCTGGATGAAGCTCCTGGCTCCAATTTGGAACAGCCCTGGCCATTTACAGCCATTTGAGGAGTGGAACTGGGTATGGAAGATCTCTTTCTCTGTAAATCTGCCTTTCAAATAAAAAAATTAAATAATCTCAAAGGTGTATTTATGAAGTCTCTTATAAAGAAGGTGAGGAGGAACATGGAGAAGTGATCAGGAGGCTGGGTACTCAACTGCAAAGAGTCCAAAAGTGAACTTTGGCCGCAAAATGGAACAACTCAATTTTCCCTCATCTACACTCCTGAACACTGCCAAAGAGATTCATCATAAACCAGTGAAACCTTAGGAGTCCCTGCTGTAACAGTGGTCAAGTACTGTTTTTGCCTAGATTCCGAATAGAGCACCAATGAAATCAATAAATGCAGTTAAACAAAATTCTCACCTAATTCCATGTTTCTACTTTTTATTAACTAGACTAATCTTGAGGTTCACAATTGATTTAAAATACCCTCAAATAACTCAACTTGCACTAATATAAGGAAAACATAAAAAAAGTACTAAAAAAACCTTTGCTTCCTTATTAAAAAATTATTGTGGAGCTGATGCTGTGGCACAGGTTAAGCCTCCGCCTGCAGCACCAGCATCCCAAATGGGCACCAGTTAAAGTTCCTGCTGCCTCACTTCCAATCTAGCTCCCTGCTAATGTGCCAGGGGAAAGCAGCAGAGATAGCCCAACTATTTGGGCCCCTGCACATACATGGGAGACCTGGAAGAAGCTGCTGGCTCCTGGCTTTGGTCTGGCCCAGCCCTGGCTATTGCAGCCATCTGGAGAGTGAATCAGTGGATAGAATATCAATCTCTTTCTATCTCTGCCTTTCAAATTAATCAATAAATTTTTAAATATATTATTGAAAAAAATTAAAAATTTATTGATTTTGCATATAAAGTATACTTGTGTTAATCAACCACATTCTTATAAAATAATCACTATATTGCATTCATTCAATTCATACCCGATTTAAAGAAAGGGAAAAAAAAACCCAACTTTCTTATCATTACTAATAGCTAGGATAGGACTAACAAATAATACCAAGTTGGTATTATAACTAATATATACAGAAATTAAGGATCTTTAAGAGACATTCAGAACAAATACAGAATATATATATATATATTGTACTTTTAAGACAAAAATCACAAATGTAAGAGGTCTCACTTTAAATCTAAGGATATCAAGTTACTGCTAAGTGCTTCTTACAAGCTAAGGTATAATGTAATATTACTATTTCCTCATCTTAGTATTGTTGCTGACCACATAGAAGTAAGTAGTTAAGATACAAAAAACATATTGTTAACTTAAATCCCCTTGCATGCAATAGTTAAGGGCCCTTAGAGATGGGTGTCCGTACATACCTTGAAGGTGAGGCTGAAAGTAGTGGGAGGAACTGAAGTGAGGCTCGAGCTCTGTTGTATGGTCTCCCTCTTAGGGAGGGGTAGGGTGTTAGGCAGGGGCACCTGAAAAGGCAGGTAACACATATCACAATCTAACTAAATCTACTACAAAAGCCCCATGAAAGATAATGCTAAAGGACTCTTGAGGGTGGTGGTCGTTATTTATCAGAACCGACTTAAATATCTCTGACTACTTTTGAGTTATACTGTGATTATAGCAACTGACAACTATGTAGAACTTTTGAAGAGAAATATTGCATTTTAATGTATAAATTAGCAGAAAGAACACTCCAAATATAAGATGTGGTGCTGGTCATATTTTAATGTGTGCACAAATCATTTGGAGATATTGTAAAAATGCAGATTCCAATTCAGTGGATCTGGGTTAGGGCCTGAAGTTTTATATTTCAAACAATCTTCCATGTATTAGTGATGTTGGTAGTCTATGGAGCTACTTTTTGTGAAGTTCTGAGGAATCTTACCATACACATTTGAGAGAGACCCGTACATATAACAGAGATTGTTATTAGCACAGTGATGGTATGAGAAACTGGATCTCTCCTTCAACAGTCTACTTTCTCATAATTAGATTCAAACATAAAGGTAATCCTGGAAGGAAGGCAGACTATTCCTCTCACCTTGCTATACTAGGTTGTTGTTTTGACAGTAATAAAACGTCCATGGCAAATAGGTTAGAAACGGAAAGATATAGAAACTCACTACCAATCTATTTTTCTTATTATTTGTCTCTAAAGCCCTAGAACTTGGGATTATTTTATGTACTCTTATATGTTTGCTTTTAATGGTTCACTTAGTTGCTCAGAGGTCTGTAATAGCATAGACATTCTTCTAAATCTTGAAAGTAGTTGGGGTATAATAACAAAAAAGACCACCTAGATTTAAATCTAAGACATTCAAGATAAATAACCACTGTAATACTGGGTAATACCAGACATTATAAGTTAGGACCATAAAAGTATACTAAGTCTCAGGGGAAAAAATCATTTTCAAGTATAATTTTTAGAAACACAAAAGTTCTATCTATAAAACAGAAGCCCCACACTAACGAAAGAAAGAAAAGAACATTTCCAAATGAAAATTTCCCACGTAGGACATTTGTTGTCAGTACTATATTAAATTTACAATTACCTCTCATTTGACATAAGTCAGCAACACTGAAATAATTTCAAACTGATAATCATTTATCAATATCCCTGACTCAAACTGTTTTTCTGCTCACAAATACTTATGTACCCTAGACACATATGTGTGTCTCACATATGTGAGAATTCCTCTAGTAGTTATCAGTCTTCAAGTCCTTATACTAATTAACCTTACAGTTAATACAGAAACCATTAAAAAATGCTCATCTACATAGACCACATGACTTTAAAGGGTTCTGAAAGTGTTTTTACTTTCTTACTCATATTTTTTATACTTTATATTTACAGGAGGTAGATTGGCCAAAAGTAGTATGTGTGTTTTTGAAAAAGAGCTTACGAATATAGCTATCACCAAGTATATGGTTCCCTCCTACACTTTTGCCTAAGCACTACAAAAACCAGATTAAGTGACCATCTTAATCTGCATTGGCATCTTTACCTTTCTAAAATTCCATACATTTGATGCTAAAGGGAAGAATAGATAGCATGAGGGAGAAATGTGAGATGGAAAAAAAATTAAGACTTTTATACTCAAAATGATAAAGTCCTTTACAAGAGATTTTTAAATATTTATATGTAAAAGATGTTTTAAAAGAATGACGAAAGGGGCCAGCGTTGTAGTGTAGCAGGTAAAACTGCTGCTTGCGATGCTGGTTGTATTCTGGCTGTTCCATTTCCAATTCAACTTCCTGCTAAAGGTATGGGAAAGCAGAAGATGGCCCAAGTTCTTGGACCCCTGCTATCTAAATGGGAGACCTAGCTGAAGCTCCTGGTTCCTGGTTTTGGCCTGTCCCAGCCCTGGCCGTTGCAGCCATTTGAGGAGAAAACGAGTGGACGAAGATCTCTCTCTCCCCCCAACTCTTTCCAAAGTAATAATAGTAATAATTTTATATCAGTCAGCAAACTAGGAAAAATAAACTCCACTAACTAGTAATACAATCTTAAATTATAGTTGTTCTGGGAAAATAAGGCTTAATTTACAACATGGTTTAGTATCACCTTACATTGGGATATTTAAGAGTTTCTGAGTACTTATTTACAAATTATAGCTCAATATTCAACATAGAAATACTGTTATGGTCTAATATATACGCGTAAAATTTTATATGCATAAATATATACATAAGAAATTTAAAAACGTTTTAAAATGCTAATTCTCATTATATTTAACGAGTAAGATTTCAGTACACTATAAAAAAGCTTTGTTAAATAGAAATACAAACCAAATAAAATGCTGAATTTCTAGACTTTGAGAACTAAGGACAAAAATTCTCCCCCAAAACCAGGTTAATAGGATTAGTACTTATGAAATCCAGATTAAGCACAGTAAGCCTTGATCTTGAATGGAAATGTGATGGCTTTCAAGGAAAAAACAAAAAAACCCAGCTGTTATTAAGGTACCAGACAGCAACAGCCATGCTCCTTACTAAACTCCACATCTCAGATTGATTACTTACATTATTAACCAAAGTATCCTCCATCTTTGCATTATTAGTAGCCACAGTGTTAGGCAGAGAAGAAGAAGGTGTAGTATAGTCTGTTACAGACTCCTGTGGAGTAGTAATAGAGAAATATGTTTCAAACTGAATTAATGGATCACTTTCTAATGACAGCCTAATAGCTGTAAAATTTGTTTTGGAAAAAAGCAGGAGGAGAGAGCAGAACTTAAAACTCAAGTCACTCAAATACTAATTTATCCACTAATGGGATAATACAACATAGACCCACCATCAAAGGCAATGTTAACTGTTGCTGACCGAGCTCCAGCACATTTAAAAAAATGCACTGCATGGTGCTGGGAGGTTGTCAATAATACCAAGTATCTTATTTTTATGTTATTAAAATTTTTTTTGATGTGCTTCTTATACTCAATCTATAGCTTGCTGCCAACTACTTATTTGTTATTCCTCAAAATAAAAATGGTACAGATAAGCAAAACTAACAAAATCTTAGTTCTCATACATAACAAATTAGGTTTATCATCATGATTTTTTTCTTTAAATATGAGTATGGTAAAGTTGGTTCACATGAATTTTTACTTGCATGAATTCAGTTGTATAGCAATTAAAGAGAGAAAATTATTGGCCGGCGCCGTGGCTCACTAGGCTAATCCTCCACCTTGCGGCGCCGGCACACCGGGTTCTAGTCCTGATCGGGGCACCGGATTCTGTCCCAGTTGCCCCTCTTCCAGGCCAGCTCTCTGTTGTGGCCAGGGAGTGCAGTGGAGGATGGCCCAAATACTTGGGCCCTGCACCCGCATGGGAGACCAGGAGAAGTACCTGGCTCCTGCCATAGGATCAGCGTGGTGCGCCGGCTGCAGCGGCCATTGGAGGGTGAACCAACGGCAAAAGAAAGTCCTTTGTCTCTGTCTCTCTCTCTCTCACTATCCACTCTGCCTGCCAAAAAAAAAAAAGAGAGAGAGAGAGATAAGAGAAAAATATTAATTCATATAAAGAGTTCCACTTCCTTTTTTTCTCAGCTTATGTCCCAGATAAGTATGGCAGATAAGTAAAATAGCAATTTGCATATGTTATACTCACATATCTCCAAATACATTAAATTACCTTTAGGTTACTTATCATGCCTAATATAGTGTAAACACTATGTAAATAGTTGTATAGTGAATTTTTCTGGAAATAACATCAAGGGAAAAATACATGTATACTACAGAAACAACTTTTAAAATGTTTTTGATCTGTACTTGGTTGATCCCATGGAAATAGGGTATAGTTTTTTTGTTTTTTTTTGTTTTTTTTTTAAGGAAATACATCTTTTGGGGTTGGCACTGTGGCATAGAGGGTAAAGCTGCTGTCTGCAATGCTGGTATCCCATATGGGTGCGGGTCATGTCCTGGCTGTTCCACTTCCCATCCAGCTTCCTGGTAATGTGCCTGGGAAATCAGCAGAAGATAGCCCAAGTGTTCGAGCCCCTGTCTCCATGTGGCAAACCCAGAAGAAGCTCCTGGCTCATGGCTTTGGCCTTGCCCAGCCCTGTTGACAGCATTTGGGGAGTGAATCAATAGATGAAAGATTCTCTCTCTTATTCCCCTCTCAGTAACTCTTTCAAGTACCAAAGAACTGTGATCTGTTTCAACCATGACTGGAGTCACTAAAAGTTGAGCTTATTTCTGGATATTGAAAACACAAAAGTGTAAAAGACAACCCATTATAACTCTATTATTAATAAAATACAGAGCCATTCTTTTTAAGCCTATAAACCCACGAGAAAATATTTCAATCTTGCACAGAAAAATCACACTTTGAGCTACTCAAGTAATTCAGAAATAAGTCTCTACAAAAAATTAACTTTTTATAAAGAATTCTACATTATGTACGTATACTACGATATACAATCTCTATAGAACTAACCCACAGGCTATATACATCTCATATAAGAAAGAAAAAAACCCACACTGATGATGTTGTCATTCATTTCATAAGCAAGCATATCAACTGAACTGAAGATCATGGCATGTTGCTCACCTTTGCATTTGTGCCATATTCTGCAGATGATACGGAGATCATGGTCCCTATATCAGTAGACATTTCTGAGACTGCTTTGGTTTCCTTCGTGGTGGAAGGATCTGGGCTTCTGATGGTAGTAGAGCTTTGCTTCTCCTGTCCTTCTGGCTCTCCCTGTTGGGCATCTTTCACTTTTCTATTTTTTAATGAACGTTCCTTTCCAATAGGACCAGGTTTATGTTCTTTGTTTTCTACTGGACTCAAATCTGGAAGCTGAAGTCAATGTTTATGACAAAAATGCATCACAATAAAGAAAATTCATTAAAAAACCAACTCAATTTTAAAACTTATTTGCTTAAAGAGGAAATCCAAATGGCCAACAGGCACATGAAAAAATGTTCAAGATCACTAGTAATCAGGGAAATGCAAATCAAAACCACAATGAGGTTTCACCTCACCCCGGTTAGAATGGCTCACATACAGAAATCTACCAACAACAGATGCTGGCGAGGATGTGGGGAAAAAGGGACACTAACCCACTGTTGGTGGGAATGCAAACTGGTCAAGCCACTATGGAAGTCAGTCTGGAGATTCCTCAGAAACCTGAATATAACCCTACCGTTCGACCCAGCCATCCCACTCCTTGGAATTTATCCAAAGGAAATTAAATTGGCAAACAAAAGAGCGGTCTGCACCCTAATGTTTATCGTAGCACAATTCACAATAGCCAAGACCTGGAACCAACCTACATGCCTATCAACGGTAGACTGGATAAAGAAATTATGGGATATGTATTCTTTAGAATACTATACCGCAGTAAGAAACAACGAAATCCAGTCATTTGCAACAAAATGGAGGAATCTGGAACACATCATGCTGAGTGAAGTAAGCCAGTCCCAAAGGGACAAATACCATATGTTCTCCCTGATCGGTGACAACTGACTCAACACCAAAAAGGAAACCTCCTGAAGTGAAATGGACACTATGAGAAACGGTGACTTGATCAGCACAGCCCTGACTGTTAATGAACAACTTAATACATTATCCCTCTTAGTATTTTTTTTTGGTCTGTTCTACTTAATATGACTGGTTTAATTCTGTAATTATCACACAGTTATTCTTAAGTGTTGAAAATTAACTGAAATGTGATCCCTGTTAAACATAAGAGTGGGAATAAGAGAGGGAAGAGATGTATAATTTGGGACATGCTCAAGCTGACTTGCTCCAAATGGTAGAGTTAGAAACATACCAGGGGATTCCAATTCAATCCCATCAAGGTGGCATGTACCAATGCCATCTCACTAGTCCAAGTGATCAATTTCAGTTCACAATTGATCATAATGAAAGGACTAAGAGTCAAAGGGAGCACATAAACAAGTCTAGTACCTGCTAACACTAACCGATAGAATAAATAAAGGGGAGAGTGATCCAACATGGGAAGTGAGATACTCAGCAGACTCATAGAATGGCAGATGTTCTAAATAGCACTCTGGCCTCAGAATCAGCCCTAAAGCCATTCGGATCTGGCTGAAAAGCCCATGAGAGTATTTCAGGCATGGAAAGCCAAGACACTCTGGCAAAAAGATCTCTGTGAGTGAGATCCCAGTGGAAAGAACAGGTCTTCAAAGAAGGAGGTACCTTTCTCTGAAGGGAGGAGAGAACCTCCACTTTGACTATGACCTTGTCTAAACAAGATAAGAGTCGGAGAACTCAGAGGGCTTCCATAGCCTTGGAAACTCATGACTGGAGCATAGGGAGATTATTGATGCCATAGACAGGAGTGTCAATTGGTAAAGTCAACAACAGGAGTCACTGTGCACTTACTCCTCATGTAGGATCTCTGTCCTTAGTGTGCTGTACATTGAAATTTAATGCTATAACGAGTACTCAAACAGTATATTTCACTTTGTGTTTCTATGGGGGTGCAAACTGTTGAAATCTTTACTTAATGCATACTAAACTGATCTTCTGTAAAAAAAGAAATTATCAATTCCCAACTTGACTCTCACTGGGATTAAACATGACAATAGGTCTGATCTGATTTCATCATCATTAAAAAAATCATCTATCATTTTTCACTTTATATACTAAGCTGATCTTCTGTATATTAAGATAATTGAAAATGAATCTTGATGTGAATGGAAGGGGAGAGGGAGTGGGGAAGGGGAGGGTTGCGGGTGGGAGGGACGGTATGGGGGGGAAGCCATTGTAATCCATAAGTCGTACTTTGGAAATTTATATTCATTAAATAAAAGTTAAAAAAAAAAAAGAATAGATGACAATTATGCATTTCTACCTACTTAGAAAACAGTATATTGGTTTCATGAATTTTAAAATTGTTTTGTGTAAGTGATTTCTTATAAAATTGTCTTTTAAATATACTTGCTATATCATTTGCAAGCACTGTCTTGGTTAAAATTTGGAATAAATCTATGAGGGTGATTTTTATTAACTTAAAGTGACATATATATAATCAATTTCCATGGAAATTGTGATTTTAGGAACTAGCAAATATATTTTCATGACTATTAAAATTTATCTTATATGTTTAAAATTGAAAAAAAAAAAAAAAACTTATTTGCTTACCATGTGTTAATGGTTTTCATGAAATGCCACATAGATTATAAATTATATTTACCTTCTGGGCTTTGATAGGTCCTGCCCGTGGCTGCTTCTGGCGCTGCTCTTTTGGTTCAGCTATTTTGTCAGATTTTTCCGAAAGCACAGGAACAACCTCATTTTCATTCCCATTTGAAGCTGGAGCACCAAATTGAATAGTGTCAATTCCAATTTCAACTCCACTGTCTTGACCATTCTTTGCTCCCTTGTAAAATAATATTTAATATCATTATATTGTTATAAAAATATTGTTATCAAAGAAAACAGACTTTCAGATTTGACAGGAGGTTTGGAGCTATACATATTAACTGAGATAAACTGACACTGATTATGTTTTAGGAGAACCTTCCCTTAACTACTCTTGATCTGTGTTAGAAAACAAACGGTAAAATGAAAACTATGACCAGACTGAAGTTTTTAAAGTCCTGTCTCTCATAAGTGTGATTAGAGGCAAATTATACCCTCCAGTTATCTTTTTTGGCATCCTTGATGCTTCAAACATATTGTATACAGTTAATATTATATCCGTTTAAGAATGTCAACAGTATAAGGCATGCAATTCAAATATATTTTTCATATAAGTTTTATTTATTTATTTATTTGGAAGGCAAAGTAAGAATGGAAGAGACACCTTCAATCTGTTGCTCCACTCTCCAAATGCTTGCAACAGCCAAAGTCAGGAGACAATAAAGCCAATCCTGGTATCCCCAGGTGGGTGGCAGAGGCCGAAGTATTTGGGCAATCATTTGTTGCTCCCTAGGCACGGTAGCAGGAAGCTGGATAGGAATCCTGGGGCTCATACTGGCACATTAATTTGGGAAGTGGGCATTCCAAGCCAGTTTAACCCTCTGTGCCATAACATTTACCACCAGATTAATTTTTAAATATTTACCTTCCAATATAAGCAAATATGATATATATTAATAGAACAAAAATTAATATTACCTTTATTCAATGGTGAAATTCTTTTTAAAATATTTTTCTAAGTATAAATGCAGTTATCAAAAGAGCCTATTACATCCTGAGAATGATAACAAAGTTCAGACTAGATTATCATACCAATCTTGAGCCCATATGGCATAACTAACAGTCATAGCGTTAGATATAATAATAATCATTTAGAATTCTACTTCTCTAGAGTCATTGAAGAAAATATCTCACTAGAGCTTTCCATCCTGTTAAATGTCAATTTTGCTAATCCAAAATTTCATCATGAAGAAAAACTCCAAAGTCACATACAACATTCATGAAAAATCATCTTCTATCCAGAGAGCATAAACAGAAAGAGGCTAAAGAAAATGTAAAAGAAAAATGAGATAAGGTGAAGGTGAGCGTAAACATCCTTTTACCACTGCAAACTTGTAGAATGCCTGTAAATAAATTCTTGCAACTGAGCAACAAAGAAACATTCCACTCTGTCCTTTATACACTGAAATCTGTATGTAAGCAATGTTGTTTAAAAATAATCATAATGCCAAGACCAACAAGCAGAAGAAAAATTAAACTAAGGTTCTTAAATACTGAATATGGTGACTCTTGATTTTGAATATACAGTTATCCAAGGAAGTTTTATATTAAAGACCATGAGGCCTACTCAAGATCACTATAACAGAGTGGGTGTAGAAGGTAGCAGGAAGATACCTATGAAGGGAAAAAACCCCTCTCAATCATAATCTTTATGTAATGCTTCTCTGCACCCCTTTATAGCACATATAGTCATGTGCTGCTTAACTCTGAGGACACATTCTGAGAAATACAAGGCTGGGCAATCTCACTGGGCAAACATTGTGGAGTATACTTAGACAAACTAAGAAGGCTATGACATCTCTGGACAATATAATAATTTAGACAATTTCATTGTTATGTAGCATGATGACTGAAGGCTCATCTTTCCTTTAGTTTTTTTCTTAAATTCACTTTAACTAGACTTCTGTACCTACTATTCCACAAACACTGCCCTTGTCAGTTGTTAATAACTTCCACATTGCTAACTTCCCATCCTACAGGAAAATCTGAAACACCCAGGCCTTCTTCATTACATTTTATTTTCACCTGGCTTTTAGGACACTAATAGTTTAGTATCTCATCTCCTGCATTTCCCTGAGTTAGAAAGTCCAAGGCTTAATTTTTGATTCTCTTCTTTTTCTAACCACTTCCATAGTTCTTCCTTACTGGTAACATTTATATACTAATCACTTTTAAATTTTTATCTATAAACTAGACTGTCTCTTCCATACTACAGACTCATATACCTACTTGACATTTCCACACAGATGTGTAATGAACATCTTAACTCTAATATGTCCCCTAACTCCCTTAATTCTCTTTCCCAATCTTGATCCATTTCTAACTCCACACTCAACAGATGGGAATTTTTTTCCTTCTGATGACAAAATTTTGGACTTTCTATTTTTTTTCTCATACCTGATATTTAACCCATCAATAAATCTTTTCAGCTTGATCTTCAAATATCTAGAAACCATTTCTCATAACATCTAATGATATCGTCTAGATGTTATCGTTCCATTAATTCAATGATACCCTAACTTCTATTCTCTTTCCTGCCCTGGGCTATTAGCAGACCACTGAGAAGTCAGATCCTATCACTTCTGTTTTCAAAACTTTCCACCCCCTATTGGCTCTTCAACTCACTTATTCTCTATCTCTTCTTTTTGTTCCAGCCACATGGTTTCCCTAAAATTTTCAAACACACCAGGCATGCTCTTGTTTCATATCTTTTGTATTTCTTTTTCTCTGAGTCTGGAGTTTTTCCCCCATGATTTATTTTATTTATTTGAAAGGCAGAATGACAGAGAAAGACAAGGAGAGATCTTCCATCCGGTGGTTCACTTCCCACATGGCTGTAATGGCCACACTGTCAGGAGCCCAGAGCTTCATCTGGAAATCCCATGTGGAAGTAGGGGCCCAAGCACTGGGGCCAACTTCCACTGCTTTCCTAGGCACATCAGCAGGGAGCTGAATTGAAAGCAGAGCAGCTGGGCTTGAACCAGTGCTCAACTCAAGAGTGCCACAAGGCTGGCCCGTCTTCGTATTGTTTTAAAGGTGGGGTGCCAGTGTCATAAGCAACGGTTTAGCCCAATGAACCACACCACCATACCTCTGGATCTGGAAATTGTTTTCCCTCAGACAACTGAATAACGCAAAATGCTCTCTTATCTCCATCAAATCTTTAATTCAAATGTCAGCTAAGTCGCCTTTTCTTGATACCCCACTTTAAATTGTCACCACATTCCCTGGGATATTCCTTATGTAGCTTACCTGCTTTGCCTTTCTCCTCTGTACTGATCACCCTCAAATATACAATGTTATTACCTGCTTCTCCTTAACTGCAATGGAAGTCCCATCAAGCTATGCTTTTCTATCTGAAGACCCAGTTTTGCAAATAAGACCACCATCTTGTACAATGGCAGTGCTTAATAAACATTTCCTCATTGAATGAATAATGAATCAATGACCTGTGTGTGAACCTCTAAACTTTCTCATTATTTGAGTTGGCAACATGGTAAAAAGCCCAGGAAACAGTAATTGCACTAACATTCTGTATCACAGGTCTTTTCTTGAGACTAGAAAGAAAACAAATGTTTAACCTTAAAAGAGTTAAAGGTGAAGAAGAGCTTATAAACTCAAGAGGTCTATCTGCATTAGCACTAACTGGAAACTGGTTAGAAATATATTCAGGCTTTTACCCAGACCTGCTATCAGAATCTCTTGGTATGGCCTTCCAGGTGATTCTGAGGCATGCTATAAAGTTTATTTTCGAGAAACACTTGCCAGTACCAATCCCACCAATGCTATCATTAAGTCTATTCCTACCTCTGATGAAGTTGATCCAAATGATGTTAACGGTTTATTCCATGCACTGACTGAAGGTGGTTGTGGTGGACTAATGGGACCTACTGAAAAGAAGAAGCCATAGGAAAAGTGATTAAAATTTAATGCTAATAATGCCTAATGCATTTTTCTCTTGATAGTAGCCAGAAATCAAAACAAGGACTTTTCACATCACCATTAAAGAGAGATTCTTACAAAAAATAAAGAAAAGAAAGAAAATTAAGAATGGATTACTATTAACTGCTTCCTATTGAAAAAAAAATGAGATGGCTAAAAAAACTTACTGAATATATAAAGTGGAAGCACTTGTAGGATGCACACTTACATTTCTTAGAGAGGTCATTCAGGACAGCGGGCGGGGTCACCTTGTTATCCCATAATTCAGCTGTAAGGGTGCCATGTGACTGGGGTGTCTGAATGGATTTTCCTGTGGCTACGTAATCTGTGCCATTAGGTGTCTGAGCTGAAGGTAGCCTAATTGAAGGTGGTGGCTGTTTAGAAGACTGTGGTACTGTCTGCAGTGGATTCTGGGCTGGTTTGTGGGTCTGTGTCTGAGTCTGGGCTGCAGCAGTGGAGGCTGAGGATGAGGCTGGGGCAACTGAGACTGAGGCAGCTGGCACTGAGACGGGGGCAGCTGGGGTTGAGATGGCTGGTGCAGGTGGGGCTGAGAGCGCTGAGGCTGTGGTCGGAGCTGAAGCTGGTGCTAGGGCTGAAGCAAGGATGGGAATTGAAGCTGAGGCAAGAATGGGGACAGGAGCTGGTGTTGAAGCAGAGACAAGGATGGGGGTTGGAGCTGGAGCTGAAGCTGTGGCTGATGAAGAGACTGTGGCTATGGCTGAAGTGGAAGATGGAACTGGAATTGAAGCTGAGGCTGCAACTGGAGCTGTGGAGGTTAAAACTGGAGCTGAGGTTGAGGCTGGAGTTGGAGCTGCAGGTGATACAGGAATGGGAACCACAGTTGAGGCTGGAACTGTAGTTGCAGGAGATGACGGGACTGGAGCTGAAGTTGAGGCTGTAGACTGAACTTGTTGAGTCCCTGTTACTTGTTTTTTGGCAAATCTTGGAGGAAGCTTAGAAGTCTGACTTCTTCCTTTTTCATTTGCATTTTTTTTGTTCCAGACCTTAAAATAATTGGTGGGAATAATTTTTGTAAATAATGTAGCTGAAAGCAACAGTTCATAATGCAATTTCTAATAAAACTACCTACAGCTAATTTAGTTCCTTTAACAAATTGGTACACATAGAGGAAAAAATGTCAGTGTTGTGAATTAGATTTTAAACCATGAAAGGCAAGATGAATAGAGAAAAACATATGCATAATGTACTCTTCATAAACAAGATCAGAATTTTATTTTCACAATTCGGAAATTGGAAAAAAAAAAAGGCTAAAAGAAGTTTGCAGTAAATCCATTTGGCAGCAAACAACTTGAACTGACTGAAGTCTCCATGTTATTTATATATATAAAAATAAAATATGTTGTCTACACTTAACTCATATTCACAACAGAAACATTAATTCTGGGAGTATGGATTATGTATTTTGCTATTTACCTTCCTAACAAAAATAGAGGGGGCCAATGTTGTAGCGTAGTGAGTAAACCTGCCACCTGTGAAACCAGCATCCCATATGGGCACCAGTTTGTGTCCTGGCTGCACCACTTCTGATCCAGCTCCCTGGTAATGGCCTGAAAAAAGCAGTGGAAGCCCCAGGTGTTTGGACCCTGAATGCACAAAGGAATGTGGATGAAGCTCCTGGCTCCTGGGTTTGGTCCAGCCCAGCCCCTGGCCATTGTGGCCATCTGGGGAATGAACCAGTGCCTCTTCCTCTCTGTAAATCTTTCAAATACATAAATAAATCTCTTAAAAAATTCTGAAAATATATAGTTCCAAGGGTTATGTTCAATTAAATTCAATAATTTACCTTAATTTATTTTGTGTATTTAAATGAATTACAACATAAACTCTCATAGGCCAAAAATCTACAATATATCAGATTATGGAATTTAAAGGTAATTAAATTAACTCATCTCCCTTGGAACAAATGAGATAATCAGTACTGACAGATAAGTTGTTGAATTAAAGTACCGATGCTCTCTCATGCAACTAGTACATTACAGTGATAATATTTTGTCTCAAATTTACCAAAATTCTGGTTTAAAAGTTTTAAGTTGTAAAAATGAAAACCATTTTCAACATCTGAATAATAAATACAGTCTTGATTTTACCAGCAGATCAAAACCTTGAACATTTACTAAAATATGTTGGGCAATAACTAGCAGTAAATTCAAGTAAGCCTTAAACCTGTATGACTTGTTCTTCCTTCTTTCTCCGTTCCTCATCCTGTAAACGTTTTTGTTGTTTTTTGGATACCACTTCAGTAAAACCATCATCATTCAAATTTGACTGGGGGTCTTCAACAACTGTTACTTCAGGATGATCATCAATTATAACAACACCTGTGGATGTGAAGGATTTAAAATATTTTTTTCCAAATGAAAACAGAAATGTTTAACCTAGTAGGACACTGAAAAAAGTCACAGATCTTGATCTTACAATTTACAGTATAACCTATTTCCTACTTTTTAGATGTCTATTCATTAGTAAAATTTGAAAAGATTTCACATATTTATGAAAGATTTCATAAACAAGGTTACAATTAAAAGACCTAAACTATCTGACTTGAATGTCTTTTTTGTGTAAAAACAAAAAATAAAAAAATAAAAAAAAATTATCCCATGACTTCCACCTCCAGCACAGGATCAGCACAGTGTTTTAAAGATCACAGTACGCTACACTTATTTGCATCTAACCATTCTTTTTTTTTTTTTTTTTTGACAGGCAGAGTGGACAGTGAGAGAGAGAGAGACAGAGAAAAAGGTCTTCCTTTGCCGTTGGTTCACCCTCCAATGGCCGCTGCAGCCGGCGCGCTGCAGCCGGCGCACTGTGGCCAGCGCACCGCGCTGATCCGATGGCAGGAGCCAGGCACCTTTCCTGGTCTCCCATGGGGTGCAGGGCCCAAGTATTTGGGCCATCCTCCACTGCACTCCCTGGCCACAACAGAGAGCTGGCCTGGAAGAGGAGCAACCGGGACAGAATCTGGCGCCCCGACCGGGACTAGAACCCAGTGTGCCGGCGCCGCAAGGTGGAGGATTAGCCTAGTGAGCCACGGCGCTGGCCTGCATCTAACCATTCTTAAGAGTTTGTTCCCCATGTAGGACCTCTGTCCTTAATGAGTTGTACTATGAGAATTAACAGTAAAACTAGTCTTCAAACAGTGGGTCTGTGTGGGTGCAAACTTTTGAAATCTTTACTTAGTATCTGTATATAAAGATAATTAAAAATAAATCTTAATGAAGAATGGGATGGGAGAGGGAGTAGAAGGTGGGATGGTATGGGGGTGGGAGGGCGGGTATGGGGGGAAGAACCGCTATAATCCAAAAGCTGTACCTATGAAATTTATATTTATTAAATAAAAACTTTCTAAAAGAAAAAAAAGAGGTTCTCATTATTATTATTTCCCATTTTCAAGGGGTGAAATAAGCTCTGAGAAGCTGATCTGTTAAAGGTGAAGTGACCCAACTAGCTGGCTTTAGGACGTGAATGCATCTATGTTAGTAGACCCTATCTACAATGTGTGGCTGTTAAAAACAAATGGAGGGGCTTGCACTGTGGTATAGTGGGTAAAGCCACCCACCACCAGCAGTGCCAGCATCCCATGAGTCTCAGCTGCTCGACTTCCAATCCAGCTCTCTGCTATGGCCTGGGAAACAGGAGAGGATGGCCCAAGTCCTTGGGCTCCTGCTCCCGTATGGGAGACTTGGAAGAAACTCCTGGCTCTTGGCTTCAGATAGGCACAGCTCTGGCCATTGTGGCCATCTGGAGAGTGAACCAGAGGGTAGAAGATCTCTCTGTCTCTTTGCCTCTCTGTAACTCTGCCTTTCAAATAAAATAAATCTTTAAAAAAAAAGAAAGAAAGAAAGGAAATACCTAGGTGAAAGTGTGAAAGTTCAACGCAAATATAGAGCAGTAGTGATGTACAAAGACACCAAGATCCCATTTCAGCGTGCCCAGGTTTGAGTTCAGGCTCTGCTCCCAATTTCAGTTTTCTGGTAATGCACACCCTAGGAGGCAGCAGGCAGAAGTTGAGTTCCTGCCACCCATATGACAGCTGGGTTGAATTCCCTGCTCCTGGCTTTGGCCTGGCCCAGCCTCAGCTGTTGCAGGCATTCAAGGAATGAACCAGTGGATAAGACATATCTCTAGTTAACATCCCTCTCTCCCATTCTCTCTCTGGTTAAAGATGATGTATAAACATCACAATCACCCGTCTAATAAATAATCATATTTTCAACTTACTGTCCAATAATCATTATTTTAGGTTTCTTAAAACTGTATTATACCTCAGTAAATAGGGGACTGGTGCTGTGGTGTAGTGAGTAGGCATATGGCTGCCTGCTTGAGACCTGGCTGCTCTCCTTCTGATCCAGCTCTCTGCTATGGCTTGGGAAAGCAGCATAAGATGACCCAAGTTTTGGGGCCATGCACTCGCATGGGGAGACCCCGAGGAAGCTCCTGGCTCCTGGCTTTGGACTGGCCCAGCTCCGGCTGTTGTGGCCATCTGGGAAATGAACCAGCAGATGGAAGGCCTCGCTCTGTAACTCTTCCTTTCAAAAATCCTTAAAAAAACTGTATCTCAGTAAATATAAAATCTAAACCCATTTAATATTTCAAGGGCAAGTATTTCACTCTGTGGTAAAGTCCACACTTGTGATGAGCCTGGGTTCCAGTCCCAGAGCTACTACTGATCCCATCCTCCTCGTAACAAGCACTCTAGGAGGCCATAGGACAGGTGATAGATCAGTGTCTCTTCTTCTCTTTCTGCTTTTCAGTAAGTAAAATAAACACTTCAGGGCCTGGTGTTGTGGCATAATGGGTTAGGTTGCCACCTGAGATGCCTGCATCCCATTTGAGTGCCAGTTTTAGTTCCAGCTGCTCTGCTTCTGATCCAACTCTATGTTAATGTGCGAGGGAGAGCAGTGGCGGATGTCCCAAGTCTCTTCACCACTGTACCCACATGGGAGACCTGGATGAAGCTCCTGGTTCCTGGTCTTGTCCTGGCCCAGTCCCTGCTATTGAGGCCATTTGGAGAGTAGACCAGTAGATGCAAGATCTCTCTCGCTGTCTCTCCCTTTTCTCTCTTTCAAATAAATAAAATTTAAAAAACTTTAAAAAAAAAATAAACACTTCAAAAATATAACTGAAAAATTACAGTAGTTCAGGTTATGTGACTATTGATTATAGCCATGTCTTCACAAAAAATATAAATCTCATAACAGGCAATTCAATTAAGTTTTAACTTGACAAGTATATATTCTAATTGAAGCATACTAAAAATAGCTATTTCCTTGAGAACATTAACTCAGGATCGTGATAGCTGGTAAGTAATGGCAAAGTTTGTCAGGAAAATTACAGGGAATCTATCCACAAAGAATTCTTTTGAAATATCCACAAATTATAATCAAATTACTAACCTAATGCTCCATGATTCACCTCACTTCACCTTATCATGTAAGCATTCCATCATCTCACATCATTAAAGTAATTCTCAAACTTAACCATGCACTGGAATCACTTAGAAAACCTGTTAAGAAAGACTGCTGTGTCTCACTTCCAGAGTTTCTGATTTAGGAGGTTTGGGGTAGGGCCTAAGAATTTGCATTTCTCACAATATTCCAGGTGGTTCTGTTAGTCTGGGGGCCACCTTTTGAGAACAGTGTCTAAGACCTGGGTCCAAATCAGGATTTAAGTAACCATTAACTACATGATAGAAAATCTCTTTTACTTCTCTAAAAACTGGAATTAAGTACCTATCTCTCAATTTCATTCAGTATCTCCACTTTCATTTTCATCTGAATGATGGGCAGAATAGTGCCATTTTAACACGTATAAACATATTTGCTCATTAGTTTCCTCATGCAAACTTATCTTTTTCTTATTGTTTATGTTATCCTACACATTTGATGCTCTCACTTCATGGCCTTCTGAAAATATCTACTCCTTCCCATCCAATTATTTATTCTCTATTCATCATAATCTTAGATACCAATTTACCAAAGTCATAACACCCTGAGTTTAACACCAATTTACCAAAGTCATAACACCCTGAGTTTAATATCTTGTTTTTAAGCACACAGAATCTACACAGATATAATTAACCATCTTCACTTGGTTATCTGTGCTTTTCCACAAGCATTTGTAAAGAGGGTGATTTTCTCCTTTTTGGATTCCCAAGCATGCAAGTTTTATGAAGCATTCAAGGTTATGCAAAAAGTACATGTTATTTTACTTTAATTTAGATCAGTGTTTCAAAATCAGGCTCTAGTTCTACCTTGAATGGCTAACTCTTTTTTCTCTGATGACTTCATTTATTTATAGAATCTACTTAAATGCAAAAAATAAATGAAAGGAACATTAAGACATACTTGCGTAATTGTTGAGATCAAACTGTGACAGAGCATCTACTTTCTCTTTGGGTTTTTTGGGACCTGGTTTGGGATCTTCTCTTTTTTTCCCAGTAGGATCTTTGGAAGTTTTTTGTCCTGTACCATTAAGCACTCCTTCCTGGTGGTGTGCTGAGCTGCCATTGACAGAATCAACAACAGCAGTGGTTGCAGACTGGTCATCAAATGGCCTAAAAAAAAAATGTGAGATATTACTACTTCCAAAGGAAACATGCTCTTGCTGGCAGATTTATAAATTCAGTGTAGATGAAATAACACTGGATTAGAAAGCTCTAACTCTTAGTATCAATAAGCCTTATTGACTTCTGTTGAGTAATAACCTTCCTAAAACTGAGCTTCCTGATTATGTAGATTAGCTTCCTAGAGCACATCCCAGCAATTAAATTCTAGAATTCTAATGATTGACAGAAGGCTTGAATTGTTTCTAGTTGCCTATCAAGGCATAAGCGAAGCCAGCAGAAAACTATGATTCAATCAAATGGACTGGATACTTTCCAAAAATGGGTAGTATATGAAACACAAATTTTTAAAAAGCTGACTCATCTATATGTAATATAAACATAAAAAACTACCGTTAGTATGGAAATAAGTCATTTCACAAACAAAATGTGGTCCTACAGTTTGTTTCCTAACAGATTATTTCTTAGATTTATTTTACATTTTACATTTCCAGATGAAAACAGGTTATGGAAAATGGGTTTATTAATATATTTTCATCATATCCTATAGTATTACTCAAGATAAAAGCTTACCATGTGCCCAACCATGACTTCAAGCATTTGAAGAATAAATTAAGTTCTTCTAATTTAACCTCTTGTCCGACATTTGTTTTAACTATAATCAGTCACCACTATTTCTGCAATTTTAAAGTTGGTGTTATCTACATGACACAGAACTAAAATCCAGAGTTCCCTTGAGTGTTATTACTTGAAATTCTAACAATCCAGTTACAGCCAATGAATTAGCCAACATTTTTGTTATCTTTATCTCCGGAACCACTAGAGGGATGTTCAAATTCAGAGCCAAGGCAGGTACTCAGGGGCTGGCTCTCTGGCGTAGCAGGTATAGCCATGGCCTGTAGCGCTGGCTGCTCTACTTCCAATCCAGCTCGCTGCCATGTACTGGGAAAGCAGTACAAGCACCTGCGTGGGAGAACTGAAGTAGCTCCAAGCTCCTAGCTTTGGGTCGGACCAGTTTCGGCTGTTGTGGCCATGTGGGGGAGTGAACCAGCAGATAGAAGACCTCTCTCTCTGCCTTCCAAATAAATAAATAAATCTTCAAAAAGGAGGGGGGGCAGGTACTCAGGACTGATCTCATTAGTTACCTGGAACACCTTTCTAACTTATCAGGAAAACAAAATTATTTTCCCTTACCAGTGCAGCAATCTGGAATGCTATGTGTAATCAAGCATCTAAATTTAATACAATACTGTCCAATACAGTTTAGGTTATCAGTTCAGGTTGCAAATACAGGAATCTGATGTAAAAAACGGGACATTCTCTAATAATGATTGCTTACTCTAAACCCCGGTATTATACAACTACAAAGTACACGGTCCAGATTTGAACCTAGGCATTCTGAATCTAAACTACTACTTTATCATACTTTTTTTAAAAAAAGATTTATTTATTGGAAAGGCAGAGTTACAGAGAGGCAGAGACAGAGAAAGAGAAGAGAGGTCTTCCATCCACTGGTTCATTCCCCAAATGACTGCAATGGCCAGAGCTGAGCTGATCCAAAGCCAGAAACTTCTTACGGTGTCCCACACGGGTGCAGGGGCCCAAGGACATGGGCCATCTTCTACTGCTTTCCCAGTCCATAGCAGGGAGCTTGATTGGAAGTGGAGCAGCCAGCACTTAAACCGGTAACCATACAGGGTGCTGGCATTGCAGACCGTGGCTCTACCCACTGTGCCATAGTGCGGGCCCTTAAGTCTTAACTACTTGGCATTTCCTATCCAGCTTTCTGCTAATGTACCTGAAGAGAAAGCAGATTATGGTCCAAGTACTTGGGTTCCTGGCAGCCACAGGTGAGATGTAGAAGAAGGTTTTTGTTTCCTGGCTTCAGCCTGGCTCAGCCCCAGCTGTTCCAAGTGCTTGGGGAGTAAACCAGCAGATGGGAGACCTCTGTCTCTCTTGCTCTGTCATCTTGCCTTTTCAAATAAAATGTCTAAAACACAGAATGCACGGAGCAGGCTTGCAGTGTAATGGATTAAGCTGCTGCCTGCAACACCAAGCATCCCATCTGAGTGCTGCTTTGAGTCTCAGGTCCCCAACTTCTGACCTACCTACCTGCTAACGTGCCTGGATAAGCAGGAAGACCCAGATAGAGTTCCAAGCTCCTGGCTCTGCCCCCTGGTTGTTGTGGCCATCTGCTGAGTGAACCAGTAAATGAAAGATCTCTTTGTCTCTCCCTCTCTCTTCATAACTCTGCCTTTCAAATAACTAAATAAAGCTTTAAAGAGTACTCACCCTTTCTTCCCACTTTTTGATGGTGGGCCACTTCGTCTTTCATTCCTAGGACCGGAAAAATTTCTTCCTGATTTGGGTGGACCACTGTTGCCACGTCGATTTTGGCGATCTACTCCAGGCCTCTGACTAGAAAAACTTCTCTTTGCTATTTCTCTCTTTGGAGGTAAACCGTTGTCTCCGGCTTTCACAACTGCTTGTGCAATCAAATCAGCATTTTTTTTTTCATCCCTTTCTCGCCGTTCATTGAAATCACTGCTTTCAGAAGCTGTTTCCCATTCTTCATTTGCCTGATCTGAAGAGTTCTGGTTAGACAAGTCTGGTGTTTTATTCCCAGAAATATCTCCAGCAGTATTCACTGGTTCTTGAACCACATTATTAACTGTGCCGTTGGTGGGCAATGCTGCTTCATTTGTCTTTGAAGCAGCCTCCCTCTCCCTTAGTCTTCTAAACCGAGGAGGCTTATCTTGCCTTGGTGGTCGGGTAGGACGTTGCCTGCGTGGTCTCTCTCTGGCTGGGTCAAATTTTCGCTCAAACTTTGGAGGTCGTTTATCTACTGGCATAGGAATAAACTGCTCGTGTCTTCTTGGCTGCTCTCCATCTTCTGGTTTAGTAGCTTCTGCCTGCCGGGGACTCCACTGATTGTCCCGATAAGCAGGCCTTCGTAAGGTGGAAGGGCGTGATGGACGACCTCCAGGATCCCTTCCACCACGCCTGAATGTTCCCCCTCTGCCACGCCTTGTAGGCTCCCCTTTAGGAAGAAAACCTGGTTTAGATTTATCATCTTCCCTCACATAAGGCTTTTCTAGTGGTCTATTATCTATTCGGACATGATTTTCTGGCTTGAAAGATTGAGGCTTTATAGGTTTCTTGTTTTCAGACCGTTCCTCTCTTTTAGGAAGTTTACCTTTGCTTAAACTATCCTTGTCACTTGCACTTTCATGAATTTCACTGTCTGTGTCGGTCTCTGAACCCCGCTGTCTTCTTCTTTTGGGGACGACTTCAAAATCAGAGCTCTCACTTCGTGTTTCACTTTCCTCTCGCTGTCTGAGAGGCCCTGAGGGCACGTGCTCTGTTCTTGGTTTATTGTCTCTGTACTGAGGATAATCACGAGTGTGTCCTCTGCCACCCCTGCCACGCCCTCCATAAGAGCCTCTATAGCTTCGACCTCTGGAGTAATATTCACCTCGGCCTCGACCTCTGTATCCTTGATCTGGAAACCAATCTCTGTCTCTAGCTTCTTTCCAGTAGGTCCTAGGTGGTAAAGTTGATTCTTTTTTCACTGCTGGTCTTGAATCTGGTCGAGGCCTCTCTACAGCAAGCTCTTTGCCGACAGGTTTCTCAGTTTGCTTTTCTTCTTTGACTACTGGTGCTACAATAGTTTGTTGGGTCACAGTTTTAACCGCAGGCTCCACCTGAACGCTACTCACAGTTTCTAAAGGCACCTCGATATCTTGGGATGGCTTTTGAGCCACAGCTGAAACTTCAGTTGAAGACAATTTTTCAGGTTCTGGCTGAGTAGGTGGTGTAACTGACTGTGGCTGAACTGGTGCTGGAGGTGGGAGTGGAGGAAGAAGATCCTTCTTTTCCGTCTTTTCGGGTTTTATCACTTTTTCAGGGACCTTTTCAACCTTTTCTCCTTCTTTCTCCTTCCTTAGCTCCCGTTCCTCTTTCATATCTCTAAGTACAGGTTTTTTAATGGGACCTGATCTTCTCACTGGTCTATCATTACCTTCTTCTCTTCTGTTGGAGCCAGGCCTTGGGCCCCAGCGAGTTTCCGATTTAGATTTATATACTTTTTCAGGTTTTGGTCCTTCAGAAGAGCGTATGAAACCATCCTTTCTTGGTTTCTCCTCTGGCCTTTCTGCTGGTTCTTTTGAATCAGGGCATCTACTGGTTACTTTAGGGACGCATGCAGATGGCTCATTTCTTTGCTCTTCTAATTTTTGAGTATGGTTAGATCCATGGGAAACACTTCGTTTCCGGACGGGCTGACTTTCTACACCTGAAATCCGATCTTCTGAAGGAGTGGATAAAGCCTTTGAGTCAGGTACTTCAAAACAAGCAGACTGATTATTTGTGTCAGTAGGATGAGGTCTAACATCTTCCACAGATCTACTTAAAAACTTTTGTGCTTCTGTTTCACTCGATTCTCTGACAAAGTCTGCTTTTGGAGGAGCCTCTAAATGACTGTGTTCTACAGGACAAGCAGCAGTGATCTGTTCTTGGTCATGTGCAGCTTCAGGCCTAAAATGATGAGAATTCAAAGGTATAATCAATCAAGTTATCTTCCCCACATGTAAGGGTACAGAGCATAACAAGATACTTTAAAAATGAAAAAGATCTTAATCATAAAAAGTATCTTTATCTCTTCATAAAACACTTACTGCAGCACAATTCATAACAGCTATGAAGGGCAAACTGACTACATGTCCATCAATAGCTGAATGAGTACAGAAAATGTGACACACACACAAAATGGAATATTAATGAAGAACAGAAGGAAATACTGTTATATAAAACACAGATAAATCTTTAAGCTAGTCAGAACAAATAACACATGACTCCACTTTTATGAGTTTTTTTATCTACAGAAATCGTCAAAGTTGAACAGTGGTTTCTAGAGGCCATTGGTTGGGGGAAATGAGGAAATGCTATCCCACTGGTATAATTTTCAGTCATGTAAGATGAAGAAGTTACCATGATTTTCTACATAATATTGTTCCTATAGTTAACAATACTGCACTGTACACTTAAAAGCACAAATGTGTGGGGTTTTTTTGTGCCATGATTGGAAATACAAGTTTATTCCTTAAAGAAAAAACATCGAGATCCACGCTGACATGAATTTTTAATCCATAAAGACTATGCACTTCCACTTAGAACAAAAGAGTGCACTAGAGTCGGTCTATCTATCCTAATCAACCATAAAGTTTCTAAACATTATAAATATAAATTATACCCTGTATAAGGGCAGAAGTTCTAACTACATGGCTATAGATTACTTGATGCCATACCACCAACTGCCACTTCAAATAATTTTATAAATTAGTATCTCTTCTTATTTTGGTTCCAAAAATTTTTGGTAATATTGATAAACAAATCTACCCTACTCACTAATGGAAAACTACACCAACATTTTAGCAGGCCTACAGAAGCATGGTAGATGCATTTAAATTTTCACATCTCATCTATAGTAAAGACCTGTCATTTTTAACATCTAATGCTGAGTTTCAGCGTACAATTTAACACACGAAATCACACTACAAAATGCTCTAATCAATAGAAAAACACTAGGAAAAATAAAGTATGTCCAAAGATGAAACGAAGTACACTAAACAGCAGGAAATTAGTTTTTTGGCTCAGTATTAAATTATCAAATGATCTCCAGGGACACTAGCTTTGAACAACCTATTTAGTCTTAGCCATGTTAATTACCTTATATCCTCAGGTTCCTCAGGTGCCTTGGGAGTAGTTGCCTGTTGAGGCTCAGCATGAGGATAGGGATCAGACCCCCACATCACACGGGGCTCAGAAAGGGAAACCGCATGATCCCTTGCAGATCGAGCCATGTGCTCAAATGATTCAGAACTGTTTGCAGAACCTTCCATCTGGTCCCTTCTCATTAATGGCTTTGGAGGAATCATTCCTGTAACCCAAGTTCAGAAAAAGGTGAAATGAGAATTATGGAAAAAAAAAATCCTAATAGGAATGGAATTTTCTTAAATTTCCCTAAATAAACCTAATTTAGCAAAAAAAAATGGTGGAAATTCCACTTTATTACTGTTATTTAAGACTTCATTTAAAAATTAAGCATAATCCTAAAAACACATATTTTACATTAAAGGACCATTGTAGCCATTTAGGGAGTGAATCAGCAGATGGAAGACTTCTCTCTCTCTCTGCCTTTCTCTGTAACTCTGTCTTTCAAACAAATAAAATAAATCTTAAAAAAAAAAAAAAGAATTCAACAGTGAAAAATTAAGAAAATTATTTTATAGCAAATTCCACTTACTTTAGATGAGTAATATTCTATAAAACATGCCATCTAAATTTCAAATCATCCATGTAAATTTTAAAATCAAGATATGATTTAAAAAAAATAGTCTTTTTCTTTTTAATTTTTATTTACTTGAGAAACCATAGTTACAGACAGACAGAGGGAGAGAGAGACAAAAGTCTTCCATCCACTGGTTCATTCCCCAAATGGTTGTAATGGCTGGAGCTGGGCTGATCTGAAACCAGGAGCCAGGAACTTCTTCCGGGTCTCCTATGCGGGTGCAGGGGCCAAGCACTTGGGGCATCTTCTGATGCTTTCCCAGACCATCAGCAGCGAGCTGGATTGGAAGAGGAGCAGACGGGACTTGAACCAGCATCCATATGGGATGCCGGTACTGCAGGTGGATGTTTAGCCTACTATGACAAAGTGCCGTCCACAAGATGTAATTTTCAAGCCAGGCATTTGGTATAGCAGTTAAAGACGCTGCTTTGGTCACCTCCATGCCCTATTAGACAACTTGGGATAGAGTCCTGGTTCTGCTTTAAATTTGAGTTTTCTGCTAATGCACATACTGAAAGGCAGCAACAGGTGATAGCTCCAAGTTCTTGGGTCCCTGCCACCTGCACAAGAGACAAACACTAAGTTCTGGGATCCTAATTAGCCTGTACATTGTGGCCATGTCAGGAGTGAACCAGCAGATGGAAGACCTCTTTGTGTGTCACTCAAATAAATGGAAATAAGTGAATAAAGAGGGAGGGGGGAGCAAGTCTTGAGCTATATGCCATTTTTTTTTTTTTTTTAAATTTTTGACAGGCAGAGTGGACAGTGAGAGAGAGAGACAGAGAGAAAGGTCTTCCTTTGCCGTTGGTTCACCCTCCAATGGCCGCCGCGGCCGGCGCGCTGCGGCCGGCGCACCGCGCTGATCCAAAGCCAGGAGCCAGGAGCCAGGTGCTTTTCCTGGTCTCCCATGGGGTGCAGGGCCCAAGCACCTGGGCCATCCTCCACTGCACTCCCTGGCCACAGCAGAGGGCTGGCTTGGAAGAGGGACAACCGGGACAGAATCCGGCGCCCCGACCGGGATTAGAACCCGGTGTGCCGGCGCCGCTAGGCGGAGGATTAGCCTAGTGAGCCGCGGCGCCGGCTATATGCCATTTTGATTATAGATTATCTGGATTTATTTTCATGAGTTCTATAAAAGATTGTTAATTCAGTTGTTTATCTGCTAAGCTATGAAGAAAATTAAGGATTAAGCTGGCAAATGATACAGGAAATGAAAAGGGTGGCATATATAAATTTCAACGCTGAAATACTTTTTTATTCAGTATCTAATCAATATTTATAAAACAGAGAAGAGCTTGTATTTTGTATTTGCCACAGCTGGTACAAGTGTCTGGCAAAATAAACTGTGCAAAATAACTGTGCGAAATAAAATTATATAGTGTAGTGGTCCTATTTAAACTCAAACATTTCACAACACCCCAGTGAATTAAAATGCAAAATGGGAGCAAAAAAAACCAACAAATTTTGATTCTGCCAAACTATAAATGAACAATAAGACAGCAATTTCAACTTACCAGGATGAATGGGTGGAATATCCATAGCTGGTCTCCCTGACATCATTCGAGGATCCATGTATGACTGCATCATGAGCCATCTGGGATCAAAACCCATGGATGCTAAATGTTGAGGGTGAGGTTGCATGGGCTGGTAAACAGGTCTGTGTGGTGGAGGAGGGACAGTGCTACCAGATGGCTGTGAAGAAACGGTTTGTGGAAGTACACCTTGCTGCTGCTGTTGTTGCCACTGCTGCTGTTTCATTTGTTCCTGGAAAAGTAACACATCTTGATACCTTAGTTGCACATGTTAAACCCACTGCTTATTAATATTAATAAACATTTATTAAAAGGGAAAGGAATTTCAAGGAAAATTTCCATACTTTATATATTTTAGGTTTCATGTCAAATTAATTTCTCAGAAAACTGAGAAATCACAAGCATATGGTTATGTTTTTATTCTTACCTGTTGCCGCTGAAATCGTGGTGGTAAAGATTTCTGAAATTGTTTGAAATAGCCAGATAATACAGCAGGCCGAGGCTGAGATCCTGACTCTGGTTCTGTTTCATGAACCACTTGCGTGGTCTCCTTTTCACTGCGATTGCTATCTTGTCTAGTGAATACTGGCTTCTCCTCTGCCCAAAGAAAAGGTGAAAGATAATGATATTCATCCATGATATTTACCAAATACACGCTGTCTGTCCTGGACTGAGATGATTAGATTGAGGTACAATAAAACTTCATGAAGAAAAAAGCTTCCCTAACATTCCAAATCATTGTTTTGTACTGATACTGGTGTCCATCAACGAGACATTACATTTATTAATGTCAATATTTACTATGAGCACCTGCATAAAAACAAAAATAGCCTGAAAATACTTAAACATTAAGCACATTGACTTATTCAAACTTTATTAAATCAAGACACTAACATTTTTAAAGATTAATGAACTTACTTAAATCTGAGGATGACAGAGTGATCACTAGCCATCCTCAAACATCATCACCATTATTCTATTAAAAGAGGGTCAAGTATGATACATGCCATGTCAACAGTTACAAAGACAGACATATTACAAATATATCTCAAATGACTATGAATAAGGTAGAGTGAGAGACAGACAGTGAGAGGGAGAGACAGGGAAAAATCTTCTATCTGCTGGTTCATTCCCCAAATGGCCACAATGGCTGGAGCTAGGGCAATCTGAAGCCAGGAGACAGGAGCTTCTTCTGGGTCTCCCATGTGGGTGCAGAGGCCCAAGTGCTTGGGTCATCTTCTACTGCTTTCCTAGGCCACTGCAGAGAGCTGGATTAAAAGAACAGCCAGGACTAGAACTGGTGCCCATGTGGAATGTTGGCACAGCAAGTGGAGGATTAACCTACTGCACACCAGCACAGGGCCCATAATATGAATTTTTAAAAGGATGTTTTATTTTGTTGACATAAAAAAATGCTGTTAAAAATCATTAATTAAGGCCGGTGCCGCGGCTCACTAGGCTAATCCTCCGCCTAGTGGCGCCGGCACACCGGGTTCTAGTCCCGGTCGGGGCGCCGGATTCTGTCCCGGTTGCCCCTCTTCCAGGCCAGCCCTCTGCTGTGGCCAGGGAGTGCAGTGGAGGATGGCCCAGGTGCTTGGGCCCTGCACCCCATGGGAGACCAGGAGAAGCACCTGGCTCCTGCCATCGGATCAGCGCGGTGCGCCGGCCGCGGCGGCCATTGGAGGGTGAACCAATGGCAAAAGGAAGACCTTTCTCTCTGTCTCTCTCTCTCACTGTCCACTCTGCCTGTCAAAAATTATAAAAAAAAAAAAAAATCATTAATTATATTTTTCTTGTCCACATTTTTTTGGGGGGGGGTATCAATTTTATTTTTAACTTATTTATTGGAAGATGGAGCCAGAGACAGCTCCCATCCACAGGTTCCTTCCCCAAATGTTGGCAAACTGCACTCAAATTTTGTATCTTTTCTCACAGGCCTCACCCGCTATGCCACAGCACAGGCCTACCTCACTTGCATTTCTAGCTCTTGGTTTTGGAATGAGAGAGCAGTGTCAGCACAATACTTTAATGAGCACATCACACTGGCAAACTAAGCTAAAACTCAATGGCATAGTAGGTTAATTCTCCGCCTGCAATGCCGGCATCCCATACAGGTGCTGGTTCAAGACCTGGCTGCTCCACTTCCGATCCCGCTCTCTGCTATGGCCTGGGAAAGCAGTAGAAGATGGCCCAAGTCCTTGGGGCCCTGCACCTGCATGTGAGACCTGGAAGAAGCTCCTAGCTCCGATCGGCACAGCGCCATCCGTTGCAGCCACTTGGGGAGTGAACCAATGAATGGAAGACCTCTCTCTTTCTGTAGCTCTGACTTTCAAATGAATGAATGAATGAATGAATGAGGGAGGCAGGGAGGGAGGGAGGGAAAGAGAGAGAGAGAGAGAAAGGCAGGCAGGCGAGGTCTCCCACACAGGTTGGCAGGGATCCAACTGCCTGAGTCATCACTGATGCCTCCCAGGGTCTGCAGCAGCAGGAAGTTGTAATCAGGAGTTGAACCCAGGGATCAAATTCATGTACTCTGACGGGGGACACAGGTGTCCTGACTGGTGTTTGTCTGAACTGCAGGGCCAAATGTCCACTCTTTGTAAAATACTTCTGTATCAGAAAACATACTGAAACTAATTCAAGCTGCTCATTAAAAATGAATTTCACAACAAGTTAGCCATAGTTTAATACTATATTTGAATTGTTATTTAGTCTACAAACCAACTTGGCAAGAATGAAAAATCCATCAGATTTACAAAAAACAATCTGGGGCCGGTGCCATAGCATAGTGGGTAAAGCCACCACCTGTAGTGCTGGTATCCTATATGGGCGCTGGTTTGAGTCCTGGCTGCTCCACTTCTGATCCAGCTCTCTGCTAAGGCCTGGGAATGCAGTAGAGCATGATCCTAGTCCTTGGACCCCTGCACCCATGTGGGAGACCTGGAAGAAGCTCCTGGCTCCAGACTGGCCCAGCCCCTGCTGTTGCAGCCATTTGGGGAGTGAACAAGTGGATAAAGAACTCTGTCTGTCTCTCTCTGCCTCTGTCTCCCTGTAACTCTCTACCTTTCAAATAAATCCTCCACCAGCGGCACCGGCATCCCACGTGGGCACGGGGTTCTAGTCCCGGTTGTTCCTCTTCCAGTCCAGCTCTCTGCTGTGGCCCGGGAGGGCAGTGGAGGATAGCCCGGGTACCTGGGCCCCTGCACTCGCGTGGGAGACCAGGAGGAGGCACCTGGCTCCTGACTTAGGATCGGCGTAGCTCCGGCTGTTGCGGTCATTTGGGGGTTGAACCATCGGATGGAGGACCTTTCTGTCTCTTTCTTTCTCACTGTCTATAACTCTACCTCTCAAATAAATAGATAAAAAAAGACTTTTAACTAAGAATATAATTACTCTGGTACATTGCAGTCTAACAGCATTATCCACTATATCGTGGAAGCTTGTCTATTTAAACAGGAAGAAAAAAAATTCTCAAATCACAAACTGGGTACAGTATTGGTTTGAGTCCAGACAGCTCTACTTCTCATCAAATTTCCAGCTAATGGCCCGGGAAAGCAGAGGAAGATGACCAAGTGTTTGGGTCCCTGAACCCATGTGTGAGACCCAGAAGGAGCTCCTGGCTCTTGGCTTCAGATCCGCCCAGATCCAGCCACTGCAGCCATTTGGGGAGTGAACCAGCAGATTCTCTCTTTCTGTAATTCTGCCTCTCAAAGAAATACATCTTTAAAAAGGAAAACAAAACAAAACAATCAAGCACCCAAAGCATAACTATTATGAAACTCTCTGTAAGGTTTCAATAAAAGTGAACAAGATAACAATACCTTTATTACAGATGTTTTCACTTTCCTGTTTTTCTACCACAGGCTCCACTGCAGTCTCTTTGGGTTCTATTTTTTCCTCCACTTTCTCTCTTTCCTTCTCCAACTCGCACTCCTTTTCCTGTTCTTTCATCTTCTGTAATTCTTTTTCATTTTCCCTCCACCGTTCTAATTCTTTCTCTTTTTCTTGTTTTCTTTCCTTCTCCATTTCTCTTTGTTTTTCCTGCTCTTTCTCCTGCTCTTTCTCCTTTTCCTGCTGCCTCTCCTTCTCCTTCTCCTTCTCCCTCTCCCTCTCTTTCTCACGCTCCTGTTCTTGTTCTCTTTCAAGCTCTTTCTCACGCTCCCGTTCTCTTTCTCGCTCCCTTTCCCGTATTTCTTCTGGAGATGGTTGTTTTTCCATGATGCCGCGCTTCTCATCCAAGCGTTTCAGTTTCTCTGCACATGCAGCCTTCCTTTGTTCTTCCATTCGTCGTTCTTCCTCTTCACGACGCTTCCGTGCGCGCTCCACCGCAGCAGAGATTTCTGACTGTTGTCTCCGTCTTTGCTTCCATATTTCGTCTTCATCAGGTACTTGCTGCTTGGGGGGGAAAGGGCCTGGTCTTCCAGGTACTGCCTGTCTATCTGGAGGTGGATGCTGAAACATAGAAGTTACCAGATGAGTAGGAGAATTCTGACCAACAATGGGTATCACAGGCTTCACTAAATATGTACCTATTTATTGTGCCAGACACTCTTGGTCACTCATTATGCTGCATACAATTAAAAGCACAATAGAGAAATCTCCAAATCTAACTTTAGAGATGAAGGGAATTTACAGTGTGAGGCGGCAGCAGTTTACAGCAACTGACAGAGCAAAAATTCATGATGGAGAAAAAGTCACAGGGGCCAGTGCTGTGGCGTAGCGGTAAGAACCGCCACCTGCAATGCCAGCATCTAATATGGGCTGCGGTTCGAGTCCCAGCTACAGCACTTCCAATCCAGCTCTCTGCTATGGCCTGGGAAAGTAGCAGAAGATAGCCCAAGTCCTTGGGGCCCTGCATGTGCATGGGAGACCCAGAAGAAGACCCTGGCTCCTGGCTTTGGATCAGCACAGCTCCAGTCATTCAGCCCATTTGGGGAGTGAACCAAGGGATGGAAGACTCCTCTCTCTCTCACTCTGTAACTCTGCATTTCAAATAAATAAATCTTTTAAAAAATTATCCAAATTGATAGCATGATAGCACACAAACTCTGAAAAGAAATTTCTAGAAATCAGCCTGGGTACAGAGTTCTATCTTTAGACTGAAAAATCCAGAAAATGATATCTAGAGCCTACACAGTACAGTGTGGGAGTATCACCTCAGAAATCAAGTTTTTTTATGATTTAGTTTTCATTAAGGAGTTATAAAACAATTACTAAAGCTTAATGTTGCTAGGGTTTGGCACTGTGGGTTAAATTATTGCCTGCAATCTCAGCATCCCATACAAGTGCTGGTTTGAATCCCAGCTGCTCCACTTCTGATCCAGTGGCTGGAAGATCTGTGATCTCTCTCACACACACAAACTCACCAAATCGTTTAAAAAAAAAAAAAAATGCTGCCAATGAATATACAAAAAGCAGAATGGAAAAAACGGATGTGAAGCACACAAAGGGAGGAGAAAAAATTTAACAGCTACTAGGGTGGATAAACCTTTTCTTCTTCTTCTTTTTTTTTTTTTTTTTGACATTTTTAGCCTTTTATTTTTAAATAATTACAGATTCATAGTAAGGTGTTCTATGTGGGTTCAGGGGCCCAAGGACTTGGGCCATCTTCTACTGCTTTCCCAGGCCATAGTAGAGAGCTGGATCGGAAGAGGAGCAGCCGCTACTTCTGATCCAGGTTCCTGCAATTGCACATCCTGGGAAGAGGCAGATGATGGTTCAAGTACTTGTGTGCCTGCCATCCATGTTGGGAGACCTGGATTGAGCTGTTGGCTTCTGGCTTTAGTCTGGCTTAGCCCTGACTGTTTTAGACATTTGGGGAGTGAATTAGCAAACTGAAGACCACCTCCCTCCAACAAATACAATAAATAATTAAAATAAAATAATCTTGTAACTGAAAACAATGGTCTGAGTATTTTAAAAATGAATGCAGAATATCATTTACCAAAAAACCACTTATCTCTTTCTTAGCCAGTGATTTCCATGATCTAAAGCTCAAGACACCAAGCTGAAAAGCCAAATTCCTCCTTTCTAAAAGTATTTAACCACACAGTAAACTTAGAGTAATATTTTTTAAAAAAGCAATTTCATGGAAATATAATTTATTTAAGATGTGAAACATATTTTAAATGTATAGTCTGATAGGTTTGGACGAACGATATACTTGTGTAACCTTTGATTCCATTCAGATAGAATGTTCCCAACATTCCTCTGTCTGACCCCAAGCATTCCTAACCCTAACATTCAATAGTTTTACCTTTCATGACTCAGTGTAATGGTTTTGGGGTTATTTAGTGTGTTTTTCATTATTGCACAGTATTCTACTGTAGGCATACCATTTTATCTAGCATGGACATGTAGACTGTTTTCAGATTTAAACCATAAATAAAAAAGCTCTGAACATTCATGAGTCCTTGGTGTTGACAAATGCTTTCATTTATTTCTCTTGGATAAACAGCAGTCTTGCTCTCAAGTCATATGGTAAAAATGTTTTTCTTAAAAGAAACAGCTAAACTGTTTTTGCAAAGTGCCTGTAAGGTTTTATAGTCTCACCAGTAATGTAGAAAATGCCAGCTGTTCTATATCCTTGCCAATACATGATGTAACCAGCCATTAAAATTTCGGTTGTGTTAACAAAATCTCATTGTAATTTCAATGTGCATTTCCCTAGTGACTAAAGACATCTGAATATCTTTTCATGTACTTCTTGGCTACTTAAATGTTTTCTTTTGTAAGATGAATTTCAAATTGTTGGGTTATTGTTCTTTCTGAGTTTTTGTTTGTTTTTGGTAAATACAGCTCTTTAAAAATTAGATGTATTAGGAATTTTTTTCTGTAACATTTATCTTCATTTTGGCAAGAGGTAAGTTTTGAAGTACAAATGACAACTTTCTTTTCTAATTCAGGAGTTTTGAATCTTTGCCAAGAAATTTCTGTCAGCACTAAGTTCATAATGAATCTCATCTAAATGGCTGTTTTACCTCCTAAGTACAAAGAAAGGATATGAAGAGAATTCAGTGGTTAAGTGAGCTGGGTGGAAATGATGGTGATGGATGTGGTTGTGGTAAGGGAAGCTGCTTTCAGAGGTGGATGACTGGACAAGGACTCTTGATGTGGTAATATGTAGGCACAGAACTTGATAACAATGGATATTAGGAAAAGTGTCTTCCAGTTACAGGAAAGAACAAGGATTATAAAAAGAGAACTGCAATAATATTTATATGGGGAAGAAGAAGGAGAAGGGCAGATGGAGTCTGAAAAGTAGAAAACTGTGACAAATAGGGGTGGGAGTTTGGCACAAGGGTTAAGCTGTCGCTTGGGATGCCTGCATCCCAGTCTGGAATGCCTGGTTCTCTGAGTTCTCGCTATTCTGCTTCTGATCCCATTCCTGCTAATGTGCATTGCAGGAGAGAGCTCAAGGATTTGATTCCCTGTCACCCATTTGGGAGAACCAGATGAAGTTCTCAGCTCCTGGCTTTGGCTTGGCCTAGCACTGGCTATTGTGGACCATTGGGGAGCCAATCAGTGGATGGAAGACCTCTTTTTTTAAATCAAAAATTAAGGGGCTGGTGTTGCAGTATAGTGGGTATAGCTACCACCTGTGACGTGAGCGTCTCTTATGGCCACTGGTTCATGTCCTGTCTGCTACACTTCTGATCCAGCTCCCTGGTAATAGCCTGGGAAAGCAGTGGAGGATAGCCCAAGTGCTTGGGCCCCTTTACCCACATAGGAAACCTTGAAGAAGCTTCTGGTTCCTGGCTTCTGGCATGGCTGCTGTGGCCATTTGGGGAGTGAATCAGCAGATGGAAGATCTCTGTCTCTCCCTCTCTACTCTGTAACTCTGCCTTTCAAATAAATAAATAAATCTTTAAAAAATAATAAAATAGATTAAAAATTAAAAAAAGAAAAATCACAGGAACAATCTATATAGTTTTAAGATGATCATAGCTACTACAGAAGAACTGAGCTGAAGGTTGTAGGTGCTCAGCCAGCAATAAGAAAGCAAAGTGTGTTAAGAACCTGTCGGGGCCAGCCCCACAGCTCACTTGGCTAATCCTCCGCCTGAGGTGCCGGCATCCCATATGGGCACTGGGTTCTAGTCCCGGCTGCTCCTCTTTCAGTCCAGCTTTCTGCTGTGGCTCGGGAGGACAGTGGAGGATGGCCTAAATCCTTGACCCCTGCACCCGCATGGGAGACCAGGAGGAAGCACCTGGCTCCTGGCTTCGGATCGGCGTAGTTCCGGCCACCAGCCATTTGGGGGGTGAACCAACGGAAGGAAGACCTTTCTCTCTGTCTCTCTCTCTCTCTCTCATTGTCTAACTCTGTTAAAAAAAAAAAAACCTATGTCAATAGTTCAAATGAAATAAGCAATAATAATTAGTGTATTAATGTTTTGCAGGTGTAGGTGACATAATTTATTAACAGATAAACCTAGATAGAGTAAAATAAAGAATCAAGAATAACTTCTAGATTTTAGCCTGAACAAACAGTTGAATGATGATAATGATGCCTTTCTTCGAGATGGGGAAGACAGGAGGAAGAAGCAGAATTGTGCAGATGTCGAAGTGGGGATTGAATTATAGTTTGGACATATTAGGTATGATATGTCTACAGGAGATGGAAGTGGCGTTGTGAAACTGATTGGTGAATACATGACTCTTGAAGTCAGGGTAAAGCTTTTAGGATTACAGACATATATTTGAATGTTACTGGCACTTAAAAGACATCTCTTATAGAAAGGTTAGAGATCAAAAAGGGAATGAAAACATAAACCTGAGTCTCCCAATACTCAAAGATATAGCAGGCCCAAAAGAAAACAAAACAGTACGATATCTCAGAGTTAAACAAATGTGATAGACAAATCAACTAGGTTAAAGATGCCAATGAGATTGGGAGAAAACAACTGGATTTCTTTTCTTTTTTTTTTTTTTTTTTTGGACAGGCAGAGTTAGACAGTGAGAGAGAGAGAGAGACAGAGAAAGGTCTTCCTTTTCCGTTGGTTCACCCCTCAAATGGCTGCTGCGACCAGCACACTGCACCGATCCAAAGCCAGGAGCCAGTCTTCCTCCCAGTCTCCCACACGGGTGCAGGGCCCAAGCAATTGAGCCATCCTCCACTGCCTTCCCAGGCCACAGCAGAGAGCTGGACTGCAAAAGAAGCAACTGGGATAGAATCCGGCCCCCAACTGGGACTAGAACCCGGGTTGCCAGGGCCGCAGGCGGAGGATTAGCCAAGTGAGGCGCGGCGCCGGCCAAGAACTGGATTTCTTAACAGAAATGCCATCAATGACTTTGGTAATAGTTTCAAAAGGATACTGGGAGATGGAAGCATGCTTTAAGAGGGTTAATTAATTAATCAAAGAACAGTGAAAAAGATAGCATGTATAAATAGAATTTTGCTGGGGCTCGCGCTGTGGTGCAGAGGGTTAACACCCTGGCCTAAAGCATATGGGTGCCGGTTCGAGACCACGTGGCTCCACTTCCCATCCAGGCTATGGCCTGGGAAAGCAGAAAATGGCCCAAGTCCTTGGGCTCCTACACCTGCGTGGGAGACCCAGAAGAAGCTCCTGGCTCCCAGCTTTGGGTCGGCGCAGCTTCAGCTGCTGTGGCCAACCGGGGAGTCAAACATCTCTCTCTCTTTCTGCCTCTCCTTTCTGTGCAACTCTTTCAAATAAATAAAAATCTTAAAAAAAAAAAAAAAAGAATTTTGTTGTGATGGAAATCAGAGAATTAGTGTAGGTGCTGGAGGGGAGTATAAGGTGGGGTGGGGTGGTTAATGGACCTGTTTTACTGTTTTTTTTCTTAAATTTTGAGAGGTAACATTACAGTAAGAAGTGGAAGATGGAACCCAAGCAACTGTCCTTAGTAGCAAGGCCAACAAGGAAAATAAAATGAGCTGTGAAGTGGAAAAAAACCAGGTATTTATTAGGTACTTATTTCCTAAGTCAAACTCTGAACATTGCTATCAGCTGAGAATGAAGACAGAAAGGATGAAGAGGAAGACATATCAAAACCAACAAAGAGAAAAGCTGATTAACTATTTCATAAATGTTAAAAATAAAAAACATGCAGCACCTTTGAACCACCAAATATATACACTACAAACTAGCATTTAATTAATATTTACCTGCTGTGCAAGCAACTTTGGAGGTGGTGGCAAGTGTGCAGATGGTCCACGTTCCTATTAAAAAGGATTGTCAAAAAATAATCAATTAAGAAAAAAAGACATCTACTATACATATGTGTGAATGTATCATGCAATCTTAATGAGACCACAGCACTACTGAATATAAGCTCGCCTCTCCCTTTCTCCTTTTTAATAAAAGAATATCACTGCAAAAAATAATTCCGACAGAAATCATTCTATCACTTCAATGAGGTTAGAATCACATAACATAGCAAACTACAGCATGTTAGTGGAGGAATTCTGACCAAGGTGAACCCTAAATCACTAATTTTATCTTGCTTAAACACAATACATTTTTTTGAAATTTTTTCTAATGGCAAACTTAAAATACAAATTTGATCTAAAGAAAAGAAACATCTCAGGGTTGGTGCTGTAGCATAGTAGGTTAAGCCTCCACCTGCAGTGCTAGCATCTCATATGGGTGTTGGTTCAAGACCCAGTTGCTCCACTTCTGATCCAGCTCCCTGCTAATGGCTTGGGAAAGCAGGCCAAGTGCTTGGGCCTCTCATCCATGTGAGAGACCTGGAAGAAGTTCCTGGATACTGACTTTGGATCGGCCTAGCTCCATGCCCTGCAGGCATCTGGGGAGTAAACTAGTGGATGGAAGATCTTTCTCTGTCTCTCTCAAATAAATCTTAAAAAAAAGAAAAGGGGGGGGGGGCTGCAGGGCGGCACTGTGCCACAGCAGGTAAAGCCCCCATGTGAGCACTGGTTTGAATCCTGGCCACTCCACTTCCTACCCAGCTCTCTGCTGTGGCCTGGGAAATCAGTAGAAGATAGCCCAAGTTTTTGGGTCCCTGCACCAACATGGGAAACCTGGAAGAAACTCCGGTATTCGGATCAGCTCAGCTCTGGCTGTTGCAGCCATCTGGAGTGTGAACTAGTGGATGGAAGACCTCTCTCTTTTTCTCTGCCTCTGCCTCTCTCTAACTCTGCCTTTCAAATAAATAAATAAATCTTAAAAAAAAAAAAAGAAAGAAAAATCTAAAATATATTGGGACAGGTTATAATATATAGAATACTTGCTAATTTATACACCAGTATCACAAAAATGGCAAGAAATCAAGACCTGCTCTATCTATCCCTCTATTCTTTAACAATTCTTATCCCACAATATATTAATAAGCATAAGGTCACATGAACCAATAATTTTATTGTATCATTGCATGAAAAGCCCTTCTTTTTAATAAATTTATTAAATGACAGCTCACCAATGCCTTAGGAATAAAATCCAAGAATTAACACTTTTGCCTATCAAGCTATTTAGGACTTATTAAATGTGCTATGCTTTCTCATTCTCTACTCTGTACATGTTCCTAGTGCATGGAACACCTCTCTTCCATTTCTGCTTCTTTAAGAATTCTAGTACTAAGTCTTGCCTTGACTGAATTCTCTAAGAACTCACTATATGCATTCTCATTATACTACTTATCACACTGAACTATATGTAATCAACGCTTACTAGTTACTTTGTTCTTCTTAAAGAGGCTATTAGCTACATCCTTTAAACTCCCTCAAAGGACATGGCTCTCCATCTGTTTTGTATGAATTCTACAAACACATGGTGACTATACCATGATTCTTTAATAGGTGTTAAGTGTACTCTGTCCAAGGTAACCCCTTTTAATTTCCAGTTTGTAATGCAGCTCTTGCCGTCCTTTATCATCTCAAAATTGAGATCAAGTGTATCTGCTGCCCAAATATTTTCCTTCTTCCACAATGTTCTTCAACATAGCTCAAAATTTTAGGTGTCCTGAATATGCATGATTTCTCACATTCAGGCTCGAATGACTACCAATGATTTCAAAATTAATTTTTCCACAGCATCTGTACTTTCAAGAATCTGAGTCCAACAAACCTGATTAAATGGTGGTCCTTTTCCGTAGGGACCCTTTGCTCCTTGTGGCTGGGCAGTTATCTGAGATGATTTAGTGTTGCAAACTTCATCCGCTTCTTTACGGTTTTCAGTGTTTTCAGAGGATTTTGACCCTTGATCTTCACTGAAAAATCAAAATCAAAAATTAAAAAAGTGGACAACTGGATCATCAGAAGTGAATGCATTTTCTCTTAAGTAAAAGATAAGTACTTTCATGTATTTTCAAGGGGAAAATGCTTCAAGAATTGACATAGGTTTGTGATCCAATATTTTGATAATGTCATTAAATATTTACAATGGTCTTGGGGACTGGGTTTGTTCAGTTCATTATCAAGGCATAATGCATAATAAAGTGGTTTTCAAACTAGACAATCACATTTTTGACACACAACCTACAAAGACATATAAACTCATCATTTCTCTATCTTCCATTCAAAATATCTCTTCTAAAACTGAGTAATACTGGAAATATTAACTGTATTCTAATTTATTCTGATTAAGTGAAAAATGTAAATCAAACTATTGCAACAAGGAGCAGGTGTTGTGGTACAGCTTGTTAAACCATTACTTGAAATGCCTATATTCCCTGTCTGAGTGCCTGAGATACAGTCACTTTTATGCTTCCAATCCAGCTTCCCGCTAAGATGCCTGGAAGGCAGTAATAGCTGAATCCCTGCCCTCCCGAGGGAGATCCAAATGGAGTTCCCAGCTCCTTCAGCCTGACCTAGCCTTGGCTGGCGTGAACATTTGGGAATTGAACTAGTAGACAGAAGATCTCCTCTTCTCTGTCACTCTGCCTTTCAAATAAATAAATGTTTAAAAAAATTTTTTTAAATAGGAGTAACAAACTGCAGGCTTTTCACAAATGGTTATGAAATGGTAGTGTATCACCAATGCCATGGCTAGGAAATTATACCAATATGTGCATGCAAATTCCTGTGTAATGACCAACATTTATGATAAAGATAACCCAAATACTCTTGACTATAGTGTTCCTGTATTTTTTAAGAAAGCAAAAGAGGCTCTAATGCTGCTTGCTAAGCTTTAAAAACAAAAGAAACTGAACGAAACAAAAACAAAACAAGTAGTAACATAAGAAATTATTTGCGGATTTAGTTACTCGAGCAAGTAACCATTTAAAATAGGCCAATAATGACTCTCAAAATATCTCCAATTAGGGGCTGGCGCTGTAGCCCAGTGGGTTAACGCCCTGGCCTGAGGTGCTGGCATCCCATATGGGCGCAGGTTCTAGTCCCGGCTGCTCTTCTTCCAATCCAGCTCTCTGCTACAGCCTGGGAAAGCAGCAGCAGATGGCCTATGTCCTTGGGCCCCTGCACCCGCGTGGAAGACCCGGAAGAAGTTCCTGGCTCCTGGCTTCGGATCGGCACAGCTTCAGCAGTTGCAGCCATCGGGGAGTGAACCATCGGATGGAAGACCTCTCTCTCTCTCTCTCTCTCTCTCTAACTCTGACTTTCAAATAAATAAATAAATCTTAAAAAAAAAAATCTCCAATTAGGCGCCAAGCACTGAAGTATCTTTTTTTTTTAAATGTACTTTCTCAAGAAACATCAAACCTTAATTCCTTGATTAGCTGTACTGTATTAATTTGGCTCATTAATTACCCACCTACTCAGTAAAACTTCCTGGAAAATGTAGATATTCTATAAATAAGGAACAAATGTCTATTAATGAAGCCTTTCTGAATAAACAGGTAATGTTATATCAACAAATTTATATTGTTTTTGGTAAATGATCATCACAACTTACCTGCTATTCTCTTTAGGACTACTACTTCCTTGTTCATCATCATCACTAAAATTCAGCTGTTCTGTATAATCTACTTCCATCTGAGCACCTATTAAATTAAGGAAAATTCAGACTGATTGTTTAAGAAGCATCTATCAATTTAAAGTACTTAATGAACTTTGCTTCTTACCTGCCCAACCTTCATCAGCTTCAGCATCTAGGTTATCAAACTTATCCAGCTCCTTCAGTTCTGATGCACTAAGGATGGACGGGCGTTCCGGCTCAGAGGCCCATGAAGGAGGTGGGCCTCTCCCTCGAAGGCCTCTAATGAATGAAGATCACAATGGGAAAAGATACAATGTTTGAACAATGCCAATTTAGGGGAATATCCAAAGATCGCATTTAGTTCATTTCAATTTAGCATTAGTGTTTTTATACCAAATATACAAAATGTTCTGTACCGACATAGGTAAGAAATTAATACTAGCAAATACATAGTTTGTATTCAAATATTTAAAAGCTGACAGGGTTTCTGAAAACAAATTTCTGAAGATTAAAAAAATATGCCACAGGTAATAGTTTGATTAAAATAACAACTTTAAGAAAAATAACAATTCAAGAAGATATTTAAGTCTCACATTAATCAGAGAATGGGAAATGATTAAAATTATGGAATAAAGAAAGGATAAGCAAGTATTATGAATATTAGAGCTATAATCTCAGAATTTTGTTAATTTAAATTTTTTAAGAATTAAGTGTTTTTGTTCTAAAAGTTGGCCAATTATTTGTTAATGGCAATTGTACTTTGAGGACAGAGAAAATTAATCAAACATTTCAATCCTTTCAAATTTCAGATGTTAATGAGTATATATATTCCTTGAAGACTTCACTCAATAGCCTTACTTGTTTGTTTCAGATAAAGATGGGGGGAACCTCATTGGACCATGTAGAGGAGGATACGCCATCCTTGGATACTGTTGAAACATCTAAAAAGGGAAACAAAAAATTTAATCTAGCCATTAAAAAAAGAAATCCTGTGACCTGGCCTATTAAATAAAGAGTATCCATGGTTCTGAAGTACGCCATGGCTGTGAGCCTCAACAAGGTCCAAAGGGTCAAAAAAGGACCATGTACACGAACACAGCCACTACCATGGATGCCACACCAAGCCCTGATGCTCATGTGTGACAGGACTCAGGACATGCATGGTTTTATCCTGTAGGAGTACCTCACTATGCAGAGACTCAAAGTCTCCATGGACAAACAGAACCTTAAATCCATCCAGAAAAGGCAAACGGGAGGAGGAAAGCAGTGTCCAAGATGGAGCCCCTCCTCCCATGCTTAATTAACACTGTAAGTCCCTGGGGAGGGGGAATTAAACAGTAAGAGTACTGTTTATTGGCTGGTACAGATTACCCATCTTCAATAACAAGCTATTTCTAAGATCACTGCCTCCATCAAGTCTTTACAAAACAGGAAATAAAGGCAAACCATACAATGAACTTCTAGATCTTATTAAAAAAATTACACACGGTTGTATATTGATGTGAAAAATTTAAAAGACAACATAGGTATACACACAAACATCAAAGAAAACTGCAAAGTCTTCATTATGTGACTATACTTAAAGGCAGATGATATGAAACTTCAGGCTAAATCAAGAGTAGACTAACTGAAGGCAGATTCATTGACAAAGAGAAACTCTTTTATTTTTTTTCCTAAAGATTTTATTTACTTATTTGAGAGGTAGAGTTACAGACAGTGAGGTAGAGACAGAGAGAAAAGTCTTCTGTCCACCGGTTCACTCCCCAAATGGCCACAACGGCCGGAGCTGTGCCGATCCAAAGCCAGGAGCTTCTTCCAGGTCTCCCATGTGGGTGCAGGGGCCCAAGGACTTGAGCCATCTTCTACTGCTTTCCCAGGCCATAGCAGAGAGCTGGATCAGAAGTGGAGCAGCCAGGTCTTGAACCGGTGCCCATATGGGATGCTGGCGCTGTAGGCAGAGAATTAACCTACTGCACCACAGCACTGGCCCCAAAGAGGAACTCTTGTACAGATAAAAAAGGTTATAAGCTGAGGGAGTGAGGAGGTAGCTTGGGAACTACTTTAAGATTTTTCTGTGAGTAGCAAATGGACTCTCAGATTACTACACAAATAATAACTATAAACTTAGGTTCGAACAGGTCAAGATGATTCTGGGGGAACTTGGCTTGAAAAATTCAATTTTAAAAACTGAGAAAACATTGTAAAACCAAGGGACTGTCTTATGATTTGGAAAGAAGCGTATTACGAAGTGCTTGGTGATTACTGTATTGCCTTAAACACATAATTTTTATTTTGAAATAGATTAGTCTGTCTTTAAAAATAAGCTGTTAGACAGGGCTGGCGCCGGCACCCCGGTTTTAGTCCCGGTTGGGGTGCCGGGTACTTGTCCTGGTTGCTCCTCTTCCAGCCCAGCTCTCTGCTGTGGCCCGGAGGGCAGTGGAGGATGGCCCAAGTGCTTGGGTCCTTGCACCTGCAAGGGAGACCAGGAGGAAGAGCCCGGCTCCTGGCTTCGGATCGGTGTAGGGCCGGCCATAGCGGCCATTCTCACTGTCTATAACTCTCTCTCTTTCTCTCTCACTGTAACTTTGCCTGTCCAAAAAAAAAAAAAAAAAAAATTTGTTAGATGAAGAAATTACTTTATACTTGAAGAGAAGCTGTGTTTATATGATTATGTTCTCCAAATAATTTCTTCTGGGGCTGGCATAGAGGCACAGTGAATGAATCTGCTACCTGTTCCACGTCTGATCTTGCTCCTTGCTAATGAGCCTGGGAAAGCAGTGGAAGATAGCCCAGGTGCATGTCCCATTCTCCAACAAAGCAGGAGTTCCAGGTTCCTGGCTTCAGCCTGGACCAGTCCCTTTCAAGGGGGGAGTGAACCAGAAGATGAAGATCTCTCTTACTGTCTCTCCCTCTAATTCTGCCTTTTAAATAAGTAAATAAAGGTCAACTGCTATGGCATAGTGGGTTAAACTGCCGTCTACAGTTTGAGTCCCGGCTGCTTCACTTATGATCCAGCTAGCTCCCTGCTGATTTGCCTAAAGTAGTGGAAGATGATGGCCCAAGTACTGGAACCCCTGAACCCATGTCGAAGACCAGGATGAAGCTCCTAGCTGCAGCCTTGCCTAGTCTTGGCAGTTGTGGCTATCTGGGGAGTGAGCCAGCAGATGGAAGCTCTCTCTCTGCTCCCCTCTCTCTCTAACTCCATGTTGAAACTCAACTGGGGAAATTTCCTTTCTCTCTTTTATTTAAATTTATCATCTAGACACTGGGATATGGAATGTGAGCATCCCAAGTGGCAGCTTAACCCACTGCTACATAACACCCATCCCCGGGAAAGTTTTTTTTTTTTTGAGGGGGGAAATACTCCAGAGAATTTATGTTTCTATCACATTTCTATACTGTAGTAAGTAAATTCCCCACTGGAGGTTAATGTTCACAGATGAAGTTGCATTAGATCCTTTTTCTTATCATTCAAAGATTTACTTAATGTGGTGTTAATTGCTTTAAATTTAGGAATATGCCCAAATATAACTGTAGAAACAATCTTTTTCAATCCTCAATACATAAAAACTATTAAAATTTTTTATTAATTAATAGAATATTTCATTTAAGTAATCAATGAAACAGGAATAAATCCTGTTTGGTATCTTCCCCTCCCCTGCCCTACTCCCACTCTTGAAGTTCAGGTGTCTTTGGAAGTATAATTCAAAAATTATTAGAAGGCAAGTAGTTGAGTATAAATCATTTTCTAAGGCCAGGTCAGAGTTTAGGATTTAACATATTCAAGCTTCTTCTTAAAAATACTTAACAAGTGGGGCTGGTGGTATGGCAAAGTGGGGTAAATCTGCCACCTGTATTGCCACATCCCACATGTGCACCAGTTTGTGACCCAGCTGCTCCACTTCTGATCCAGCTCCCGCTAATGGCCTGGGAAAGGCAGCAGAAGATGGCCCAAGTGTTTGAGTTCCTGTCACCCATGTAGAAGACCAGGATGAAGCCCCTGGCTTCAGCTTGGCCCAGCTCTGGCTGTTGCCTACCATCAGCAGAGTAAACCAGCAAATGTGAACTCTCTCTCTCTGTTGTATTTAACAATTTATTTTCCTCTGCTACTCTAGAATGGTTTAAAAAAAAAACTACAAATGAATAGAAAATATAGTAGCTACTTAGAACTTTCACATGATTTAAACCAAAAACTAACATCTAAACTTTTTTTCCTCTATGAATAATGGGTATTGTGGAAATTGTAAATTTATTAACATAGGCACATGTAACTTCTAAAAAAAAATCATAGAATGAGATCACCAAATGTTATTACTAGTTTATAGAAAATACAGGCGTCAAAAAATATCTAAAGAAACCACAAAGAATGAATCAGCAGAATACGCTATGACAAACTCCACAGGCTAACAAATTTTAACAAGACATGCAAACAAGACTCTTAAGACATGAATTTGAGATTATTAAACATTTTGTTCTTAACTGTGACAACGGTATTATGCATTCCACCCTTCCCCCCGAGTCTTTACTTTTTAAAATACAACCTAAAATATTCACAGATGAAATAATCTAAGAATTGCTTAGTGATCCTAAGTAGTGGAAAATTAGGAGTCATCGCAAAATTTTTATTTTATTTTTGCGATGTTCAAAATTTCCATGATGAAAAGATTTTAAAAAAATACACTCATTCAAGCTTTCGAACTAAAGCAGGTATTCTTAACATTCTGTGTTTGTCTTGAACCTCGTTGGCAGTCTAGCAAATTCTATAAACTTTTCAGAAATATATTCCATTCATAATCTAAAATATATAGTATCTCAAAGAAATACAATATGCTAAAATTCTGTCAATACACTAGTTTAAAAATAAATTTGTGGGGGTCAGCACTGTGGTACAGTAGATTATGCTATTGTCTACATCTCACATAAGCACCAGTTTGAGTCCCGGCTGCTATACTATTGATCCAGCTCCCTACTGATGTGCCTGGGAATACAGTGGAAAATGGCCTTCCTTTGTCATGGCCCTTATCACTCATGTGGGAGCAGACTGGAGTTTCTGCCTCCTAGCTTCAGCATGGCTCAGCCTGGCTCAGCCCTGGCCCTTGCAGCTACTTAGGGAGTGAACCAGTTGTGGGAAATTACCATTCTGTCTCTCCTCCTAACACTGCCTTTCAAATAAATAAAAAAAAATCTTGAATTTTTTTTTTTATATATTCAAGTATATGGGCAGTTCAAAAAAGAAATGTGGAGAACTGTAAATTGAAGACCTTTTATTTTGGTGCAAAAATTTTTGAAACCTACAAGTTTTTTTCAAGACTCAACTGTACGTATGAGTTTTAAAATTCCTGGAACCAACTATTTATTTCATTTTGCATGAACCTTCTGAAGTACCTTTGTACATACTTTTTTAAAAAATAATTATTTATTTATTTATAAGGCAGAGTTACTGAGAGGGAGAGGCACAGAGAGAGACAGAGAGGTCTTCCATCAGCTGGTTCACAACTCAGATGGCCACAATGGCCAAAGCTGGGCCAATCCAAAGCCAGGAGCCAGGAGCTTCTTCCAGGTCTCCCACACGGGTGTAGGGGCTCAAGAACTGGGGCCATCATTTACTGCTTTTCCAGGTCATAGCAGAGAGCGGGGTCAAAAGTGGAGCAGCTGGAGCTTGACTGGCGCCCATATGGGATGCCGACACTGCAGGTGACGGTTTTACCCGATATGCCACAGTGCCGGCCCATCATGCATACTTTTCTGTATTTCAATGCTTCCCTTGTACCCTAGATCAAAAACCCATAATTTCAGTTTCTTATTCAACAATACTCACATAAGGAGGCATCATGGCTCTATACTGGGAAGGAAGACCAGGCTGCTGTCCATTCAGTTTAGCCTGTGGAGGACCACAAGCTATCCTCTTTTCCACAACCTTGAGGATATCACTTTGTTCCGATGTTCCAGCTGTGCTTTCATCCTGGCCAGGCAGCTTTTCATCTTGCTCAGACGAAGAAGGTGAACCAGCAGACTTACCACCATCCCTCCAACAAGCCACATCTAGTATGGAGAAAGAAGAAAAAAAAATTCCAACAATGGAACACAGTGGAACCAAAGTGGGCACATTTCACGAAAATGGAATCAAGTAAGCATGATGAAAAATCCAAAAAGTCTAGTCTATGTCTTCTTGATACTTTCAAGGTTTTTAGGAAGTCTAGATTTGTGACTTCCAAAGCAGAAAGAATATAGCTCCAGGATATATCCCAGGATATTCTCTGCGATGCAGAGAATAGTACTGTAATTCTTCTATGAAGCTTCATCAATATCTGATATAGTCAAAATCACTGTCTTTATTTGGTCCATGTTCTAAGGTCATGTTTTAGAGTAAGATATCTGAGATTTCCTAAGGGGAGCAGGGGTTCTACAACCCAGGAAGATCGACAGTGCTAGTCTCATTTGTTTGCAAGTTACTAGTGCTCAGATGAACTGATTTAGTGACAGCATCTGGTTCAACTACACTTAAATAAAATAGCTCAGCAATTTTCCAAAGAAACACTGACAGCCAGATTCCAACATGACCTGAGTGGTGTTTACCTCCTGGTTCACTCTTGCATTAGACCAGCGTTCGTCTATGTAATATGTAGAATATGGCAGAAGTGGCAGCATATCCCTTTGGAGATTAGGTTGTAAAAGATTGTGGACTTCTGTCCTGAGTGAGAAATATTTTCAGGAAGCCATGTTGTAAGCGGCTCACTGAGAGGCCAATATACCAAAGATCCAAAGGCTACATGAACAAGCTTGTAAACACAGCCCTAGTCAAGTCAGCCTCAGATGACAACTTTATTGCAGCCTTCTGAAACAGTCCCTCAGCCATGCCCTCAACTAAGCTGTTCTGGATACTTTGGGAGATCATAAGTCCAGTTTGGTTTGTTTTACATTGCCAAATATGTTCTGCAGCACTAGACAAATAAATGGTAAAAACTCAAAGACAGTAGAGCCGACACATCTACGTAAGTGTAAACTCATAAATTACAATTCCATGATTGAAAAATAAAAAGTATAATTAATCAGATCTGAACAGAGCCAAGAGCAATGTGAAATGCACTAGGTTATTGGAAACATGGATTTGTAAACAACTGTCAAAGAGGAACGTCCTCATGTGTGGTGTCTTGGAGATACAACTTGGTAATGACAAAATGAAACTCACAGTAAGACGTTTAAAAATCGTGGGACTGGTGTTGTGGTGCAGTGGTTTAAGCTGTTATCTGTGAGCTGCGGCGTCAGCCTGGGGTATGTTATTAAAATGCAGTTTTTGATTTAGTAAGTTGGATATAGGGTACACAATACATTTCTTTTTTTTATTACTTTTAAAAAAGACTTATTGGCCGGCGCCGTGGCTCAATAGGCTAATCCTCCGCCTGCGGTGCCAGCACCCCGGGTTCTAGTCCCGGTTGCTCCTCTTCCAATCCAGCTCTCTGCTGTGGCCCGGGAAGGCAGTGGAGGATGGCCCAAATGCTTGGGCCCTGCACCCACATCATGAGAGACCAGGAGGAAGCACCTGGCTCCTGGTTTCAGATCGGCGCAGCACGCCAGTCGCAGCAGCCATTTGTGGGGGGTGAACCAACAGAAAAAGGAAGACCCTTTTCTCTGTCTTTCTCATTGTCTAACTCTGCCTGTTAAAAAAAAAAATGATTTATATATTTATTTGAAAGGCAAAAGTTAAGAGAGGGAGAGACGAAGAGCTCTTCTAACTGCTGGTTCACTTCCCAAATAGCTGCAATGGCCAGGGCTGGACCAGACTGAAGGCAGGAAAGCTCCATTTGGGTCTCCCATGTGGGTGGCAGGTGCTCAAGCACTTGGGCTATCTTCCACTGCTTTCCCAGGCACATCTTCCGGGAACTGTATGGGAAATGGAGAACCCAGCAGCTTAACAAATCTGGCCCCCACAATTATACATTCCTATGAAGCTGTCTAGTTAGTGACACTGTTGGTAAAAACATTCTGAATTGAGTAGCAAGCAAATACAATATTTGCCTTTTCAAACTAGGCAATTTACATATACAACAGAAAGTATTATCACAAAATAAAATACAGATTTGATCTCACTCTATATCCTTTTTAAAATAGAAAGTAGTCTTACTTGGTGGGCGTAAACTGGGTCCAGGTCCATAGTTGTCATCATTTGATTCTTTATCTTTCTTTTCTTGATCCCCAGCTGCCTGCAGGCTGGGAAATTCTTGCTGAAATTGACTGTTCACTTGGATTCCTATGGATTTTTTTTTTAAAAATTAAAAGTAATTTTTATACTAACTATAATTAAAACAACCCTCCCAGGATACAGCTCTCTGCCTCTTTCTTACAAATAAGTCCATATTACAATGACTGTTCATATCCATAAAGATTCTGAATTTATCTACATTCCTTTTGAATGTTAATGAACAGCCATGAAGAGAAAAAACAGGTAAGAGTTTCACATGTTTCTTTCATTATAATTTTGAGCAAAAGTCATTTGAGTAAAAGTCAAATTCCTTTGCTAAAAACATTAAGAATTAGTTCAAATTATAGTACTGAAAGACTTATGAATAAACACTGTAAGTTGCAATGTGTCACTAACATGTTCTCATTAACTTAATTTACTGGAGGATAATGACTGCACCTCACTATCCATCTGCTCAGCTATCTACTTTCCTTTTATACTTCTATAAATTAAACAAGCTAACTTCATTAGTTAGAGGGCCTAGACGGATTCTGAATTTTGTTTTGTAGACAGTTCCTGATTTGAAAGTGGGAAAATTAAATTCTGTTTGGGATCCCATCATCACTTGGTGTCAAGAATTTTTGCTTTGTGACTCATCTCTGCCCAGTAAATGCCAGAGTGTTTGAAACAGGAGAGACAAAGGGCATAGGGAGAGATGAGTATAGTTTTTTTTATTTATACAATGTCTGAGTACTTTCACAGTGCTGCATGTATAGATTTTGACTGTATGTGTAAGCGGAAAGAGAAAATGTGGGCTTCTTAAAGATGCCCTTTTTAGCCACTATCATTGCATCTTACATGATTCTTAATACTGAAATTTACTCAGGCCAAGATATTTTTTACAAGACCCTTTCCCCAGGGCCTGAATATATGCTGACAATGCTTTCCACCCTAACCAAAATACAGTCCACCCCTCATCTCCTACATGGCTGCTCAGTAACTGGCAAGCCTAACCACTTTTCCCAGCTAATGACCACTTACCATCTCCTTGCCCACCTTGCTTGTTACTAGCCCATGATTTGGGAGCAGGTGCTACTTCTGGGGGAGCTGTAACCCCAGGTTTTGGTTGTGCTGCTGGCACTTCTGGTGTTCTTAAAAAAAAATATGATTCCATTATTTCAGATATTGTATATTTAAATAAATAAAATTATTATATTTAAGTAAATTTACATACAAATTATTTTGGCTACAGATTTAACTCTTCGATGCATCTCAAAAATGTTTCCCCCCTGTAACATTGCTATGATTATGGCTATTTATGTTTCCATTCACCTTCAAGTAACTCAATGAAATGGCAACTTTTGTTTTCTATTTTAAGAAAAAAAGAGACTTAGTGAATAGAGCTGAGAAAAATGTTTTGAAGAAATGAACATTTTTAACTAGAAGTAACAACAGCATATGCATACATACAATCTGGACTGGTAGAATTAGCCAAGGGTTAAGGCTAAGTAACCCCTCTGTGTGGTTGTCAACAGGTTTCCCACTATACTTATTACTGTTATTAGAGGTTAACAGCAGTATCCATTCTCATGAGTAAAAGTATTTATGAGTTTATAGTGTTATACAATCCTTGTAATGCGTAATGCTTAAAAATGAAAAGGTAGTTTAACACACTCATAAAATACATGCATGTTGTCAGGCCTATGAGCAATTTGTTATTGTAATTCTTCTACAACTAATGATATAAGATTCTACAAAAGCCTAATTTACCAAAAAAGCTCCCTGTTCAGGATTATCAAAATTTGATAACAGAGGGAGACAAAAACAAACAAAAGTACCCAATGACTTCTCTTATTTTTAAAATTACCACTACTGGGGTGGGTATGCAGTATAGTGGTTTAACACGCTGCTTGAGGGGCAGGTGCTGTGGCGCAGCGGGTTAACACCCTGGCTGAAGTGCCAGCATCCCATATGGGCGCTGGTTCTAGTCCCGGCTGCTCCACTTCCAATCCAGCTCTCTGCTATGGCCTGGGAAAGCAGCAGAAGATGGACCAAGTCCTTGGGCCCCTGAACCCCTTCCTGGAAGAAGCTCCTGGCTTCGGATCAGCACAGCTCTGGCCATTTTGGCCAACTGGGGAGTGAACCATTGGATGGAAGACCTCTCTCTCTTTCCCTGCCTCTCTTCTCGTTGTGTAACTCTGACTTTCAAATAAATAAGTAAATCTTTAAAAAAAAAAAAAAAAAAAGATGCTGCTTGGGAAAGACACCTACATCCCCTGACTGCCTAGGTTCATTTCCAGGTTCTGTTCCCATTTCCAACTTTCCTGCTAAAGCACAACTTGGGAGGCAATGGTTGATGCCTCAAGTAATTTGAGTTCCTTATCACCTATGTGGGAGACCTGCATTGAGTTCCTAACTCCTGGCATCAGCCTGGCCCAGCACTAGCTGTTGCAAATATTTGGGGTATGAATCAGATGGAGAAATCCATCATGCTTTCTTTCAAAGGAAATATATAAACATAAAATTACCTTTACTTAGCTAAGTCATTCAATTAGCTAATAGCACAACCATTAAACATAGATGGCTAAATATTTGCTCAATGAATGATGATTAACACGGACACTATTGATTCTATCCCAATTTTCTTGTTAACTCCTTATTTATTCAAAACACACTACTTAAGTACCCAAGTAGTTTCAACGCTGGAGATAGAGTAAATTAAATAGACAGAAATCCTTAGCATAATGGAAATTAGGTAACAGAATTTAACTCTTAATCACATTAGAAAGAATGTCTAGAGAGGAGAGGGCATGATATAGGCTATGACTTAAGCAAAGTTCTGATGAACAACTCTGTCATCTGCTCTACCTTGACAAACAAAAATACTAAAACTAACCAACTCATGAGGAAAATTAAACTACAGTTATTACACAAAATTAGACTTCAAAAGGGTCACATAACACTGAGCACATGGTAGGTATTCAAACAGTAATTTCCTGCAAAGGAGAAGGGTTGAGTTTTGACTCACTTTTCTTCTTCATGCTGTTCTTGTTTTGATGCCCATCCGGTACCATCTTTAGGTACAATGTTCACATTAGGATCATTGCCTTTGTTTTCTGCTTTGAGGCTTGGGAGGTTAGCAGGTGGAGGCATACGCCTTGAAATACCAACTTTTCCAAGACTTTGTAATCCATGTCGAGCTGCAACTAAAAGATCAGTAACATCAACTTTCTTAGAACATCTATCTTATTAGCCATTTTATTCTTCAAATGTTGTGGAAAACCAATAGGAATTAATGGAATTCTTGAATATGACTATTCCAAATATTTTAAGGTAAGAATTATAGATCAAGTCAGATATCTATAACACAATTCCATGTCAAAATATTAAATAATCATTGAGTAAATGCTTTAAAAATTCCAACAATACAACCTGACCTACTATGAAAATGAAATCACTGATAATGATGGGTTTTGAAAATTTATTCAGGGTTGGGGCTAGTGCTTTGGAGCAGTGGGTTAACGCCCTGGCCTGAAGTGCCGGCATCCCTTATGGGCACCGGTTCTAGTCCCGGCTGCTCCTCTTCCAATCCAGTTCTCTGCTATGGCCTGGGAAAGCAGTAGAAGATGGCCCAAGTCCTTGGGCCCCTGCATGCACATGGGAGACTGGGAAGAAGCTCCTGGCTCCTGGCTTCGGATTGGTGCAGCTCCTGCCATTGTGGCCACCTAGGGAGTGAACCATCGGATGGAGGCCCTCCCTCTCTCTCTCTCTCTCTCTCTCTCTGCCTCTCCTACCTCTGTGTAACTGACTTTCAAATAAATAAATCCTTAAAAAAAATAAGAAAATTTATTCAGGGACTCTAAGCATGTTAGAAGATAAACACTGACTTTATAATATATATTGCTAATATATCAAACATGGTTATGTTTCTAGTTTTTGCAAAATATACTGAGCTCAAGGTACCTAAGCTAAAAAAAAAAAGGCAGTAAGAAATATAGGATTTTATTCTGTTGCTAGAAATGTACTAAATACTAACGTATGGTTGTGTGCCTTTCAATCTCAACTAAGTTTTCCTTTTGAAGCTATATATTTCTACTTATTTTTTGCTGACAAAGGGGTAAAAATAAAAATATTTAAAAATGATTTTATGAAAGCATTAATTTTCAATTTTAAGATTCATTTATCCTGAAAAATGTGTGCATATATTAAAAAGGGTAAATAGGACTGCAGTAAGTGGGGTATGTGTCATGTTCTCAGTTTCAGTATACCATTTTTAGTAACAGAAACATGAAAAATTAAAAGTGTCACTTGATTTTGCTCACCTGTAGTTTTCTGAGTTTCTAAGGATTTTCCCTTGTATGTATTAAATAAACTGAGTGTTGCATACTTTTTCCCATCCTTTGCTTTTGTGCTCTGGCCTGACTTCTCCGACATTTCGGTGGAAACTCATCGAGTCCAAAGCCTCCTGCCACACCCCTTAAAATCAGTCTTTTGGATTCACTTAAGAAAGAAAAAATAAGAATAACTTTAGAATGTATTAGATAACTAAAAATTCAATAAACCCAAATATTCACAGAAATCCTAAAAAAAAAAAAACCTAAGCAATGAAATTAATAACTCATATCAATGATAATGATAGATCTCTAATACTGTCAAATTCCAATAACCAATAATGACAAAATTAATAAATTACTATGTACACACTATCTATGGTTTATAACAGCTTAATACTATCATAGAGATGAGGGTTATAATCCATGTTCAGATGAAGAGTTACAGTAATGCAGTGCAGAGAGACTGTTTATGTAATAGACACATGGTTCAATTTAATATGCCTGGAACTACTGCCATCATTAATCTATACACCTAGAATTCAGCTATTTGATGACAACCATCATCCCTCCTATGTCTTTATTTTCAGGCAGTATGTGTCCAAAGCTGTATCAATCTAACAGTTTAGAACAGCAAGAACATTCTACTTCTTCTGTATTCTGTAAAGGGTAAAACATTTCCTCACAAACAAAAAATATAAAAATTGCCTATTCTATGTTTATGTTCCAAATGTACAAACATTCTCCATCTTTGGAACTAAATGTATCCCAATCCTGGACATGCACCCCAAATCATGAATATATCTGCAACTTTAAAAACTCGACAACAAAAAACAACCAATCCAGCTGAGAAATGGCAAAGGACTTTAATAGACAGTTCTCTAAAGAAGAAATACAAATGGCCAACAAATATATGAAAAAATGCTCAACATCATTAGCCATTAGGGAAATGTAAATCAAAACCACACTGAGATGTCACCTTAACCCTGTCAGAATAACTAAAATCAAAACACAGAGAGCTCTGCCAGGTCATAGCAAAGAGATGAATCAGAAGTGGAGCCCATGCACCTGCATGGGAGATCTCAGCTCCAGCTGTTGCAGCCATCTGAGGAGTGAACCAGTGGATGGAAAAACCTTTCTCTCTCCTGCCTCTGCCTCTCAGTAACTGTCTTTCTTTTTTTTTTCTTTTTTTTTTTTTTTTTATTTTTATTTTTTTTTTTTATTTTTTGACAGGCAGAGTGGACAGTGAGAGAGAGAGACAGAGAGAAAGGTCTTCCTTTGCCGTTGGTTCACCCTCCAATGGCCGCCGCGGCCGGCGCGCTGCAGCCGGCGCACCGCGCTGATCCGATGGCAGGAGCCAGGAGCCAGGTGCTTTTCCTGGTCTCCCATGGGGTGCAGGGCCCAAGCACCTGGGCCATCCTCCACTGCACTCCCTGGCCACAGCAGAGGGCTGGCCTGGAAGAGGGGCAACCGGGAGTAACTGTCTTTCAAATAAATATTTTTTTTTTTTTTTGACAGGCAGAGTGGACAGTGAGAGAGAGAGAGAGAGAAAGGTCTTCCTTTGCAGTTGTTCACCCCTCAGTGGCTGCTGCGGCTGGCGCACTCCGAAGCCAGGTTTTTCTCCTGGTCTCCCATGGGGTGCAGGGCCCAAGCACTTGGGCCATCCTCCACTGCCTTCCCGTGCCACAGCAGAGAGCTGGACTGGAAGAGGGGCAACCGGGACAGAATCTGGTGCCCTGACCGGGACTAGAACCCGGGGTGCCGGCGCCACAAGCGGATGATTAGCCTAGTGAGCCGTGGCGCCAGCCTATAAATAAATCTTAAAAACAAACAAAAAAAACCCAAAGAGCAACAAATGCTGACTGAAAACGTGGATAAAGGGAACACTTACACAATGTTGGTGGGAATGTAAATTAGTACAGCCACAGTGGAAAAAGTGTGATTTTTTAAAAAACTAGAAATAGCCTTACACTATGAGATCCAACAATCTCACTATTTGGTATATACCAAAAAACCTGAACACAATGTATAAAAGAGATACCTGCACTACCATGTTCATAGCAGCACTGTTCAAAATAGCCCAAAACTAGAATCAACCAAGGTGTTTATGGTCATTGTCTATATTTCCATTAAACTAAGGTCTTTTTGCTTTTTACTTGTTGATTCTGATTTGGTGAAGTAGTAAGCCTTTTCACTATAATGTAAATTTAAAATGTTATTTCAAAAACTAAAAATAAGAGAAGGAGAAGGAAGAAGGGCGGGAGAGATGGCAAGAGAGGGAGGGAGGGAGGAAGGAAGGAAAAATCATTATATATTATACTTTTATCCACAAAGCACACTGAATTTGTTAAAAACAATTAAAAATTTAAAAAATTAAAATATGAAAAAGAGAAATTTCAGTGAATAAGTAGAAATGGTCACCCCAGAGCATAGTGCTCTTAGAATTACAAGTTTAGAAATTAATTTTTCCTTTGACACATGCTTATTAGCCTTTAAATGACTTAGTCCAATCTTATAAATATTGAGGTGTAATCCATGATACCTATTTCTCAATGTATAATAGACACTACATAATTATGTAATCAACAAAACAGGATTCTCCTGTCACTTTTACTTTCCTTTGTAAGAATTAAGATCAGAAGAATGCATTTAAACTAAATGGTACAATGAGGTATTTGCTTCACTAATTAGTTTCTTTCAGTCACAATGGCTAGAATGTCACTGCACTGTATAGATATAGCTGCCTGAGGAACTAGAACATCTTTATGCACTTATTCTCATAAGGGAAGAAATATTCAAAATTGTTTTTTTTTCCAGACTTAAATAATCACGAGAGGTCGGCATTTGGCCTAGTGGTTAAGACACCAACGTTAGACTGCCTGGATTTAATACTCAGTTCTGGCACCTGACTCCAACTTCCTGCTATTGTAAACCTTGGGAGACAGGGGTTACAGCTTAAGTTCCTGGCTCCTGGTTCTGGCATGCAGGTTTTTGATGAGTGAGTCAGTGGCTGCGTTTTCTTGCTCTTCTCAAATTAATAACATTTTAATAAGTAGAAAAAAAAAGAATTAAGCTATTTATTTTCAATTTAGTCAGGTTTCATACAAGGATTTTTTTTTTTTGAGGTGTCAGACTGGGAGAAGTGTAGAGAGTAGCTAATTATATTACAGAAAACATCAATTGCTAAAAATACTGAGACGTGAAGCATAGGGGATAGTACAGAATAAATACATCATGCAAAAAAAAAAAAGGTCAAGCCTGCAGACTTATACTACTATATAAATCATTTCTCTATTGGTTCTACATGGTCAACTGCATCACAGTAAGCGGTAAGACTTTTATATGCACATAATTGCTACTCAATGTTTGTGCAGTCAAATAAAATTTATAAAACATTCTCACATGTATTATCTTATTTCAGTCCAATAACCTGGTAATGCAGTTAGTATTCCAGTTTTACAGAACATGAGGTTTGGAGGTAAGTTAGATTGGATTTGAAGCTTCAAGGTCAATCTATAAACAAGACTTCTAGTCCAATCCACTACACTGTGCTACCTCCTCCCATGTAACAGGTTTAAGCAACCATTCAGCTTTCCAAGTATACATTTCTTTCTTTCTTTTTTTTTTTTTAAATTTATTTGACAGAGTTAGATAGTGAAAGAGAGACAGAGAGAAAGATCTTCCTTCCATTAGTTCACCCCCCAAATGGCTGCTCCGAAGCCAGGAGCCAGGCACTTCCTCCTGGTCTCCCATGCGGGTGCAGGCACCCAAGCACTTAGGCCATCCTCTACTGCCCTCCTGGGCCACAGCAGAGAACTGGACTGGAAGAGGAGCAACTGGGACTAGAACCTGGTGCCCATATGGGATGCTAGTGCCGCAGGTGGAGGATTAACCCAGGGAGCCACAGCGCCAGCCCCCAAGTATACATTTCTAACAAACCACCTTTTGTTGAAATAAGTTGGAAAAGGATTCACTTGCAACTAAAAGAACTACACTAACACATAATTAGCTTTCAACATGTAGAAAAACTATTCTGATTAATTGTACCCCAAGAGTGTGAAAAGATATATTACCAGAATCTATCTCATTAACATGTTTTTTATACTGACATGGACACAGATATAGGAAGAATATTAAACTATAGTAACAAAGATAGCAATTCACTATTTGACAAAAGTACTGAAACATTTTCTATCAGGTAAAAGAAAAAGGAATTGATGTTATCCACAAAAAGTCAACTAGGGTGGTCCTTGTATTAAGTTACTTTTTGGACAGCTGCATTCCATACTGGGGTTCCTGATGGGAGTACCAGCTCTCTGTGCTTCCAAGCTGGCTTTCTGCTAATACGCCTGGGAGACAGCACATGAAAGCCCAAGTGCTTGGGTTCCTGCCATCCATTGGGAGACCCTGATGAAGTTTCTACTCCTGGCCTTGGCCTGGTGTAGCCCTGGCTGTTGTGGGCATTTATTTGGGGAGCAAACCTGTGAATGGAAGATCTGTCTGTCTCTCTGTTACTCTTCCGTTCAAATAAAGAAATTTCTTTTCAAAAAGTCAACTTGCCCTTTAACCCTTACTTGATGGTTAGCACCTAAGATTTATCAAATCTTAGACCTTTCATAACCCCACCACTACTATTCAAGCAATACTCTTGGTGGAAACCCTTTCTGTCTACATCACAGAGGATGCAACATCTTACGAAAGGAACTAAACTTTTTAAGAGTAAATCTATAAGCCCATCCATGTCTTTATTAATCTCCTTCCTCCATCTTATTACTTAAGTGTATCTAGGCATCATCTGGAAACTTGTTAGAAATGCAGATTCCATATATACTGAATCAAACTCTGAGGATTGGGCCTAGCACTGTTTTAGTAAATACCCCAGCTTGATTCTAAGGCTCATGAAAGTATCAGGCTTAGTAACTTACTACAAACAGTTATATTCTATTTTTTTTTTTAAAATAACGGGAGAGATTTTAGAAAATGTTTGGCCTAGTGACTGGATGCCTGGGTCACACCTGGCATTAAGTATCCAACTCTGGCTCTGGTTCTTGACTCCAGCTTTCTGTTAATATAGACCCTAGGAAGCAGATGCCATGGCTCAAGTGACTGGACTCCTTCCAACTACATGGGAGACCTGACTTGATTTTCTGTCTCCTGGCTGTAGACAAA